ATTTTGACGATGCAACCCCTTAAATTTTTAGAAAAAATTTAAAATGGTTATTTTGCTTCCTGAGATGGCTAGAACGATTCGCCTGTTAGTGCTGATCAAGAATATATATGATTTATAGGGTCGGAAATGGCTCCTTCACTGTAAAAAATGATATTTTCCTCAGCAAGATTCCTAAAATTGATTTTTTTATATGATAATTTTTTTGGAGGGATTTTTCTATATCATATTTTTTGGAACAACCAAAGTTTAAAAATCGCATAACTTTGTCAAAAATGCCTTAATTTCAATTCGGAAAGCGGTTCTGAGTTAGTTGTTTGGCGCTTAACAATTCTGCATACCAAATTTCCTTTTAAGATATTAAAATATTTTTTTTAATTTTGCACATTTTGACGATGCAACCCCTTAAATTTTTTAGAAAAAATTTAAAATGGTTCTTTTGCTTCCTGAGATGGCTAGAACGATTCGCCTGTTAGTGCTGATCAAGAATATATATGATTTATAGGGTCGGAAATGGCTCCTTCACTGTAAAAAATGATATTTTCCTCAGCAAGATTCCTAAAATTGATTTTTTATCTGATAATTTTTTTTGTAAGGGATTTTTCTATATCATATTTTTTGGAACAACCAAAGTTTAAAAATCGCATAACTTTGTCAAAAATGCCTTAATTTCAATTCGGAAAGCGGTTCTGAGTTAGTTGTTTGGCGCTTAACAATTCTGCATACCAAATTTTCCTTTTTAAGATATTAAAATATTTTTTTTAATTTTGCACATTTTGACGATGCAACCCCTTAAATTTTTTAGAAAAAACTTAAAATGGTTCTTTTGCTTCCTGAGATGGCTAGAACGATTCGCCTGTTAGTGCTGATCAAGAATATATATGATTTATAGGGTCGGAAATGGCTCCTTCACTGTAAAAAATGATATTTTCCTCAGCAAGATTCCTAAAATAGATTTTTTTATATGATAATTTTTTTTGTAAGGGATTTTTCTATATCATATTTTTGGAACAACCAAAGTTTAAAAATCGCATAACTTTGTCAAAAATGCCTTAATTTCAATTCGGAAAGCGGTTCTGAGTTAGTTGTTTGGCGCTTAACAATTCTGCATACCAAATTTTCCTTTTAAGATATTAAATATTTTTTTTAATTTTTGCACATTTTGACGATGCAACCCCTTAAATTTTTAGAAAAAATTTTAAATGGTTGTTTTGCTTCCTGAGATGGCTAGAACGATTCGCCTGTTAGTGCTGATCAAGAATATATATGATTTATAGGGTCGGAAATGGCTCCTTCACTGTAAAAAATGATATTTTCCTCAGCAAGATTCCTAAAATTGATTTTTTTATGTGATAATTTTTTTGTAAGGGATTTTCTATATCATATTTTTGGAACAACCAAAGTTTAAAAATCGCATAACTTTGTCAAAAATGCCTTAATTTCAATTCGGAAAGCGGTTCTGAGTTAGTTGTTTGGCGCTTAACAATTCTGCATACCAAATTTCCCTTTTTAAGATATTAAATATTTTTTTTAATTTTTGCACATTTTGACGATGCAACCCCTTAATTTTTTAGAAAAAATTTAAAATGGTTCTTTTGCTTCCTGAGATGGCTAGAACGATTCGCCTGTTAGTGCTGATCAAGAATATATATGATTTATAGGGTCGGAAATGGCTCCTTCACTGTAAAAATGATATTTTCCTCAGCAAGATTCCTAAAATTGATTTTTTTATATGATAATTTTTTTTGTAAGGGATTTTTCTACTAAAGTTTAAAAATCGCATAACTTTGTCAAAATGCCTTAATTTCAATTCGGAAAGCGGTTCTGAGTTAGTTGTTTGGCGCTTAACAATTCTGCATACCAAATTTCCCTTTTTAAGATATTAAAATATTTTTTTTTAATTTTGCACATTTGCAACCCCTTAAATTTTTAGAAAAAATTTAAAATGGTTCTTTTGCTTCCTGAGATGGCTAGAACGATTCGCCTGTTAGTGCTGATCAAGAATATATATGATTTATAGGGTCGGAAATGGCTCCTTCACTGTAAAAAATGATATTTTCCTCAGCAAGATTCCTAAAATTGATTTTTTTATATGATAATTTTTTTGTAAGGGATTTTTCTATTTCATATTTTTTGGAACAACCAAAGTTTAAAAATCGCATAACTTTGTCAAAAATGCCTTAATTTCAATTCGGAAAGCGGTTCTGAGTTAGTTGTTTGGCGCTTAACAATTCTGCATACCAAATTTCCCTTTTTAAGATATTAAAATATTTTTTTAATTTTTGCACATTTTGACGATGCAACCCCTTAAATTTTTTAGAAAAAATTTAAAATGGTTCTTTTGCTTCCTGAGATGGCTAGAACGATTCGCCTGTTAGTGCTGATCAAGAATATATATGATTTATAGGGTCGGAAATGGCTCCTTCACTGTAAAAATGATATTTTCCTCAGCAAGATTCCTAAAATTGATTTTTTTATATGATAGTTTTTTTTGTAAGGGATTTTTCTATATCATATTTTTTGGAACAACCAAAGTTTAAAAATCGCATAACTTTGTCAAAAATGCCTTAATTTCAATTCGGAAAGCGGTTCTGAGTTAGTTGTTTGGCGCTTAACAATTCTGCATACCAAATTTTCCTTTTTAAGATATTAAAATATTTTTTTTAATTTTTGCACATTTTGACGATGCAACCCCTTAAATTTTTTAGAAAAAATTTAAAATGGTTCTTTTGCTTCCTGAGATGGCTAGAACGATTTGCCTGTTAGTGCTGATCAAGAATATATATGATTTATAGGGTCGGAAATGGCTCCTTCACTGTAAAAAATGATATTTTCCTCAGCAAGATTCCTAAAATTGATATTTTTCTTTGATAATTTTTTTGTAAGGGATTTTTCTATATCATATTTTTTGGAACAACCAAAGTTTAAAAATCGCATAGCTTTGTCAAAAATGCCTTAATTTCGATTCGGAAAGCGGTTCTGAATTAGTTGTTTGGCGCTTAACAATTCTGCATACCAAATTTTCCTTTTTAAGGTATTAAAATATTTTTTTTAATTTTTGCACATTTTGACGATGCAACCCCTTAAATTTTTTAGAAAAAATTTAAAATGGTTATTTTGCTTCCTGAGATGGCTAGAACGATTCGCCTGTTAGTGCTGATCAAGAATATATATGATTTATAGGGTCGGAAATGGCTCCTTCACTGTAAAAAATGATATTTTCCTCAGCAAGATTCCTAAAATTGATTTTTTTATATGATAATTTTTTTGTGAGGGATTTTTCTATATCATATTTTTTGGAACAACCAAAGTTTAAAAATCGCATAACTTTGTCAAAAATGCCTTAATTTCAATTCGGAAAGCGGTTCTGAGTTAGTTGTTTGGCGCTTAACAATTCTGCATACCAAATTTCCCTTTTTAAGATATTAAAATATTTTTTTTTAATTTTTGCACATTTTGACGATGCAACCCCTTAAATTTTTTAGAAAAATTTAAAATGGTTCTTTTGCTTCCTGAGATGGCTAGAACGATTCGCCTGTTAGTGCTGATCAAGAATATATATGATTTATAGGGTCGGAAATGGCTCCTTCACTGTAAAAAATGATATTTTCCTCAGCAAGATTCCTAAAATTGATTTTTTTATATGATAATTTTTTTTGTGAGGGATTTTTCTATATCATATTTTTTGGAACAACCAAAGTTTAAAAATCGCATAACTTTGTCAAAAATGCCTTAATTTCAATTCGGAAAGCGGTTCTGAGTTAGTTGTTTGGCGCTTAACAATTCTGCATACCAAATTTCCCTTTTTAAGATATTAAAATATTTTTTTTAATTTTTGCACATTTTGACGATGCAACCCCTTAAATTTTTTAGAAAAAATTTAAATGGTTCTTTTGCTTCCTGAGATGGCTAGAACGATTCGCCTGTTAGTGCTGATCAAGAATATATATGATTTATAGGGTCGGAAATGGCTCCTTCACTGTAAAAAATGATATTTTCCTCAGCAAGATTCCTAAAATTGATTTTTTTATGTGATAATTTTTTTTGTAAGGGATTTTTCTATATCATATTTTTTGGAACAACCAAAGTTTAAAAATCGCATAACTTTGTCAAAATGCCTTAATTTCAATTCGGAAAGCGGTTCTGAGTTAGTTGTTTGGCGCTTAACAATTCTGCATACCAAATTTTCCTTTTTAAGATATTAAATATTTTTTTTAATTTTTGCACATTTTGACGATGCAACCCCTTAAATTTTTTAGAAAAAATTTAAAATGGTTCTTTTGCTTCCTGAGATGGCTAGAACGATTCGCCTGTTAGTGCTGATCAAGAATATATATGATTTATAGGGTCGGAAATGGCTCCTTCACTGTAAAAAATGATATTTTCCTCAGCAAGATTCCTAAAATTGATTTTTTTATATGATAATTTTTTTTGTAAGGGATTTTTCTATATCATATTTTTTGGAACAACCAAAGTTTAAAAATCGCATAACTTTGTCAAAAATGCCTTAATTTTAATTCGGAAAGCGGTTCTGAGTTAGTTGTTTGGCGCTTAACAAATCTTCAAATCATTCTAAATTTAATTTTTTTTAATTTAAAAAGGACAAAGCAACAGAAGAATGAAATACATTAACAAATTTAAATTTGAATTAAAATAGACCATAAGTTTTTGCTCCATAAGTTAACCGACAAATAAATTAGTACCCTGTCGTCTTTTTTTAAATTTGTACCTTAAATTTTTGGTTAATAAAATATATTTCGTTTTATTTTTTTTTTTTTAGTGTTGGTATTTATTTATTTATAAATTATCTTAATTTGTAGGGTCTTCGGGTGTCTTCTAGATTCAAGAAAGATATATATGTATATACATATGTATGTTATATATCCCCATCATTAACTTTTGAATGTTTTGACTTGGTATCTGCAAAACTACACTCTTCTCCATGGAATATGATTTGGAAATCAATGGATGAGATGTGATGATGTAGCGGTATGAGCCAGGGCTTACCCGTTCCCATAGACGTCGTATGTCAGGTTTGGTCCGTTGTGATCAATCTCGTCCAGCGGGAACCAGAAGACGGTTAGCTCGTTGTTGTCCTTGTCGAAGGAGAAGCCGTCGGGCATGAACTGCGGCGGACGGGCGGGCACAGTGGCATTCGTGGTGATGTTAAACTGGGGATAGTATTCCGACCAGATTGTTTTCCTCCCCTTGATGTGGCACTTGAGGCGCACATCGAAGATCTGGAAGCCCTGCGGCGGATGGGGGAAGCAGAATGTGAGAATTCTCTGGTCCGTTTTCTCGCCTCCGGGCAGTGTAAGGTTTATCGGGGGAATCTCAGTTCGGCGGGGCCGCAGCTCCACTACCCACTCGAGGTCCCTTTTGAGCAGTTCCTGTGCGTTCTCCCACGCCAGACATGTCTTGTTGGCGGTCACCGTTCTACGGCTCGCCATGCTCGACGGCCACTCCGGCACGTACATGCTGTCGAGGGGCAGCTCGATCTGCTGCGTCTGCGTTGCACCAACTCGGTCGCTAATCATGGTCAGCGTGAAGGCTTGGGTTGGCAAATCATGGGCATAGCCGGTCGTATCCAGCATGCAGTGCATCCGAGCGGCCTTGCCCTGCTCGGACGTGCATTGGCCCGTCTTGCCACTGGCCACGGCCAGCTGGTATCGGGTCACCTCGTGGAACTCTTCGTCATCTGCCCGAGTGAAGCTACAGTTCAGTTTATCCCTGACGTCGAAGCGGCAGGAGAGGTCTGTCACATTGAGCACAGCTATCACTGTGACCTTGACTGACGCCAGTGGATAACCTTTCCACCAGCACTCGTACTCATTCTGTACGGTCTCCGTGGCACTCGGTTCCGTGTAGAGCACGGTGTTGTTGACAATCTCTGTGGCCAGTGTGTTGCCGCTCAGTTGCAAGCTCAGCTCTCGCACATCACCGTCACTGCCGGCACAGGCACAGGACACCTGGCCACTGCCGCCGACCGACCATTTACCGTCGTCCGAGGCCCAGACGACGGCCTGGCACAACGGGGAAACGTCTGCCGTGGCCGTGGCCGTTGCCAGAGCTAGAAGCATCAGCTTTAGAATCAGCCACGAAGTCCGGCAACCCATCGATTGCGAAGCAATTGCTTGGCGCCGCTGGATATGTACCTCGGATACTGCCTTATCGCCGCACTGGGAACTAGGAGAGGGTGGACACGGCGATCTGCTCCCCTCCCTCCTATTTGCCGGATCGATCGGAACAAGCGCGAACATCAAGCTTCGCTTCCACGAAAAGATAAGCAGCAGCAGGAGAGCGCGAGCCGGCGAGTAGCGCGAGTGGGGATTAGGCTCTGCGTAAGCCACGATGCCGATGTTCTCGGACAGCCATGCGAGACTGAGGAGCGAAGGCGCATTCCCGAGAGCAAGCTGCTGATGATGCTGCTGCTGCTGCTGCTGCAGCTGCTAGACCTTATCGCGGTTTGTCGGGGGAATAAAATGATAAATACAACGACTTTTTCGAATTTTTAAAGTAATTTTATGTTGGTGTACATAGGACATATATTTATTAATTAATTATTATTATAAGCTCGATCTGGTCGACGCGCGCGGATGGTTAAGTGGGATGTGTATACAAATACGATATATAAAAAAATACTACAGCGTTACAAATACTTTCCTCTTCTAAGCCCTCTGTGCCTCACGCGCCTCGCAAAGAATACAAAATAAATTACAAACGCGGGAGCGCTCGTCCCGCGTTCGATGAGTTGCCACTAATTACTAAAAACAGCAGCCAGGTTACAGGTTCCAGGTTCCAGACTCCGCTGATCCGATGGCATGGCTTGGGTTGGATGCGGTTACGGTTTCGGTTACGGTTACGGGTGGAAAATCGATGTGGGAGATGCTAAATGGATGGATGCAGACGATGCAGAGAAGGATTGCCAAAGTGTCCAGGCCAAGTGCTCCACTTGGACTTAGAGCACATGCCTATTGTTGTGGGCCAGGACGTTCAGGTCCTGGGGCGTCACATAGCCGTTAATGGGCGGCTGGAGGCGCGAATGCGTAGTGCCGACGCCGCCTGTCGCTGCCCCGGAGGCATGCGTCGGTGATCCCACGGCCGCGGAGAGCGGCTGCTTCATTAAACCGGTGCGCTGCAGCTGCTCCATGGTGGTGTAGCCAATATCGGCTAGCTTAGGTGTGGGCATTGGCGTGGGCGTGGAAGCGGCGACTACTGGCAGCTGGAACGGCGGCTGCGGCGGCGGCGACGAGGCTGTCACAATGGGAGAGACTCCTACTGCTGCTGCTGCTACTCCTTCTCCACTTCCAACCGATGGCAGTGGCGCTGCAGCCAGGGGCTTTAGCTTATGCAGATCCGAGGCCTGCACGTAGTTGTCCATGTTAAGCATATGCGCTGGCGGGAAGAATGTGGAGGCAGCAGCAGCGGCTGCGGAGGCGGATGGAGCATTAGCGTTGGCCTGTGGGTGCGCTTGAACTGGAGAGGGCATAGGATTAAGACGCGACTGCAGAATGGGCACCGGCACATAACCGCTGAGTGGCACACGTGACAGCGGCTGCGGCTGGACCGGTCCACCGTTGCCAGCCCAGCTCTTCATCTGGGTGGGTTTGATGTAGCCATTACTGCTGCTTCCACTGGTCGGCTCCCTGTCCATGTTGACGTCGCTATCCTGTTGCTCCCGTTCCCTCTCGCGCTCAGACTCCTGCTCGCGCTCACGCTCCGTCTCACTGTCGCTCTGCACGAGCAGCCCGTGGCGCATGGACAGGTAGCTGGTGGGCGGGGGTACAGCGCCGCTCATGGGGCCCGTCTCCTGGTGATCATCATAACCATTGCGATCCATGCAGCCGCCGCCGCCGGAGGATGAGGCTGTACGCAGAAGCAGCTTTGAGCTCTCACCGCCGCAGCTACTGAAGTCATGCGGAAGATGATCCTGCGGCGTGTACTGCGGTGAGTCGTCAACGCGTGTGCAGATGATGCCGCCGCTGACGGACGAATTGGGGCCGAGATCGAGGCCAAGCCCGCCCATGTCCATCGGCTTCTTTAGCGTCTCCATAATGCCCTGCGGCAGCACCAGGTCGATGTCAGACATTTTGCGGTATTTCTTGTACACGAGATAGAAGATGACGCCAAGCACAAGGATAGCCACGGTCACTTCAATAGTCTGGTACATGGCTTTAACGCTGTTCGTGTCCGGGGTGCAGATGTATCCATATGTTCCCCACTCGGACTTGTAGAGTCTGTAGGCGGAATCGTTGGCTCCGTACGCCTCGTACTGCGCCCGCTCTTCCTCGCCGAGAACGTTTGTGCGCACTTCGCACGAGGAGTGAGCGGCTGTCATTAGAGGATGGGTCTCCGTCTCCTCCGCGCCTGTTGGCTGCCGGTCCACGTTGATTGCGCGCACCGCCAACTGGAAGGGATTGTGACTGGTGCAGCGCGGGGTGGCCATTATGAAGGACCGGTTGTGCCCTGGCAGGATGGTGCTCATCAGGCAACTGGCATTGCTATCCCGAAGCGACACCTCATAGTAGTCAATGCGTCCGGCCGGAGTCCTGGGCGGGTGCCAGTCCAGGCGTGAGCTCTGGTCCTTGTTGTTTGTTACCTGAAGCGTCGGCGACGAGGGAACTGCGAAGAAAGGAAGAGGTTCCATTAGCTTTAGTAGAGGTATCAAGAAAAAGGGAGGGGGCGTACTCACCTCCGATGGCCGTGCGGAAGATCACCAAATTACTGGGCTCAGACGGATAGAGCGTGCGCGCCCGCACGCTCACCTCGTAGTGAGTGAACGCCGTCAGGTTGCCCAGAGTGTGCGTTATGGGTTTCTCCGTGTCAACCAGCTCGGAGATCAAGGCCGGCACGCGGAAGCTCTCGGTAACATTGTCCAGCAGGGAACGGAAGGTGCCCTCATAGGCGCGCACCATGCCATTGGCCAAAAGCGGCGGCTTCCACGACAGCTCCACACTGGATTTGGTCACGCGCAGCAGCTGCAGCTCACGCGGCTGGCTGGGCGCCGCCTCGGCTGTGCGATTGACCAGCTCGTCGCTGTACTTGCTCGCCCGCGTCTCCGAGTACATCAGCATCTTGACGCTGTAGTCGGTGTAGGGCACCAGGTTCTGGATCACGTACTTATTAATATAGTGGTTGAGCACCACGGTGGTGCAGTTGTCGGGTCGGCCGGTGGAGCGCTGACAGTAGGTGAGATTGTAGCCGGACAGGATGACGGCGCAGACGTGCTCCATGCCCCAACTGACCGTCATCGTGGAGCTGGTAGTCACGTCAATCGATGGCTCCATCTTGGCCAGGTCGTCCGTCTTGTCGCTGCTGCACTTGGGCCATCGCAGTCCCGAGTTGTGCGATCGGTAGTTGGCCGAAACGGCCATTAGCAGCGTCGGCTTGTCCCTGGTCGTGGTGAACATCAGCTGGCCACTAGGCACCTCGGTGAAGCGTATAGGTCCCTTGCACTCGGACAGCAGGCCCGGCTTGGGCTGGCACCAGAACACCGTGTAGTTGGTGAGCTCCCTCTGGTCCTCTGGTGGCTCCCAGGTGAGCGTCAAGCTCTCGTTCGTCTGCTGGTACACGCCATGTATATTCTTTGGCACGCGTTGCCGTAAATCACGGTTGGTGATGGGACCAATCGACATATGGGTGGCGTTCACCGACAGTCCCTCGCTGTTCTGGCTGCGTATGAGAAACTCGTGGACGCCGCTCATGTTCCAGTGATCAATAAAGGCCGAGTCCCGCCCCACATTGATCAAGTTGGGATCCCTGCAGAGGCAATAAAGGAAGCAGATTAGAAATACGGACTCAAGTACCCCAAGATTCTGCGGTCCCAAGAGTTTCCCTTGTAAACTAACACGTTTCACTCAAAACATTCTTTACCATAGCGAACTATTTCACAGTGTACTTTTGTATGTATGTACATATAACCTCTTTTGATCTCTTGTTCACGCACTGCGAGAAATGTATAGTGCTTTATTTTTAGCTACATCCCAAGATGTGTTCTCTCGAAACACAATCAAATGGAAGACGCGAAGTCTAAGAAAATTATACGAACTGCGTTGATAAGACGAGGGTCATAACTAAATTAATGGGAACCAATTAAGTCTAAGTAGTCCGTGCTCCTAAGATCTAATGTGTTTGTTATTGAAAAACATCGACTAAATTCTCTGTATTCAGACACATCAGATGACAAAACTTTCAGTTTAAAACATAGCAACAGCTTCAAAATCATTCGAAAATAGTTTTGGGAATTCCATCATCGCAGAAACGGGCCCCGTAAATTTCGTTGGCGTTCTTCACATTTCCAAGAAAGACACTTGCTGCTCCACATTTGGTACGTAGTATGTACAATTCTGTTGCTTTCAATTTGTCTGCATGAAATACGATCGGATTCCTGGGAAGCCAGCTTGTGTATGGGTTTTCCAAAAGTCTTCTAGGTCTTAGGAAACGTTTGATAGACCCGCTTGGAAGCTCGTTAGAGTACTCACAGAAACAAAACAGACAAAAGGGATTTGAAATACTGTAGAGAAAGTATACATACATATAGCAAGTTCAGGAGATGCCTTATTGTTCCAAGAAAAATTATAGTAAAAGTGAATTTCTATTTACTCTGATTACAGATAATATAGACACATATACATACTTAATTTAACGACCATCAGTGGGGCTTTGGGGGCTCGAGACTTAATGCGGTGGAAGTTTAATAATCTTGTATATTTAGTAGGAATTTCAGAATTTATTACTAATTCTGATTCCACAGAAATTCCATCGGAACCAATACATAATGGCAATTCCACAGCTCGGCACGCTCGCTCTCTTAGACCTGTCCTAATCTGCCTATCAGCGGTCGTTAGCCGACTATCAGCATGGCAAATACATTTACTGGAAATACTCAATTAGTAAAGCCCGACACCTATTGGGGGAAGATTTATGTATACGTACTTCCAAAACCTTTTGTCTTAATATAACATTTCTCAGAAGCTGTCGTGGGGGATTCCTCAACCTCGACCCTATTTTCCACGAACATCCATCTATCTATCGGTGATAAGAGATTACCGAGAACCTTGAAATCGAAACAGAACGTACACAGTGAAGGTGCGAAAAATAGCAACATTGGATATAATACTGTTCCTTTTGCTTTAAGACTGAACATGTAAGCTAATTATTAATTTAATTTTTATAGAATATTCCCGGTTCAAGCATTCCATAAATGGAATTTTGTAACACAAGTTTCTCCCTATATCTAAAGGTACACATACATTTATTTACATATCTATATTCATCATACGAATGTATGTACATGTATGTAAGTTCCCGGCATCGATTGTGCCATTAATTCGAAGACAACACCCGCCAGTCTCTGTCCCCCCAGATATGTATCTATCGCTCAATTCGATTCAATTCCGATTCCGGCAAAGCGGCGGTAAGCAGAAGACAAGATACCGCGAATCCGCTGCAGGCAACAAAAGAGTATATGGACTATAGACTACAGGGTATCTGGCAACAGACGGGTTTCCTCCGATTTCAATTTCTCTGGTGCAGTGCATTCTCGCTAAACGCCTCCAACCCCATTCCCCATTCCCCATTCCTCTTCCCATCTGCCCCATCTTCCCATTAATGAACGTGTTTTTGCGTTTGTTTTGCTGCCACTGGTGCTAGTGCTGGCACTGGCACTGGCTCTGGCACTGATGCCTGTGTGTGTACGGCGGCACTTCGGACGAAGTTAAAAATAAACATTTTCAACGGAACCCCACAATGGGAATGTTGCTCCGCTCCGATCCGCTCTGCTCTTTGCAAATACTACGCCGTATGGCTGAGTGCTGCGCCGTATTCGCGAGAAATCACCTTTTCGGAGAACTTCCCCCTCCATTCCACTCCATCCCAACGGGTGGGGGACATCGTTACCTTCGTTACCTTCCATCTCTCCCCCGGATATACTCACACCAAAGTCCCGTTGATGCGGTACTCGCTGATGGTGTACCGAAAGTCCGGTCCGTTCAGCTCATGCGGCTCCAGCGGTTCCCAGTAGAAGCGCACACCCTCCTCCGAGGAGTCAACGTAAAAGCTGCCGTAGGTGACGCGCGGCGGCCGGCGTGGCCGAGACGGAGTTGTGGAAAAGTTGTAGACGAGGGGCTCACTCCATATCGTATTATTCCGGTTGCCGCGCACGCGCAGTTGCAGCGTATAGTTGTAGCCGGCGTATGGAAGCTCCGTGAGACAGAGCGTGTCCTTGATTATTGAACTATTGTTGCGCCAGCTGGCCCGCTTCAGCGGCTCAAAATTGTGCGGCGAGACCTGCACCTTCCAGACCAGCCCGTGGGCATAGTTGCTGCGCTGCTTCATCTCCCACGAGAGGCACACTGAGCTCTCGGTGCTGTTAACGAGGGTCAGGTTCTGGCCCGGCCGGGACGGCACTGTCCGCTCGTAGTGATTTATCGTTATGGACTGCATCTGGTCGCCGAGGGCATTGGTCATGTGCAGGCGAAAGTAAAATGTTTCGCTGAAGCGCCGGTAGTTGCCTTCCGTGATGTTGCAGGTGACCACCGGGGCGGCGTCGAAGTTGCAGTCGACCGAGTTGCTGTAGTGCCAATCGTTGTTGGTATTGTAGCTAACGTTGTACTGGGTGATCAGCTTGTTGGGCGGCTGGGTGAAGTTGCACAGCATGAACTGGAAGTCGTAGTCGATGCAGTCAAAGTCCCGGATGGGCAGTGGCCGCGTGCCCACGTACACCTTTGAGGTGTTGATCACGTAGTCGCGGCACATGCACATGTACTCGCCCTCCTGCTCCTCGGCGTTTCTGGCGGAGAATAGGACCGTGGTGCTATTAAACGTCCAGATGTCTGGATGCTGGCGGTACTCCCGCTTTCCGACCTTGAAGTACAGATCCTTTGCGGTGCAGGGCTCCACGATGCTGGCATCCCGAAAGTACGTTTCGTTGAGGGTGCAGCTGATCGTAAAATTGCCGCCGATGGCCGATTCCACCTTGTCGGGGACGAGCCAGCCGGGATCGACGGTGGCCCGGGCGCCTACCTGCAGCAGGAGGAGCAGGGCGAGCAGCTCGAGTGCCTGCGGCACCAGAGGCGCCATGGTCCTTAGACTTCCGTAGTCCGCTCCTGTATTTTGGTATCTTCTCTTCTCTAGTTCTCCTGTCACCTCACCGCGCTTAGCTCTCCAACCTCTGCTCTTCTCTCTCACAATGCACTCACACACGCACGCACACCGACACGGCCGCTCTCTTACACTTACACGCACACCTTGCTGGCCGTGGCACTTGTTGGCTCTGTATTGGTGGGCAGTTCTCGGAAACCGTTTATACGCTGGGTTCCTGGAAGCAGCTCTAACGCATCTCGCTGCCAAGGTGTGTGCTAGCTGGGGTTCCTCGTTCGTTCCGAAGTTCGGAGTTCACTGCACACTGTTTGCTTTTATACAAGAGTTATTCTTGATTGTTGGATAAAATTTTTGTTTTGCTTTGGATCTGTCTGCAGATTCCTGAGTACGCGTAGGACGGCGATCGCTCTCCTCCCTGCCCCCGCTCGCGTTGCTGTTGCTTTCGTTGGATTTTCTGTTTCTGTTTCGCCTGGGCGGCAGTGTGACCGGGCACTTATCGGAACTCGATACACGATATGGCCAGGTGCGCGGTGCAGACCTTCGGTCGAACGGCCACACTTAGAGCGCTCACCTGAGCCGCGCAACTGAAATTTGAACTGCATACGCATTTTTTCCTTGCACTTGCTGGCTTCATGCTCCAAATACGGCTGGAATGCATTTTTGAATGGGTTGTAGTAGCGCCTGCTCCTCGATACTAATGCATGCCGATATATATCGATAAGCCGGGTGCGGCAACCCTGGCCTAGGTGTTCAACACTCAATCGAACGTGCGTTTGTGTGTGTGTGTGTGACTGAGAAAGTGACGAATTACTTTTCATCCAATGGGAAATAATTTAGTTTGAAAACACGTATATCTATCTAAAGCAGCGTTAAAATACAGTCGTAAGAACTCTATAGGACGACGAGGTAAATCGGCGCAAGCAAAGCAAAACCCGTAAACTCGACAATTACACCAGCGAAATGGCGGAAGGCGGCAGTAAGCGCATCAACGTGGTTGTGAAAACGCCAAAGGACAAGAAGACGGTCGAGGTTGATGAAGATTCTGGAATAAAAGATGTAAGTACGGCTCGAGGTCGGGGTCCCAGGTGTTTGTGGTGCCCCTGCCCTTTGCTGCTGCTCTGTCGTTGGCTGTTCCCATTAATTGGTAGTAGCGCTAGCTGGTGGTACAGTGCACTTCGCCTAAGCCGCACCGCCAGCGCCAACGAAGAGGGTGGCAAAGTGCAAAGGGCTTGGGATGCGTCAGTGTGTGTACGCGCGCTTATGTGAGTGCGGATCTGTGGGTGTGTGCGGGCCTGCATATCCGCTGAGGAAGCGAGACGGAGCGATGGACCGGATCCTTCTAGAAAAAAATATTGAATAAAAGAAATATAATAATATATGCCGTCTTTGACCCACAGTTCAAAATTCTCGTCGCACAAAAGTTCGAGTCGGAGCCGGAGCAGCTGGTGCTCATCTTCGCCGGCAAGATCATGAAGGACACGGACACGCTGAAGATGCACAACATTAAGGATAACCTGACGGTGCATCTGGTGATCAAGGCGCCGACGCGGAGCAATGAGCAACCGGCCCGCGCCCCGGCTGACGTCCGTCAGACACCATTTGGCCTGAACCAGTTCGGCGGACTGGCCGGAATGGAGGCGTTGGGCGCCGGCTCGAATACGTTCATGGACCTGCAGGCGCGCATGCAAAATGAGTTGCTGCGCAATCGCGAACTGCTGCGCACCCTAATGGACAATCCGCTGGTGCAGCAGATGATGAATAACCCAGAGACGATGCGTCAGCTGATCACTTCGAATCCGCAGATGCAGGACCTGATGCAACGCAATCCAGAGATTTCGCACATGCTCAATAATCCGGACCTGCTGCGCCAGACCATGGAGTTGGCCCGCAACCCATCCATGCTGCAGGAGCTGATGCGATCTCACGATCGTGCCATGTCCAACCTAGAATCGGTGCCGGGTGGCTTTAGCGCCCTGCAGCGCATCTATCGCGACATCCAGGAGCCTATGATGAATGCGGCCACCGAGTCCTTTGGCCGCAATCCTTTCGCCGGCCTGGTCGAGGGTGGCGGTACTGCCGCCGGCGTCAACCCGCAGCAGGGCACCGAAAATAGAAATCCTCTGCCAAATGCCTGGGGCGGCGTCGGTACGGCTCTTAATGGTACTGGCACGGGATCTGGAACTGGCGCCGGCGGTAATCGCACCGGCGGTGATCTGCCGCCAAACAATATCATGAATACGCCGGCCATGCGCAGCCTGCTGCAGCAGATGGCTGACAATCCGGCAATGATGCAGAACCTGCTCAATGCGCCGTACACGCGTTCCATGATGGAGTCGATGTCGCAGGATCCAGAGATGGCGTCACGTCTGCTGAGCACCAGCCCGCTGCTGTCGAACAACCCCGCCCTGCAGGAGCAGGTACGCCAAATGATGCCACAGTTCATGTCCCAGATGCAAAATCCGGAAATGATGAACATGCTGACCAATCCGGAGGCAATGAACGCCATCCTGCAGATCGAGCAGGGCATGGAGCAGCTGCGAAGCGCGGCCCCGGGCTTTGTCGGCACCCTGGGCATCCCGCCACCGCCTCCAGGCGTCAACTCCGCCTCGGATCCGGCCAGCGGTGATACCAACAGCGGTGCCACCGTCAACAATATCTCCGCCAACAGCGGCACTAATGCTACTAGCAACCCGGCTGCCGGTGGCCCCAGCCTGGCCCCTGGCGGCGGTCCAAATGCGCAGCTCTTTAACGACTTCATGATGCGTATGCTGAACGGCATGTCCAACAACACGGACAGCACGCAGCCGCCAGAGGTGCGCTACCAGTCACAGCTGGAGCAGCTGGCCGCGATGGGCTTTGCCAATAGGGAAGCCAACTTGCAGGGTGAGTTCCTTTCTGTCGATCCTGATCTTGGAATTCCTCTCCTAATGGGTCTTTTTTTTACTCTCCCAACAGCTCTGATCGCCACCTTCGGGGATATTAATGCGGCGGTGGAACGCCTGCTTTCCCTTAACCAGTTGTCCCTGAGTTAACAACGTTAAGCCATTTCCAAATTGTACACACAACCTGTCTAAATATCTACGAACTACAACTATATCTACCACTATATAGCCCTGGAAAACGCGAATGAGAACTAGAACGAGAATAAGAACGAGAGCGAGAGAACGAAGACGACGAGAAAGGGTTGCGAAAACGGGCACGGATACGGGCAAACTCCAAATACCATTCCCACATTCCCTCGAGGTCTGCAAACACACACACCGACAACCAATTCCACAACGTCAGCAGCACTACGCTGACAGCTTATTCCTACATCAAGCCAGAAGTGAATCCCTGAATACTAAACGCCGCGACACCATAAAGCATCTCAGACAAACATCATCCTTGCAGGAACACAGAAACAAAGGAGCTCCAGTAGCATGGCATAACTTGACGAAGACAAGAGAAATCTAAACGATAGATTGCATACCAAAGTGTCATTGGTTGCTTGGCTAACATATATTTCTTTTCTTTTTAACTGTTTGCATCTGTGGGCAGAGCAAACGGAGAGGGAAAATGTTCGCATATATGCAAGCCATGGGCATACACAGCACCCAGCACACACATCACACTCTATGCATTGCCGAGGGAGAACTTCATTGTTTTCTAGTAAATTTCAACCATACTTGTGGACCCTGCTTTTGTTTATCACTATTTAGTAAAATAAAACCATGCGACATCCAATTGTGTGCTTGTTCCAGAGGTGACTGGCATTAGAGGCGGCTGCTAATCGGTTCCAGTGGCTGCTGATTTTCCATCCCTTCTCGCAGCTCGCATCTCGAAAAGGTTCTTGATTTGATTAGGCGCGACATAAGCGGTAGATGCTGCTCAGATGCAATTAGCTTAAAGGATTAGTTGTTGAACAATCGCCGTCTAGACTACTTGGGTAAATCATAAATTTTTGTTTAACTGATATCTACTGTCAAGCTATATTGTGTGCTTATCTATATGTGTATATAGAAGTATATATATCAAAATATTCCATGGTGTTACAAAAGACGTGAAACTATTTGAAATTCCTTAGTAAAAAGTGACAGTAACAAACACAACCCCCCTAACACTCGTAATCTTTAATTTATTCGTAAGCATTACCAAAGTCTGTATCCGATTTGTTGGCCAGAAGCCTCAGGAGCATCCCATTTTCGTCACGTTCCATTTCGTGCGCCCCTGTGTCTATATATGATGTATAAAAAATCAATCTTTAACCTGTAAGTACTATAACTACTAAAAGCGTCGCTCGGTTGCCGCAGCTGGACAAACACATCTACCAACGGAGCTCGGGGGTGGAATGGTTGGGAGTCGGTGGAAGTGAGAGTGGGAGTGGGAGTCGGAAGGTACTGGAGCTGGAAATGGCGATCGGAGCTATGCGGTTATTCGTTTAGTGATGGAAGTGAAACTAAGTAATTAAATGTAAATGGTCACATGTGTTAAAACATAATTAATAAAGCTGCTTTGGTTTTAGAATATAGCAAACGTGTGTTTAATTTAACCCAAATGGGGGGGATAAATTCACAGCACACCTTGGGTGTCCTCACTCCCAAAGTTTTATATACCCCTCTAACTTGCAATTTTATTATAGGATCGAATCGAAAATCGATATTTTTGGTTGTCAATTTTCCCAAGGATTTGAAAATCTAGAGCAACATTGTGCTAAGCTCTTTTGTCACCATCGTTCCATCCCTGTCTAAATCGTGTTCGGCTTAAGGACCTTCTAAACTTATATGTATATATTAAATATAAAGTTAAGTAAACCTTTTTGAGACTTAACCGCATATCTTTGGGCCTGCCAACACAGGGCTGTGGTCCCTGGCAGGAGGTTGGTTTATTACAGCAGCCGCGGCTTGAGTATACAATTTAAACACATTTAGTACGACACATATTATGGTATATACGGGTATATGGTACATTCTAGGGTTAAGCCACTCGCACATATACATTCTCTCAGTCGCACGCGCACAAAAAACAAACAGAACACACAACGTCGTACAGCCAGAGATGAGAATGCAGTCATGGTCGGGAGTCAATCAGACGGACAGGGCGGTCGGTCAGAGCTCCTCGAAGAAGGCGACGCGCGCTTTGGTGGAGCCGGACTTGAGCTTCTTGAGCGTGGAGTATTTATTTTCGCCGGCCTTAATCTGTGCCTCGCTGAGTATGTCCAGGTTGCTCTGGTTCTCCTCGATCTTGTGCGGTGCGATCTCCGAGCGCAGCGTTTGTAGCTGATTTTGCACCTGCTTCTTGGACTTTCGCAAATACTCGAGATGGTTGCGCTCCATCTCGTTGGTGATCTGCTCCATTTCGTTGTCGGTGAGAATGAACTCCTTGGGCTCGAAGTCGTCGGAGATACCGCTCGAGTTGTCGCCCTGGGCAAGATAGTGCGATGAGTGGGTGGTCAGCTCGGCACCGCCGGCGGTCTCCATGTCATTAGTGGAGCTGCTGGTGGTCAGCGACGGAGTGCTGATTGCCGCCATGCTGGACGCTGTGTTGGCTGCGTGCGAGACACTGGAGGCGGTCAGCAAACTGTCAGTGGAAGACTTGCGGCCGCTGTTGAGGAAGTTGAGGAGGCGAGCGGTGGCCTCGCGCTCGGCCATTTTGGCGCAGATTAGCTCCTTGCGTAGTTTCTCCGTCTCGGCCTCCCGCTTATCGTTTTCGACCGTAAGCTGGTGAACGTAGAAGTCGGCGTCCCGGATCTTCTTTTCCAGGTCATGCTTCTCGCGTTCGATCTTCATCTGGCGCTCGCGTAGTCGGTCCATTTCCGTCTTGAAGTGGTTGGCTTTACATTCGGTTAGCTGCATCTGCTCCTCGTTGACGCGGCTCTTCTCAAAGTACAGCTCCTTGGTCTCTTCAGAGCGGCGCTAAAAAAACAAAATAAGCTACATGTTACTGAGATCGGGGAGTGAAGAAAACACATACCAGAGCATCGCTGGCCATGCGCATCTCGTTCTGCAGGTGCTCCAAACTCTTCTCCATCTCGTAGCGCTCGTGCTCCGCCTTTTCACGGAGCTTCTTCTCCCTCATGAACTTCTTGCGCTCGATCTGGCGTCGCTGCTTCTCTTCCTTGGCCTGTGCCTTCATCTGCTGAATTTCCATGGTGTCGGGTTTGCGGCGCCGCATATACAGATCGTGGTTGCCCTTGCACAGGTCCAGTATCTGACAAGAATAGCAGGCAATAAAATGGCAACCTCCGCATCGAGTAATAAGTATTAGATTCCCCTTACCATCTTGTTAATGTGCAGGTCCTGTGAGTAGAAGATAAAGTTCGATACCTTGGCGTCCACCAAACGAATGGTGAATTTCTTGTCATCGAAGCTTACGTGCCGTATCTCGTTCCACTGGAACGTCGTCTTTGGCGTTAGCTTGTCGCGTTCGTCGTAGATGTTCAGGCCCACGGCGGTGACACCCAGCCACAATTTGGTTTTGTTCTTATTCTAAACGAGAATCGGTGATACTTAAGGTGCAGGATAAAGGGCAAGACAACGCTCACTGTAATAGGAAAGTAGTTGACGCCATACATGTCCAGGTCCTGGGCTATCTTCAGGTACTCCAGCTCCACCTCATCGCGCGTCATGGGCTCGTGGTCCATGTACCTTTGCGGGAGCCAATTAATTAGCTTGAGCCTCTCGATAAATTCTTAGTGTGCAGCTTTACTCACCACGTCTTTATGCGCACCTCCCACATTTTGGGCGTCATCTGGTACTGGTCGGTCACGCCCTTGGGCAGAAGCTCACCGCCGGCCAGCATGCCGTCCTTGTAGGTCTCGTAGTCGTACGGTCCGTACTGCACATGTACCGCGTACGAGGCCAGCAGAACGGACGCCTCCGGACGGCAATATATGTCCATCGAGAGGATGCTCTGCTTTACCTGCAGAAAGAACAGGTGCTGCGTGATCTCCTGGATCAGCTCCTCACTGACGTTCTCTGGAAAGAACTTCGCGTAGAAGCTAAACACATACACGTTGTTATTAGCATGCAGCTCGACCCGCTGGTCTCGAACCCGCTTGTCCATCTTCAGCCAGGAGACATTGCTGCGCGTGTCAACATACTGCAGACCGAAGTACCAAGACTCGCGCAAGCCAATGGTACGGCAGACCAGGTCGAACAGATCCTGTCCGGAGGCACGCGGCTCCAGATCGAACTCCAGCTCCGAGTCGAAGGTGCAGACTCGCACCGACAGGGAGCGGTTCTTCTTGGAGCCGAACGGGCTCATCGCGCCCTCTCGATTATGTGATGCTGTGAATGCTCAGGGAACTGTTTGGGCTTTAATTCTCAGGGATTTGGTAACGGCCCTGGGTTCTGGTTGTGGTTCTGTGATGTGCGTAATATATACTGGACGATCCTAATGCTCAGCGCTCTGCGCTGTGATAACTTGTTGCGTGGAGTGACTTGTTGCAGCTGCCGCTGCTGCTCCCTGTTCCTGGCCGCTAGTGGTCCGCTTCCTGGCTGCCGCTGGTGGTGCTGCTGCGACCCTCAGTAGTTGCACACTTCCACATCCACTCGCACTCGCGCTCGCACATATTGCAGCCAATTGGGTTGCTCGGAACAGTGGCAATGACGATTCCGGGCTGAAGGTTGAAGGCTGCTGCTACGAGAGAAAGAAAGAATTAGTAGCAACGGTTATGCGTCGCGCGTATTGCGAACTGTGCTCGATCAGCATACTTGGAGCGCAGCGCGAGGATGGTCGGCCACGGCTGGAAAAGATTAGATGACCGAGAGTGTTCAGTTAAGCAGTTTTACTTTCCCAGAAAAGCGAACTGGCACGAACTTTACACACTGAATCAAATAGATGTTAGAGCGTTTGCAAATAGTGCCGCATAAACGTTGACAGTGTGACCAGCCGTGGGATTAACAGAAAGCCTTATTCCCAGCAGCGCTCTGACCAAATACCAAACTAATAACTCAATGAAAACACAATTTAAATTCTCGGTTGTCGGCCGTAAAATATTATTTTGACCTCCATACCCGCCATTCTTGCCTATAGGCGTAACTATCATCCGTTGACTTTTAACCACTGTCACTACAGCGAAGAGAACCAGTGCTGCAAACCGAAGCAACACATCGAACTTCGCACTGAGCGCCAAATTCAAAATGCAAAACTCCATTTACAAATACTAAGAATACTCGACTAACCGTAGATCTTTATAAATACATGAATAATATACAGTTTGTAGATGGCAAAACCTAGCTTAGATGTGCCTGTTTGGGGAAGTCTCGACTCCACCTTGACGATGTTAATGCTCTCTGGTTTCGAGTTTAGAATGCTTATCACACAAACGCAATCGCAGAGTTGTCTCCTGCTCCATGCACACAATACAATAACAAAGGGATGTAATTTACGAATAAACTAGAACTAAAAGTGTTTGTACTCGGACCCGGCCGAAGCCTGCATCCTGCGACCTGAGTTTCGAACCTGGCCGCAGCCTGCATCCTGCGCGACCTGAGCCTCGATTGGCACTTAAAGGGCAGTCCAAGCCGCAGTGATTCGAGTTTCGATGGCTTTCATCTGGTGGAAAGCCACCGATCCTGGGCAGCTACTGGTTGCTGCGCTTCACTCTCTCCACATGTAAATCATAAAGCATCTTGTTCTTCTCGTAATAGTATGGATTCTGCTCGGCTCCCAGCTCTGGATTGTACTCGTTCACTGTCGGGCCAATTACCACGGCTGCCCCTCCGTCGCCAGCAGGTCCTGATGTTGGTCCCCGATAGTTGTTGGCGTCGCCGTTGCCCAGGGGCGGAATGCTGCAGCTGCTGCTGCTGTTGCTGTTTCCGTCGTCGTAGTTCAGGTGCAGATTGTTGATGCGCTTCGAGAGGGGCGTGGACTCGCAGGGAAGGTCATCCTCTCTGCTGCGCTTCCTGTGCGGAGATCGGAGTTGAAACATTAAGAACGCAGTAGTCCCAGTGACCAAGTGCGTCGCACTAGCCGTCAAATTCAAAAGGATTTTGCCAAGCAGGGGCGGGCATGTGACAAGGAAGAATATGTGTGTGGGGCGTTGGTTCCCACTTACCTAGTCTTCAAAAATCCAGCCATTCCGTTCCGTGGCCAGCGAGATGGATCTGGTCTATTTGCCTATTGTGTTTTGGCCTCCTCTCGTTCCTTCTCACGTTCCTCTTGTTCTCTTGTGGCAGTATGACCAGACTGTGTGAGCACTGCCGAGTCCAGACCGACTCCGGAAATCTGGTATGTTGTTCTTGGATATCTGGCGACCACAAGAAGGTGTTATCATGTGCTACAGATGCGATGATTCAGATTAATCTATCAGTTCGGATGACAAAATGTAAGTTTGGGAAGAGCAGACTAGGTTCCAGAAAATACCAACTCACCGGGTGGAAGCTCTACAACGTGGTGGCAACGCCGCGGCTCGTCACTCGCACGCATACAGCTCGCTGGAAAGAGAACACGAACACACAAAAGAAAATAGTAGTTTTCCGTACAAATCGAGCCCGACCCAGCCCAGAAAAGCAGAAATCAAAGCGGACCCGATAGCGTTTGTAATTACTGTTGAGTGTAAGTATAAATTAAGCACAGGGCGCCGGCGTTGAGCGGATTGCCAAGGTTCCAGTTCTGAAAATTGCGGATTAAAAGAAAAGGAGAAAATTCTGAAGAGAAAAGTGAACGAAAACGACGTTATCGACGACCGCTACTGTGTGTGAGTGTGTGCGTGTGTGACTCGGTGTGATGGTGTAAGTGTGTGACAAATGATTGGTTCCAAATTTCATTCTTTTTACGCTGCGAATGCGACACTGAATTGTAAATATTCCCCTGCTTTCTATTAATTGCAGGCGGCATCACAAGCATCGGTAGTCCCGTGCCTTGCCGAAAACAAGTTTACACCAAGCACATACATATGTCGTTGTTCTGCTACCTCTGCTGCTGTGTCCAAATAAATTAGCATATTGCCAGTTGCAGTAAAACTGCATTTTGAGCACAAGAACCGCACCCACACCAGTGCAATTGGAGTTCGAGTTATGCGAAGACCGTCTTGTACGTGTGCCTATTCGCTCAATTGTGTGTGTGCATGTGTGTCACATTAGAATTTTCTGCGCTTATCTGCGTCTGTGTGTTGTTGCTTTCGGTCCGTCCGTTACTCTTCTTCTTGTTCTGCTACTATTGCTTCTTCTTCTTCGGCTTGAGTCATCGCGCAGATACCCTACCCCGCATAGAGTAAGATAGATAAGAGGACCACCAGGGAATCCGACAGGAACTGCAGGACCGCACCGACGACACTCCCTGCCCGCTCCAGAAATTAGTAGATAACTAACTCCCCCCGTCATTTGCTCTCCCCTCTTCTTAGTTCTCCGTAGAGTGTTCTCTACAGAACCGAACATGCAAACCATCAAGTGCGTGGTCGTAGGCGACGGAGCCGTGGGTAAGACCTGCCTGCTCATCTCGTACACAACCAACAAATTCCCCTCGGAATATGTGCCGACTGTCTTCGATAACTATGCGGTGACGGTGATGATTGGCGGCGAGCCCTACACACTGGGCTTGTTCGATACAGCCGGTCAGGAGGACTACGATCGGCTGCGTCCACTCTCCTATCCGCAAACGGACGTCTTCCTTGTCTGCTTCTCGGTGGTCAGCCCCAGTTCCTTCGAGAACGTCAAGGAGAAGGTAAGATTGTGCAAAGTTACTTTTGGACAACACACTAACCGTGATTCGCTTTCAGTGGGTCCCCGAGATCACACACCATTGCCAGAAGACGCCGTTCCTGCTGGTGGGCACACAAATCGATTTGCGCGACGAGACCAGCACGTTGGAGAAGCTGGCCAAGAATAAGCAGAAGCCGATAACCATGGAGCAGGGCGAGAAACTGGCCAAGGAGCTGAAGGCAGTCAAGTATGTGGAGTGCTCGGCCCTGACGCAGAAGGGCCTAAAGAATGTCTTCGACGAGGCCATACTGGCCGCACTGGAGCCGCCAGAGCCGACCAAGAAAAGGAAGTGCAAATTCTTATAATTCGGTTTTCCTTTCTCTTCTGTCTGTCTGTCGGTCTACGTGCGTTTTCGTATCCCTTCCACTCTTGCTTCTTGCTAACGCCTTCTTCCCAGGCTGCCTGAGGGGCATTCTTCAATATATATACTGTATATTTTATATATCTTTATATATATATTGAATTTTGATTGTATTACACTGCACCCACTGCTGCCCTGAAGTTCAATTCCGTCACTCCTCTCTCTCTATTTCTATGTAACTGTCGCCGTGTATGTCCCCGTTCCGTTCTGGAACCATAGTCTATAATCACCGCATCCGACTATAGATGAGTTTTTATGATTTCATATGCTTTTTACTTGGGGCAGCCTTCTTCCGCCCCTAAAAACTTCCAGAAACAGAAGACAGAATTCGAGTCCCTCAATCAAATCAAAATCGACTTCATTGTCGTTTCTACTCCCATACTTCTTGTTTTTGGCGCAATTTTCTTATTAAGCAAAAAGAAAGGAAACACAACAACAATAACAATATAGCAAAAAAACAAATTATTTATATATATTTCTTTATATATATACAAGGATTAAGTGGAAAGTGCGGAAAAGATATAGAAGTATAGAAAACAAACAAAAAATAAAATGAGAACTAAGAAGAAGAACCATGCAATGTTTTGTTTTGCATCATCTGCAATTAAATCGCGATGCGAGTCAGTCCCAAGAGCAACGCGAAGACGTGAGAATTAATAAGCAAGAGCGCCAAGATTATATGGAAATATTTATATGACGATAATTGTGGCAGGCATAGTGGCGGCGAAGGGAGGAGTGGCCGCTAACAAGCTAATGAAACAAGCGAAGCATATTATGTAATAAAACTAAGAGTATTGAAATATATATATATATATATATATGATTAAAACGTAAATTAAAAGAAGCAAAGCAAGGAAAATGGAAAACCTAAACAGACACAACTGAAGTCTACAATCTATGTATATGTATGTGTATGTATATAAATATATATATATACATATAACATATATATCTATGCAAATATTGTATAATCCATAAAGTATATAAACAAATAGTTCAGAAAACAACAAACAAAAAGAAGCATAGATGAAAAACAAAAGGAAAATACGAACTAATGCATTTTTTAATATTTTATATGTATACATTATCAATTTTTACATTTTTTTTCTAGACCTTAGTGATTTAACATTATTGATTTCAGATAATATCTTATAATAAAACGAAATCCAAAACGAAAAGAACCCGGAGTCCCCTTTTTGTACGTTACAGCGGTGGGTGCCCAGCAAAAACGAATGTGTTTGAAAAAGTGTGAAATTAATTGAGATCTGGGACTTTTTAAAGAACATCGTCACCTGTCAGCTAAATTTAAAAAACGACTAATCGACGAGGAACAGAGATGATCCTGTTCCAGGTCTCTGTCGTAGTTCATATTATGCTTCTTCCAAGCGAACTTTACAGATAGATTGAATACTTCGAAACTATTATATAAATACATAGGTATGAATGTATGTAATTGTAGTTTAATTTTCAGAATATCCTATTTATAAAGTAGCAACAAAAACATATATCGTCTGCAGTGTTAGAGCCGTCTTCCTGCGAGATAGGACATGTGGACATGCCAGTAACTCTAATATCACTTAATATCAATCCAGCGGTTGTACCCACTTACACTTAATGTGTGCCGCATTCACATCGTCCACGAGGGAATCGGCAAAACCGGCACTGCCCTGGATATCGATATTGTCGTAGTCGAAGCGCAGGCAGCTCTCTCCGTCCTGCAACAGCTGCTCGACACCGTGCCAGGCAATCATCACACCGTTGTCGGAACAGTAGCGTTTGGCGGGACGAAAGCTCCGGCAGTTGTACTGCGCAGCCAGGTGCGTCATGTTCGCGTATATGGTATCGTTATTGGCCACACCGCCTGATACGACCAGCGTGGGTGGGGCGTCTTCAAACAGTTCGACGTTCGGTAGCAAGCAATACTCCAGCGCCCGCTGGGTGCGATGCATCAGGTGGCGGCTGGAAGCGCGCAGCAGTCCGGCACAGAAGTCCCAGTAGTTGCTGATGACACCGTCCGGCGGCGTTCGCTCCGACCGCTCGCGTGCTCTGATGGCGCGAAACGAGTTGTTCTTGATGCCGGCAAAGCTAAAGTTGCAGTTTCGCTGCTGCGCCAACGGAAGAGGGAACTCGTAGGCCAGCGGCTGACTGGCCAACCGGGCTGCATGCTCGATGGCTCGTCCGCCATTCCACAGCCTGTACTCGGGCAGCACGTGTAGCCGCAGGCGACGGGCAATTTTGTCAAAAGCCTCGCCGGGTGCATCGTCCAGAGTCTGGCCGAGAAGCGACAGGCGACCAGGGCCACGCACCAACACCAGTTGGCAATGTCCACCGCTCACCAACAGGCAAAGGAACGGAAAGTTAATGGTCGCAGGCTGCTCCATGCGAGCCTGTAGTGCGTGCGCCTCCATATGATGAACGGGCAACAGAGGCTTCTTCAGGCGGCGTGCCAAGTGCCGGGCAAAGCGTAGTCCAACCAGCAAGCTAAGCGGCAGGCCGGGACGCGTGGTTACGGCTATTGCCGTCAATTGATCCGGTTGCATCTGCGCCTCTGCTAAACAGCGCTTGTAGGCGGACTCAATACGGGCTCGGTGCAGGTCCTGTGCTCGGGGTGGTATGATGCCGCCATAGCTGCAATTAATAAGTGCATCATGTTCTACTCATTGACATGACACTGACATGCATTGTTGGATGGGACTCACCGGGTGTGGAACTCTTGTTGGGACTCCAACACGTTGGCATGCACGCGACCGTCGGTGTCCACTATTGCAAGGCCGGTGTCATCGCAGGAGGTCTCGATGCCCAGTACATAGCTAAGGTGGCGTCCGGAGGGGACCAGTAGTGGCAGACCAAACGCACGTCCAATTCCGGTCCTGAGAGCTGCATGCATAATGATTGGAGCCAGTGTTGCAAAGGGACCGATTTTTATTTAAACCTCTTCAAGCAGCTGACCGCGACATAACGGTTCGATAGTACCGGAATCATCGATAATTTCAATAACTAATTGACTGCCGCGAATTTATTTGCAATTTGAATTTCTGATTGTCAATTTCACTATTTAATTACTTTTAAGTAAACGGGAGGGTTATTGACTCATGTCATGATTTAACACTTAAACAAGGTATGGCAATACTTTATTGATAAAATTGTTGATATACATTTATCCATATTCGCCACTTAAGATGCCTCTACTTCCTTCTTTGTTCCCGGCTTAGTCCTTTCCTCCGGTACTGTCTGATCCCTGACAGCACCCACCACGATTTTGTCCACCGTAGTGCTCCAAAGGCCCCTGCCCTCCCTCTGGGAGACTTGCCGAAACCTGGTCCATGGTTGGGACAACAGGCAGCTGCAGCTCCTCGCTGCACAGCATGGATATCATAAGGTGCTCTGCGAAAAGGGCATGCTGGCGCTTTGCAATGGTGGTAGTTTCCAAATCCCGGGATAGGCGTTCTTGCTCCGCAACCCACGGCCCCAGGAGAAAGCCCTCGCGAGGCCGGTTGACTGATTGCTCCACATTGTGGAATTTCTTCTTATGACCCTGGGGCCCCTGGGTATTGTCATCGATGGGCTGGATGATGGGTTTGTTCCGAGACAGCAGTTGCCGTGGAAACTCCAGATTGTGGCAGCCACTACAGTATGCGTTCCGCTCCCCCATTATCCTGCACTGAATTCCGACTGTTTAAAAATTTGTGCAAAATGCTTAAAATTTCTATAATACCGATTCGAAATACCTGAACGTAAAAGCAGCTATTACCAAATAAAACAATATGATAAAGGACAATGACTTTTTGAATCAGGCCTACTTTGTATTAATTTCTTTCTTATGTGTTCCATTTTTAATAGAAAACTTGTTCCACTTTTATTAGTTCATTGAAGTATTGCAACATTTTAATACTTGGTTTGATTCTTATACCCTTGCAGGGTATTATAATTTCAGTCAGAACTTTGCAACGCAGTGAAGGAGGAAATCGGAATTCTATATATCGGAATACCCTGTAATATAACTGTTAGAGAAACGGTTGTAAATGCAAAGGATCAGTAAGTATCTTTCAACAGTAAGTAACTATGATCATTAATTAACTATGATCAGTAAGTATCAATGGCCGGTAAGTAACTATGATTAGTAGATAACTACGATCAGTAATTAACTATGAGCAGTAAGTATCTATGACCAGTAAGTATGTATGAACAGTAAGTATTTTTGATCAGTTACTAACTTTGAACACTAATAAACAATGACTTGCAACTTTTGTAACACAACACGTATCTGAGACTTGGCTGGTAGAAGACACTTCGTTCCGGGGATGTTTGAACTAGTTGGGAATTATATGCACATCTGTGCGAGATTTGTTTTGGAACAAAGTTAAGAGCAAGCTATTTGAATGAAACTATGGAGTTATTCTTATTTATAATTTTACTAGTATATAAGTCGGAGCATGGCGAATCGGTGGGCTATATATATATATATATATATATATATACATATATATATATATTATTATTATTATTAAATTAAATTCTCAGCAAATTAAAGTTCCTTGGATTGCATTTTACACCATAGCAATGTCATTTAAAATAATAAATTTAGAATAGATAATAAAATACTACCAAAACTAATACAACAGCTTTCTCAACAGTTAACGCAATCCTACCCCATTTAAGCATATTTATGAAAATCACACGACTTCATTTTTAAAGCTTATTTATTCGATGGAATCGTCCATGTAAAGTTTTCCAAATAACACAAAATTTCCCAATTATTTTTGGAATTAACACAAATCACTGGTGTCAGCTAGATAATGCCTGAAACAAGACAAAGGTTGTACATAAATTCATAACCGCTGATTAATCTCATGCACTCACCCTGCATCTCGGCCAGCTGCTCGGTGGTCATGACAACGGGCAGCTCTGGATCCAGATTGTCACCGAGGGGATCCACCAAGCTGCGATCGGCGATGGGGCCCATATAACACTTGCGCATTTTGAGGTACTTCATCCAGACGTTCGATATTCCCTCCTCCAAGTAGACATCGGCAATGCCGCCGATATTGCGAACACTGAGTTGTCCCTCGTTAATAAACACATGACGCGTGACGTGAAAGTGTGAGTTGGTAATGTAGATGTTTGGCGGAACGATCGGCATTGTCTGCGTAAGAAATATAAAAGAATATATTGTTAGCTTGATCTGGGAACCATAGCTATGCATTCGAAGGAGGTATGAATGGGTGATTGTGTGATTTGATACAAACCTTTTTCAGCTGCACAGAGCGCATCAAATTGACTTTAACCATATGCAAATTGCAGTTACGCAACTCTGCCAACACGCCCTCCAGCTGGACATTCTTCTCGCTCAGGGTGGCCACCTCGGCATTCAGACGCTCCTTGTCCGCCTCGCACATCTGCAGGGTCTGCTCCCACTCGCGGCCCATCGATCGCACCTCGTTGACATGATCCTGGCAGCACAGCATGTGCTGGCCAAGATAGCGCTCCGATATTAGTACCAGCTTAGCCATAACATACAGGAAGATAAAAAGGTACACCAAACTGGCAAATATGTCAAAAAAGCCGCATTCTTGGAGATCGCCTGTGTCCTTCTGTTGGAATAGGCCAACCACCGATGAGGCGGTCCACTGCAATGCGGTTTCAGCGGCGGTCGAGTTCTCCATTGTCTTCCGATCGTTCTTGTGTATTAGTTGAGTTTTTTGTTGTATAAACTTGTGATGTCGAAATCACGTCGGAATTTAAACAATGTCGAAGTCAACAGACTACAGGGCCTTTTTAGTATGATTGAAAGTTGTAATTTTGAAAGTAGATTACAGGCGTACTTTGCTTAGCTATTTGCTTGTGATTTTTGGGGCAAAAAAGGGGATTAAAGTATAATAATTCACATATTTATCCGATAACGATCCATACACAATCTTGCTAAAATGCTGCGGCTTACGCGTCTAAAAGAAAAATGTAAATGTTTTGATTAAGATAAATAATCAATTAATAAAATATATACTTAAAATACATTACCCTTTTAAAAATACATTACCCCTAAGTACAAGTCTCCATGAATGCTCTCTAAAATGGTAGAACCAAGCCATTAAAATATGTACCCAAAATAATTGCGCTTTTAATAAAAATCCAACATATTTCTCACTTACGATAAAGTTAACTCAAAAACATGTCTATTGAGTTATTGATGCAGATATATGTATGTATGTATATATATATTCGCTAAATTAAACTAAAAATGTAGCATGATCATAGCTTAAGACCATTTCTCTGCATGAGTAGAGGATGGTTTACGAAAATGAGAGCATTCAATGCGATTGCTTCTTAATTATTTTCATTTCTAATTTGCGATCTAGTAAGTAATAAAGGCCGTTTTTTCATGCAAATGCTAATGTTAATGTTTCTCATGAAATCAGATTTAGTTTTTTACATTTTTTAAACAAGCAATGAACGAATATTACTCAAATTTCGTTTTCAGTAAACACTATGTAGAAAGACATTAAAGTTATAACTTGCATAATGCTCATGCCAGAAAATTTTTCGTTAGCGAATTTAAAAAATATCAATTCGAAAATTTTACAAATTTAAATACAAAACAAGACAGGAAGCTATCTTCGCAAAGCCAAGGTTTGCGATTTGATCATGAGATTGAATAGCAAATCGATTATAACTAAGCCAAAAATGCATTCATTTTAATTCGGAAAGCGTTCCTATGTTAGTTTTTATTAGGTAAATAAATCTGCATACTAAATGTAAAATTTTAGAATATTAACATTTTTGGGAATTTTTTTTTTTAATTTAAACGATGCAACCCCTTATAAAATTTAAAAAAAATTGATAAAATATTTTTTCCTTCCAAACATGACTAGATCGGTTCAGGAATTTATGCTGATCAAGAATATATATGATTTATAGGGTCGGAAATGACTCCTTCATATCGGTACAAGCTTCTGACTGGCATGGCGTTATGAATCTTACAACTTATATACTGCCTTTGCTTTAAAAGTAAATCAGGAATTAACATAAACATTAACATGAAATAATGGCCCCTACTGAGCGATCCAACTATACATTCTGATTTCCATTCGCTTTGATGTTGATTTATATGCTTATATAAGATGCATGTCAATGTGACATAATATTCATATAATTCCATTACATCGAATTATTTTCTTCAGTTAATTCTTTTGACATGAATTTCGCAACCGATATTGGTAAGTGATTGTTTATATATATATATATATATATGTGTATATGTAGGTATGTATGCCTTGTTAGATCAAATAGAATTGAAAAGCGTACGATATTAGGGCAAAGCAAATCAAAAAATGATAATATGCAGCCATAGTATCAATTCCACTTCTGCAAGAGTTCTCCAAAAAAGTACATTTTACGGTCCATTTAATTCCATGAAAGTCCTGCAAAAGTCTGGCGGAAGTTAACTACATATATGACCTGATATACATAACTCTCTCTAGTTAGCTACTAATATACCGCTATGATTCTCTAGTGCAGTTCGACCCCCTGAACATCATCATCTACACGAAATAAAACATTTGATTGTGGAATAAATTTGTTGTTTTTAATTTTTGAATATTCTTTTTCATGGTTGTTTTGTTTGTTATTTTTGTTGTTGTTGTTCGAGGTATTTACAAGTTTTATTTTATTGTATATATCCTAAGTTCTGATCAATTTCTTCATCTAAACACGGACCGTGTGTATTTTATAGGCTAATTAGCGTATTGGTTCAGATCCTAGAGATTAACTATTCGTTAGAATTGCCTGGCTAATTTTCTAAAACATATCTAAACTACATACTATGTAGAGGCTAGAGTCCTGCCTAAGTGAACCTACGGCAACAGTTTATATTTTTTCTTGTATAAAATAGATTAGTACAGAGCTCTGCCTTGAGATGTTTGAAAAAGTTATTAAGCAATCATATAAATGGGGGAAATATATGTATATATAAATATGTGAAAACCAGGTATATAAAGTTTATTATAAAATTCGGTTCCTTTTTATACCCTTGAATCAAATATATACTGTGAGGAAATGTAATTCTTAAACGTGATTTATTATTGTTGTAATCAAGTGAAAAATATAAAAAGAGAATGGCATCGCTCCATATATTTTCATTATTTGACACTTCACCTAATATGTGATATGTAATTGGGAGTTGAACCAACTTGAAAGTCTGGTGTTTAAATATTTTTTCTTTTCTCCCTACCCAAGTACAAGCTGCACTCGGGCAGGACTCTAGCAAAGGACTATTGGCGTCCCAAGCAAAATGAGAATCAAGGCTAAAGAATGATGTTGCTCTTGAAGCTGCAGAGGAGATTCAGACTAGCGCTCATTTGGCAGGAAGACAAGGGGCCATAATAAGCGTTTCGGGCAGTGACACGGTCATTACTACAATCTTCTATTTTCCATATACAATAATACAATAATATCTGGCTGTAATAGAAATGAGAGGCATGTTGTACGAAAACTAATTACCTAATTTTGTACCTATAGCAAACCCGTTCGAAATGCATCAGATACCTGTTTTTTTAATATTCAAAATCTAACCTGATTTCAAGAAACCACACATTAACATTTGTTTTTATTATCTTTTAAGAAATAATATAGTTAGTACTTTGTTGTTGTCGTATGTGAATACCTTCCAGCTTCAAAAACGTTTTGATTACAAATTGAAATCAGTGTTGTGGCACACGCTGGGGAATGTGCAAGAAATAAGTGTAAGGTGTGGAAAGGTGACGCCTCAATAAAAGCCTGTTTCTGTTGGTAACAAAAGGTCGTGTAGGTTCTACCTATAAAACGAGTCCTTGCTTAGTTGAGGTAGTTGATCAGATCTCGACACATAAAGCATGTAAATTTCTCTGGAGTCCAACTGGATCAGAAAATAATAATTGAACTCTCTCGTATATATCAACGAAAAATTCATCAAAATCTTGTAAATCAACATTTGAATTTACTGTTTTTGCTTTGGGTTTTTCGTTTTTCGGTTTTTTAAGTATTTTTCCGTTTTAGGGGCAATGTCTCAGCAGCGCTATCTAAAATCTAAGACCTCTTATTGTTTTCAGTTTTCTTTCGCATTTGTTTTAAAATCTCGTGACTAACTTTTACGCTTTTTTTACGCTAATCATGAATTCTCTGTTAACTTTTGCTGTTCATTTAATTGTAGTTTAAAAATTCGTTACATCTAACTTGTTTTTGTATTCAACTTGCACGCGTTTTTTTGTTCTGTAACTTCGGAGATAGTTAAATATTTGTTTTCGTATGCATTTTGTGTGTATATCGTCTGACTTTACCCTTGGTTTTCTATGCTTGTTCCTAATACTAGTACTTGTTTGATTTTTTTTATATTTTTTTAAATTAGCAGTACGTTATATTCGGGATTTCGTTGCCACTGCATTTCTTGTTGTTTTGCTTTCATTTTAATTTTAAAAATAGTTAACTTTATACTTTGTTTTACACATTCTCATTGAAGCTTATATTTGTTGCTTTGCTCTTGCTTTTGCTTTTGCATTTGCTCTTGTTTTTGCTTTTTGCTTGTTGCTTTTTGCCTTTTGCTTTAGCTTTTGCTTTGTTTGTGTTTTTCTTTTTATTTTTTATTTTTTTTCAAATAACGTTTGCATTTGATTTAGATATAAGGATTGCTCGCTCGTTTTAAACGTCGACGACACTGCATCTGTATCTGTATCTGCGTCTGCTTCTGTTAATGTATCTGAATCTGTTTCTGTATCTTCGCGAATTGCCGCAAGCCTGTGTGTGTGTATATAGAAAACATTACGCTCGTGTGTATTATGTTGCTCGTGGAGTAGGATTGAATTCTTGTAATTGTCATATCGACTTTGACTTGCTTTTTGATTGTGTTTTATTTTTTTGTTTAGGTAATAATGAATGCCTTGTGCGATTTCATTTCAGATTAACGTTCGTTCTTTTGTTTTTTAAGTTTTTAAGTTTAAGTGCCATCCGCCAGTACCTATCCACTATCCATTATCCATCATCACTTTTGCTATTTTCTTGACCACTTGGAATTGGTGTTGTGACTGGATTACGTATTGTTATAATTTTTTTTCTATCACAGCAACATATTTGTATACACTATTTCATATATCAAAATTGAACAGTATGGGGATCAAAAGTATGGCAAAAGTACATTATTTTATACAATACAATGTGGGGAAGGGGGAGGAACTGAGGGTGTGGAAACAAACATTCAAAAACTGCTCAAATGTTGCATACAGACTATTTTGAGTACTTAATATATTTCATTATTGTGTGAAGCCGTATATATGTATATGTATGTCGTTAAACGTTCTCTCATCGCGATCTCAAGTCGAGTTGGGAGGTTGGGTGCTTCATAGTAGGGAGCTCGGAAGCTAGGGGAGCTTGGGAGCTTGGGAGCTCTTCGCGAGTAAGAAACCTCAGCTTGTGTGTCGCATGGGGGCAACTTATGTAGTATGTATGTATGTACAGACAATTATTGTACCAGCTTGATTTCATTATGTATACAAAATGCATTCACATACGTACATACGCCATTATCTGAACTGATCATAATACTCTTGATAACCATCAGACACATCTTCGAAACTATGAAATCATAAGGAACAAAACGGATAGACTCCCAATACTCTGTCTGTCTCTGTTTGGCCTATGCACTTGTCTTGATTATTTTCTTATGATTTTTTGATTTGCGTCATATATATATTTCACAAAAGTACGACCCATGCGAGTTATTCCTTTCCCACCCTCTTCCTGTAGTCGTCGTCATCGTAGTAGTTACCTCCATCACCTCCTCCTGGGTTCATTGTCCTTTTCGCTGCACTTCCGCTTCCGCTTCCGTTTACGGGAACTGCAATGAAAACGCATTCTGTGAAAACTATTCCCATCGCCATCACTTTGGCAACTTACAATGAAATGTGGTGCTGAGAAGAGTACCGCAAGGGTTGCAATAATAGTAAATAACGTGAAAATAATAAGGCACAGGCGGTCGACGACCATGGCTGCAAACTTCCAATCTCGTGTTATGTCACCCGTCTCGTCCTCCTTTTTGAGCTGCGAATGAGAAATAAATGTTATTAAAATATAGTAGGTCTGACACATAATAATAATAAAATGTATAGTAAATACAAACAATACAAGCAGCATGTACATATATAGAAGAAGGTCTTATCAGCTTTCTTAAGAATGATAAACATTTACAGCTCTCAGTGCCCGTTTAGAGATCACCTTCTATGATGCCGCTCATGGTTGCAATTTACTCTCATTTAAAGATATATCATATATCAAGTAGTGTTAACAATAAGTTAAGATTCCCTTTAATTTAACTTTTGTAGCAGCTAAAGCCTGATCTACCTACCTGATCTGTTATCCAGCGAAGTTCCTTGAGTATCAGCGCCAGCTCGTACTCAGCCGAGGAGCTCAGGCAGGTGTGGGAGATGGCTTCGTGCATGCGCGCCTCGGCAACAGGTCCCACGGGGCCCACGGGTCCCACGCTGCCGTCATCCCCCTGCCTGTGTGGGGTATATGATGTCATATTATAGATTTATTGGTGAGAATAATAGTTCTAGACTTTAGACATATATATAAATATGTAAGATATTATATGGAATATTGATAACATGTTATTTATCCTATGGTATGGAACGAATTAATAGTGGAACTCTTTGTAGAACTCTGAAGATGGCCCTCACCTGTACAACGTCCTGAAATATGTAGGCTGGTGCGGCAATGTGGCGCTGGCACAGCGATGGTTGCAGCGAAAATCATCGTCTATATCTAAGACATTCGCCAGCAGCGATTTCGAGGATCTTCAGAATCGAGAATTCAGAACGCAGAGCGAAGAATGCGACAGAAGAATGTGATAGATAGACAGAAATATGTATAGGGTCAGAGAGCAGGCAGAACTTGGACGGTTGGAAGGACTAGAGACTTAGGAATACTAGAGAGAGACTGTCGTCTGCGGTTACCTCTCCTTGAGCTCAACGTTCTGAATCTGTTGCTTTTTGTCGCCGGCATTCGATGAACTCGACGACGAGGGCGGCGGCGGGCATTCATAGCCAACCTGTCCGGGTCTTTGCATGCGCAATATGCAAGGTAACCAATAAAGGAATATTACTCTTATCTGTGTGTGCGAGTTCGATAGAGAGACGGAGTGTGGTTGGGTAATGCGGTTAAAAATAATAGCAATAAGTATTTTTTAGTTTTTTTTTTAATTTGAAGGCAGTTTATGTCATCATTTTTTTAGTTTCGTTTCATTTATGTTAAATGTTCGTAGGTTTTTTTAATGTTTTTTTTTTGAAAGTTGCATTATTAGTTGTTGTTGAAGCGACACGATTGTTGTTGAATATATATATATATAAATATATATACGCATGACATCGAGGATGAGCAGAATGAGAGGTATTTAAGTTTGGGGATTATTTATCGGTTTATCGTCAGATATTTATTAATTTTTTATTAGCACATTGTTTGTTGTTGGGAGTGGTGGTGAATTTTGGTGAGTTTGTTGGTGATTTCATTGGTGTATTATGAGTAAGTCGGATGTTGAATGTTGCGTGTTTCATTGGTGTTCAGGTGATCGACTCGTGCATGGGCCGTCGTTGTTTGTTGTTGTTTCATTGATTCGATTTCGTTTTTTGTACGAAGATTGTTCATTTTTGGTTGTTATTGTTTTGTTTGTTGTTTGTTTGTTTGTTTGTTTGTTGGTTTGTTTGGTTAAAATTGTTCAAATGGCAGGGAGAGACAGAAAGATACACATATGTAGAAATAGAAAGAGAGATATATAGAGAGAGAGAGTTGAAGAGGCAGTTTGCAGAGTTTGCGTTGGAAGAAGAGTTGAGTTGCCGGTTTGCGTAGTTGTTGTTGTAGTTGTCGGCCAGAGTTTTGGTTGAAAAATAAAAATTGTTGTGTGAGATTATTGGTGCTGTTGTTGGCAGAGACGCATTTTCATAAGTAAGTAAAGTAAGTAGTATGCGCACATTAATTACGAACGAAACACAAAAATAAATAATCAAACAACTAGGAGCTTTGTAGGAGGGCCAAACTTAACAAAATAAAAATAAAACAACATTTGAAATAAAGGCATCAGAGTATAACAGCATTTTTTGTTCTTCATTTTGCATTCAAGGAACTACTGAAGTTAAAAATTCTCTTGGGAATTTGTGTCCGAAATTGATGCGCAACGAATGTTAATTTCTATATAATCTGGTTAACCGTTATTTTCATCTTTAATTAAAAGAAACATTGTAAATATATATTTTTTTATTTTATGAAGGAATATATTTGTATTGAATAATTCATAAAATTTAAATCGTATTCCTTGAATTGAATAATAGATGACAAAGTTATATATTCGCGAAATAACCATGCATACTCTTAAAAAAAAAGTTTAACAAAAAATAAAGTTAGCTTCGGCGAGCCAAAGTTTTAATACCCTTGCAGGCAAAAAAATTATTATGTTGATAAGATTTTGGAAAGGTTTGAATTATTTATTGCTATACGACAGCTTGGAATGGGTAAAAGACAATTGGCATATTTTTTATTTAACCAAATGCCTTAAGAGAGCTCTAGTAACAATTTTCCTTTAAGTTATTCAATTTTCACTGAACAAAATACATGGAAGAACTTTTCAAGTAAGTTTTTTGCTGTTCTGTGTACATAAAGGTGACAGTCCATAGGTTAGAATGCATCGAAAATTGTTCATTTGAAGAAAAGAATCGGAAATTTGATGCTTTTTAATATCAAGATGATATTTAATAATATAATTATATAAAGGGAATGAAATTATAAGGGTAATCCATCGATGGATAACATTGGTTGTGGTTTTCTGTGCCTGCAATATATATATTTAGTATACGTTATTGTGTTTTGATATTTGTATGAGAACGCTTTGGGGATTTGGTTTTTTTTTTTTTTTTTTTTTAAGTTTAAAATTGTAAGTTGAGTGGCGTTTCTTAATTTAGGTTTTCGTTCGCAGAACACTGGTAAAGAGATGGGAGGAGGATTAGCTGTAGTCTCTCATGCTTTTCTCGGGTATATCTTCTTGCAAGTCCGTGGGTGAGTTGGTGTAGTTGAAGTTGGGTGACTTATGAGCGAAATGTATAGGTTTATGCGTACTTATTTTTGTTTTTTTGTTTTTTTCTTTATTATAAGTATCCTAGCTATTTACAAACAAATAGGTTTAAAGTGATTCGTTTAGTTTGGATAAATAAAATTACATACGTATAGATGTATGTTTAGCAGTGGAATAATAAATTAATTTCAAAAGATAAGATCTATATGTCTTGAAAAATATGGATAGAAAATTCGTTTGTTTTTTGTATATATAATTTTTTTTGCTTTTTTTTTGTTTTGTACAAGGTAAGAAAGTAGTTAAGTTAATTTGAATGTAAAAATATTACCCATTCACTCATTTCATGCGTATCTGGATTTCTATGATGATAATTGAGGATAAGTATGGTTGACACAACTGATGAGGCCACCATAAACATAATGCAATTGAAATAAGTTCCTAGAAGGACACAAAAATTACACAAACTTGTAGTAATTGTTCGATTCGTTTTCAGTATTTGTTTTTTGTTTTATTTTTCTTTTTTCTTAGCCTAGCCCCCGAATTGATCACACGATGTGGATATATTCTGGCCTATCCTTCAGTATTCATTGATTAATTAGGGTCGGTATTTTGTGAAATTGTATTGAGTGTGTATTGTTTGTTGTTGTATTTGGTGTAGATTCCAAAACCTGTTCTCATTTCCGATTGTTAGAGGTCATAATTTGATTCCAATATACGATTCGCGAAGAATTTCTCTTAGACTCTGAGTTATTTAAATTTATTTATGTACAAGTATCACGAGGGAGTGGAAAAATAAATCGTGCTTATAAAAAACGTATTATTTGACTTTATTTTTTATGTACAAGTATCAGAAAAAATATCTTTCGGAAACGGGAACTGGGCTATACGTACGTATGTATGTATATGTGGTTAACAAAAAACAAAGCGTCCGATTTCAATTTCAAAATCTCTCTTAGACTTGTGTATAAATTTACATTAAATTTTGGAAAGAAGACTAAAATATGTATATTCCTAGAATGCTACCTAAGCATAGGCTTGTGTATGTGTTCATACCAACTCTGCAAACTTATAATTTAGTGTCTAAGCAAGACTGCCTCGACTTGGGGTTTGCAGAGAAGGCAGATCAGGCTTAGGTGTGTTTTGATTACGAAAAGGTAAAATTAGTAGAGAAAACACAAACTGTAAGCAAGAGTAGTAGAGGAAATGTAAGTAAGGCATAGCTGCTGTGTTTTTGTTTGCACAAAATTTCAATATTTTACACGTAATTACTGGTCCTGCTCAAGCCCTGAATTTCACCAATGCCCAGCCATAAACCCCAACCCGTTGGTGGCCTGTCCTCTGACCTATCTCTATTTCCATTTATAAACTCGATATCTGACATTATAGCCCAGTTCAAGGCATCCTCCAGCTGCAAATCGGATTATATATCGTATATATCCGAACGACTGAAGGGGGAGACTGGATCTTGAACTGGACTGAGTTTTGCCTGAATTCTTGGCCGTTGTCGCCTTTGTTTTTTAGTCGTTTAGTGCACAACCAATTATCCGCAATCATCATTTTTGGTTAAAAATCGAGATCTAATTGGTAATTTTCTCAATTGTTTGTTGGTCTAGACTTATGGATAGATATATATATATATATATATATGTGTGTATACATATATATCTGACATTGTTTGTAGTTTCACTATGGTCTGTTTAGTTTTTGTTTCTTGTTTTGACGTTGTTGTTCGTTGTTTTTAGTTGGGAGTTTAGATTTGGATGAGACACGGTTTTAATGAGGTTCAATCAAATGATATTTATATAATTTAAGTTGTTTAATTTAGACGTTTGGTTTATAGTTAATATTAAATGTCATTTATTTATAAATTATGCGCAGCGGATGACGAACGAAAAGAAAATGTTTTTCCTTTTTGTTTTTTTTTGTTTTACTGAAAATGGAAATGATGCGATGACAATTTGAAGGTTCTACGAATTCCTCGCCAAATGATATCCAGAATATGTTTGTTTGGCTATATTATATATGTGTTTTGTTTTTGTTTTTTGTTTAAACTATTTTAGACTAGACATTAGAAAGGTTGTAATCGTGGCTAAGTTCATCAATGGATTGAGATTGAGGATTTCAAAACCGAATAAAATCATATAGTAAGATGGCTGATTCTCAGGAAACAACTGTTTCGAGATCCATGGCATAGTGGTCGTGGTTATTTGGGACATGGATGTTAACGGTTATTGGCGAATGTGTTTCTTGGGGCACACACGTTCCATCTAATCGATCTACGAACAACATGGGGCAATGGGCATTGAGCATTAGCGTGACATTCAAGTGCATTTCGGTCCTGAGAGCTCCAAAGTGTTCCCCATTGATCGTTGCGGAAATGCGTTACCATCAAAAATTTGCCACAGATTGGGAATAAATTTGAAATAAAAGCATTCGAAAGTACGCAATGAAAAAATGTGGAATGCGTTCCTTGTAGTATCAGCTTTAATTGAAGGACAGTTTAGTTCCAATTGGTTTAGTAAAGCGACAAATGACACACAAGTATATACGCGTATATACAATTTCTTACTTTAGTATTCACTCCCTGATGCATAATGATTTTTGATTATTGGTTATTTCTGTATATAGGTTCTACTGTGGAAACGGTCGACAGGTTTACCAATTCGATTAATCATTATAGGACAAGCAATACCAAAAAGTATATCAATTTCATAATTATTATAACCATGGTACCGAACGAATTTTGAATTCTTTTTATTATTGGGGGAATTTATATGGAACGAGTATCTGGCTGCGTGTTTGATTTACAAGTGTATTTATTGGGAGGAGAAGGAGGATTCTGCTAGGGGCTGGGTGTATGATACTGTGTACGAACTTATTCGGTGGGAGGAACAGCACAATCACATTGTAAGTAACACAATAACAATAATAGTATTATTGTTCTACCACACTACATAGCGATTAATTAAGAAAATCAAATGAACTAAACTGTCTCTTTTAGAACGAAACTGAGAAACCAAAAAACAAAACACAATCATTCAGTAAAACGTTCTTACAAAGCTGAAAAATATATATATATATATATAAAGTATATAAAATATTAGCAAGTGGTGGATCTGGTTCTGCATCAAGAGGTCGGTTGATTTATCTGATATATGATTAAATATCCTATAGATGACATATACTACAACTAATGTTTGCACCAGGCCTCGAAAAAGGAAGTATCATCATCAGGTCATCGAAAAACCAGGGCGAGCCTTTGTGTTTCAAAGAATTCATTGGTTTAGGTTTGACATTGTATCTATTGTTATGTAAAAAGACACCTACCAACTAACTTTCATTACAGTTTTGGAGGTGAACGCTAAAGTGACTTAACTTTAAGGCCTCATTGATCTACCGAAGCCCCTTATCCATGATATAGAAAATATATTCACTAATGATTTTATTATAAAAGGAAATCGGGTTTCACTTCTTCACCAATGACTTTTGCAATTCAAAAAGTATATATTTATCTATCTTAATGTTCAAAATATTTCCACTGATCTATGCAATATCTAGGAATAGGTCTATATTTTGTATTTCAAAAAGGGTTCTAGTTTATAAAAATGTTAATATACATTTGATATCTTTGATATTTTGTAATACTTGTGGTAGAACAACATAAAAATTTGGTCTGTAACGCGTATCACGTGGATATACATATGTGAAAAGCAAACAACCGTCTTGAAAGCAAAAACCTTAAAGATTAATTCGGAAAGAAATTCAATTTCTGGTAAACAAATAAGATCGTTAGCTCTGTGCACTCACGTGTTAGGCGTACAAAAAAAGCGGTAGTAAGTAGATAAAGTAAAGTTGGAAAAGTGTGGGAAAGTGGGTTTTTCTCATCAAAAGGGAGCGCACACATTATTATTCAGTTTCTGTATGCAAAAAAGAGCAGAGTTTGACCAGAGTTGAGCCGAGTTCTTTTTATTTTGGGTTCTAAGTGTGACTGTACCGGAGTTCTGCCTTGGCTCTAAGTGTGAGCGTTCTCGTGTGGGGCTGTACATACATTCTATGTTGAGAACTATTGCACCTAGTATACATATATCGAGTTACACACACCTAGCTAAAATGTACTAAGCACTCGTACCGGGTATGCGCTGTGGTGTAAGCGTGGTGGGTTCTTGGTGAAACTTGTGGAGTGTATGTTGTTGTTCTTGTTTGTGGAGTGTTGTGGAGTTGCATTTTGTGAACTGTGAACTGTGGGCTGTGAACTGTGGGCTGTGTGTGGAGACGGAAGGGATCAAACTGACTCGGCTGGTTCAGCTGGGACCAGGAACAGCTTGGACCCACTCAGTCCTTCGTCCTGGTGCCTGGTGGGCGGGACATTTGTGCTCCTGCATGCCGACAAGAACATTTTTTCGCTTACATTATGTGGTAGTGGTCCTTGGCAAAAGCTCACTGGCACAAACACAAAGGAACAATGGAAATTAATACGAAATCAGATACAAATCAAACAAATAAATCAATTCACATACTCGAAATATCGCAAATGAGTTCACACGACGATATATATACATATGTACATATAGTCTACCATTTTGAGTATATGATTTATCTTTAGAACAAAAAACAATGGGGACAAAAATCCCTCTTTTTGGACTGCCAAATCAGCCCTTCGCGAATATACTTTACTACAGCTACAGTATATGAATAATAGGTAATATGTAACTATTAGAGTACTTGATGGTTCTTTGATGTTTTAAAATATATCTAAATCAGTATTTCGGTGGACTGTGACTGTAGTTTATTTTGTTAATGTTCTAGTTTGTACATACAATTACTAATAAAATTGAAGAAAACTTGTGCAAAGGGAAGTCGGAGGAGGACAAGTAACAAAATGTGCAGGAGCAAGACTTTTTCGTGTGTTAGATGGGCATGCAAAAGTTAATTAGGAAAACTAGTGTGTGTGTATATATTTATCTATATCCGTTCACTTGGGTCTATTTATATAGTCAACTGTGAAGTTCCGATGGGGTTTATACAATATATATATGCGAAATGGTTCTACTTTAGAGGAGTGCAGCTCTAAACAAAGGCATTGGAAAGAATTTGCGTATTTCCAGATGCCCAGATCATTATTGTGAGTTGGGGTTAAGTTTTACTAGTAAAAGTATTTCCAAACAGAAGTTTTTTAGGCAAAACCTACTTCAAATAGTACCCAATTGATGACTGACTTTCACATCCAGCCGAGTTATTATGAATTTCCAAATAGAGTCCTTTGGAAATTCAGGATTTAAGTTCACCGAAGGAGAAGGTTTCCTACACAGTTCGTAAAATAGGTCCGACCCTTATCATCATTCAAAACTATCACTAGTTTCGTGTTACGAAGCTTTCTCTTAAAGTTTAGCTCTTTTTTTTGCCAAGAATTGCTGCTTTTACTTAGAAAGTGGTCTCAAGAAAACGAAAGCTGCTCGCACTCTAAAGCAAATCTGAATAGAAGAGATAGGACACGACCAAGAAGGAGTTTGCGAACTTAGAAATCTCTCCGAGTTCTTTAATGGTCCACACAGTGGGTTTAGATACCAAAATACAAAACTACATACATACATATGTACACATGTACAAAGTCTGATTAATAGTATAATATTCAAAATTACAATTTACCCACGGAACAAGATCATTTTACATGCCTCCCACTACTAGTAGACCAACCAACATGCAACTTAACTAACCGATTTAAAGGGGAAATGCTCTGATAGCATGCCTATGGCTTATGGTTTATTTTCAGTGATTGGGCAAACTAACCCTACTGGAATGGCAGTGTATGTACTTCATGTGAATGGTCGGCAGGGGGGAGAGAGGACATTTCATATGAAAAGGGACACCGATGACAGCGATGATGCCGGGGCCAAATGATTCGATTCAATTTGTTTATTTGTGATATACCCTAGTTTAGGCAGCTGATTGTCAGGCCTTCTTCATGTGTGCCCCAAATTCACAAGACGAAACAAATTTTGCAATGGCAACAGAGGGACAAAAGGACAAAGACGACAATTAATGACAACGAAAAAGCGAATGCGATTGCGAATGCGAATGCGATGCTCCTGGACGACTGGACGACACTGTCTCGAGGGCTGTGCGAGAAGTAGAATATGTGGCAAAGTTAAAGATGGATTTTTGCTGAATGCGTTGAGAGTGCGTTAGTTAAGTAGCGTATATTTAGACGTAAAATATGTTAGGAATTTTTTCTTATTTTTCTTTGTATTTTTTTCTTTGGCATTTTTGTATTTATATTGGCCACGGGCTGTACTTACCGAGCAGCGGCACTGCATCGGAGGTTGCCGGCATCGTTTCCGCCACCATGTTGAGGAAGACTGTAAGCGATAGTAAAATAGTAACTCCTGTTTTGTTTTTTTTTGGTTTAGATTGGATCCGGCGTTGGCATGGAATAAAATCAAATTGAGATTACATTAGTTGTGCATCATATATATATATATATCAGTTTTTGTTCCAAACTGCCGCGAAATAAACACATAAACACACACACAAAATATACACAGTTACGTTTACAATTACGATTACGATTACGGCAAGACAATATATGTATATAGTATACTATATGGAACAAGAATCCTTCTGAGCGCTCTTTCCTGCGATTGCGATTGCGACTGCGGCTTGGCATGGCAGATGTGTTTTAGTGAGTTGTTTGTCGCTTCCATGATCACGTACGTTTTGCCTTCAATAAAAAACTACTACCATATTCTCTGCTCTGAACCTCAGGGCCCTAAGCGAGATGGGAACAAGCTTAAGGTTCTGTCCGTGTCTGAGATCCTATCCTATCAAATACCCGACAGACATAGTTATGGAGCATGCACCCTAAAGTCCTGTAAGCCCTGTAAGCCATTTAGATCGAAATTATTAAACAAAATTAAGAAAACAGGGAAGGAAGCTAACTTCGCGATACCGAAGTTTGTTTACCATTGCAGTTTGCGATTGGATCATGAGATTCGAATGGGAAATCAATCATAACTAAACCAAAAATGCATTAATTTCAATTTATAAACATTTTATTTTCCTCAAACATGGCAAGATCGATTCACCTGTTGATGCTGATCAAGAATATATTAGATTTATAGGGTCGAAAATTACTCCTATGATCAGTAATTAACTCTGAACAGGAAGTATCTACGACCAGTAAGTATCTATAACCAGTAAGTATCTATGATCTGTAATTAACTATGAGCAGTAAATATCTATGACCAGTAAGTATCTATGATCAGTATGTATAATCAGTTACTAACTTTGAGTACTAATAAACAATGACTTGCAACTTTTGTAACACAACACGTATCGGAGACTTGGCTGGTAGAAGACACTTCGTTCCGGGGATGTTTGAACTAGTTGGGAATCATATGCACAGATGTGCGAGATTTGTTTTGGAACAAAGTTAAGGGCAAGCTATTTGAATGAAACTATGGAGTTATTCTTCTATATAATTTTACTAGTACATTAGTTGCAGCATAGCGAATCGGTGGACTATATACATATATACATACATATATATACAGTTGCCATAGGAACGATCGAAAAATTTAAAGAAATAATATAACTTTTCCAGTTTTCAACAGATTTTCATCAAATTTAATATATAGCCTTTATATATTAATCAAGAATTTTGTGTAACATTTTATGAAAATCGGACTTCTATATAATATAGCTGCCATATAAACGATCGGTAAAAATAAAGGAAAATTAAAAGCGGCAAATGAAATGAAAGCAGCCATTAGTTTATTGTTTTTTAACAAAAATATATATAATTTATATTGCATTAATTCCTAGTGTTCGAATTTCAATCTGCAAAGGTATACAAACTTCGGCGTGCCGAAGTTAGCTTCTTTTCTTGTTTTTTTTTTTTTTAATTTTGTATAGGATATTTTTTAAACAAAAATCGCATAACTTAAAAATGCATCAATTTCAATTCAGAAAGCATTTATGTTTAACGTTCTTAAAGCTTAATAAATCTGCATACTAAATTTAATATTAAAAAAAAAAACATTTTTTACGATTTTTGAAAGTTTTAACGATGTAACCCCTGAAATGGCTAGATCGATTCAGCTGTTGATGCTGATCAAGAATACATATGACTCATAGGGTTGGAAATGATTCCTTCACTGCGTTGTAAGCCTCCGACTAACACTAGAATACCCTGGAAGTGTATAAAAATAAGCTCCTCACACCTATAACTTTTTTGGAATTTCTTTTAGCTTTTTAAAAATAAACCTTGTTTCGCTCTACTCATCAATGAATCTCAGAAAGGTAATCATATTACCTGAGCATTATATGTAATATTCAAACTTTTATTTGAGTGCATGGATTCCCTTACTTAAAATATCTACAGCAACCAAAGTTGGCAACCAAAACAAAAAATATAACCATGCAAAGTGTAAACAATCGCAAATTGCAAAACTGCAATTGCAAATAGATCTCAATAATTGCAAAGACGCAGTAGTCGTAGGGCACGAAGAAGGTTATATTACATTCTTGTAAATGCAGTTAACACCTTTTAGGAAGCGTTTCTGAAATTATAAAGAATAGCTTGGTTCTATTCTGTAATTAGGTTTTTGTGTAAATGTAAAAAACTTAATATGTAATAAACGAGTTTTTCTTTAAGTTTGAGAACGTTTCCCTCCTATGTCGCATTTACACGATTTGTAATACACCATAAACTTATAGGGAAGATGACACTTCCAAGGACCTAATAAGATATCAGATTCCTGAGTAAACTCAGGTGGACAGGGTTTTGTAGTTGTGGTGACTAGCAGCGTTATTTGCCAAACATGCAAAAGTTGTTAATTAATTAATCAATAGATACTCGAGATGCAGTAGCAAAAACAAAAACAAAAAAGACCAAATAAATAAAACATTAACGGATAGCTGGCATTCATTCTGTTAGATAGTTTTGACATCAACAACTGATTTCACTATTTAGAGAACAACGATAGTCGGTTTTTTGTTAAAGGAACTCCTCTAGCGGGGTTATGTATGTAGTAGAGTCGGAAGGAAGAATAGAAATAGAGCGAAGTTGAGAGACGGAAGGGCGGAGAAGGGTTTTTGTTGTTGTTGTTGGGGACAACACTTACCAAGCGATAGCTTTTCACCAGAATCTGGTGGTAGTGTAAACCCTAGCAGTGCCATGGAGGCGATCAGTACGCACGGCACAATCAGATTGAAAAAATAGTACAAAGTTTTGCGTCTTATCAAAATGGCGAATGTTATGTCAATATAAGGTTCTGGGCAGCAATTATAGTAGATTTCATTTCGTTTACCGGGCACACCTGATGGGTTGATTGATTCGATTGGATTTTGGATTTCGGGTTTCAGGATATTGATTCGAGCATGTGCGTGGGAAGATGGATTTTCGGTGGATTCGGTGGGGAGTTAGAATGACAGATGACCAGTGGATGGAGTAGAGAAGAAGAGATTAAATACGAGATTAATACAGACATTTACTGCAAACGCAAAACATATATGTTGCGACCACAACGTCTCGCCTGTCATTCACATTAATTACTTACCTAACAGGTCCCACTCGCCGTTGGTTATAAAGCTTGAAATGTCACCTCCGGCCTCATCCTGCAGCTGCAGGTCCAACTGTCGATAATATAAATAATTCTTAGTTAGTCCAAACAATATACATATATATTTTTGTAACAATATAATTTATAATGGGGAAAATAAAGAAGATTGGATATTTAAACCAAAGATTGTATGTGAAACGCCACATCTGAAGTATTATACTGACTTTGGCTAAGTTACAGCGGTCCTTTTAGAAACATATGTACATATAATTCAATCCTTAACATCCCCTGCAATGATCTATCTAGAATTTACCTGAAAACCATCATAGGTCCACGAACCAAACTTCATTTCACATCTCTGATCGTCAAATGGAAACCACGTGATGTCTATCTTGCAAGTGGATTTGAATATGCCCGGGGGCACGTACAGGCAGCTCCCATTATTGCGGACCACCACATTTGTTGCATAAGTGCCGTCGAAACCCTCATCCGCACTGCAATTAACAGATAATGTATTGATTAAGAACAGTATGGGATTAAAAAAGAAAATAAAAATACATATAAGGAACTTAGTTCCAAGGGCATAAGCCTATTCCTGTAATTGTTACTAACCTATTGTACATGAGCACATCCGGCTTCCATAGCCGATGTGGCGGAATTCGCAGGTCTCGTACTCCTCCAAATTCACTGGAATTCCAGCGCAGATTCATGTCATTCCATTCCTAGAAAAGTCAATGAAAAATTCGATGATTCACTAAAGCTTTAATTGCTATATATTGTTTATAACTATATAACTATATATTGTTTATAATTATATAACTTATATATGTCAAAAATGAATTAATTTCAATTCGGAAAGCGTCCCTGTATTATTTGTTTGGCGAGTAACAAATCTGCATACTACGTTTAATTTGTTCCTTTGTTAGTTTTTTGATGGTCAATAATTTTTATTTGATAATTTATTTTTTAGTCGATTGTTTTATATTAAATTGTTTGGAACAGTCAAATCCTAAAAGTCGCATAACTTTGTAAAAAATGCATTAATTTTATTTCGGAAAGCGTTCCTGTGTTAGTTTTTTGGAGTTTAACAAATCTGCATACTAAGTTTAACTTTTTAAGATATTCAATTTTTTTTTTAATTTTTGCACATTTTGACGATGCAACCCCTTAAATTTTTAGAAAAAATTTAAAATGGTTCTTTTGCTTCCTGAGATGGCTAGAACGATTCGCCTGTTAATGCTGATCAAGAATATATATGATTTATAGGGTCGGAAATGGCTCCTTCACTGTAAAAAATGATATTTTCCTCAGCAAGATTCCTAAAATTGATTTTTTTATATGATAATTTTTTTGTAAGGGATTTTTCTATATCATATTTTTTGGAACAACCAAAGTTTAAAAATCGCATAACTTTGTCAAAAATGCATTAATTTCAATTCGGAAAGCGGTTCTGAGTTAGTTGTTTGGCGCTTAACAATTCTGCATACCAAATTTTCCTTTTTAAGGTATTCAAATATTTTTTTTAATTTTTGCACATTTTGACGATGCAACCCCTTAAATTTTTAGAAAAAAATTAAAATGGTTCTTTTGCTTCCTGAGATGGCTAGAACGATTCGCCTGTTAATGCTGATCAAGAATATATATGATTTATAGGGTCGGAAATGGCTCCTTCACTGTAAAAAATGATATTTTCCTCAGCAAGATTCCTAAAATTGATTTTTTTATATGATAATTTTTTTTGTAAGGGATTTTTCTATATCATATTTTTTGGAACAACCAAAGTTTAAAAATCGCATAACTTTGTCAAAAATGCCTTAATTTCAATTCGGAAAGCGGTTCTGAGTTAGTTCTTTGGCGCTTAACAATTCTGCATACCAAATTTTCCTTTTAAGGTATTAAAATATTTTTATTAATTTTTGCACATTTTAACGATGCAACCCCTTAAATTTTTTAGAAAAAATTTAAAATGGTTCTTTTGCTTCCTGAGATGGCTAGAACGATTCGCCTGTTAATGCTGATCAAGAATATATATGATTTATAGGGTCGGAAATGGCTCCTTCACTGTAAAAAATGATATTTTCCTCAGCAAGATTCCTAAAATTGATTTTTTTATATGATAATTTTTTTTGTAAGGGATTTTTCTATATCATATTTTTTGGAACAACCAAAGTTTAAAAATCGCATAACTTTGTCAAAAATGCCTTAATTTCAATTCGGAAAGCGGTTCTGAGTTAGTTCTTTGGCGCTTAACAATTCTGCATACCAAATTTTCCTTTTAAGGTATTAAATATTTTTATTAATTTTTGCACATTTTAACGATGCAACCCCTTAAATTTTTTAGAAAAAATTTAAAATGGTTCTTTTGCTTCCTGAAATGGCTAGAACGATTCGCCTGTTAATGCTGATCAAGAATATATATGATTTATAGGGTCGGAAATGGCTCCTTCACTGTAAAAAATGATATTTTCCTCAGCAAGATTCCTAAAATTGATTTTTTATATGATAATTTTTTTGTAAGGGATTTTTCTATATCATATTTTTTGGAACAACCAAAGTTTAAAAATCGCATAACTTTGTCAAAAATGCCTTAATTTCACTTCGGAAAGCGGTTCTGAGTTAGTTCTTTGGCGCTTAACAATTCTGCATACCAAATTTTCCTTTTAAGGTATTAACATATTTTTATTAATTTTTGCACATTTTAACGATGCAACCCCTTAAATTTTTTAGAAAAAATTTAAAATGGTTCTTTTGCTTCCTGAGATGGCTAGAACGATTCGCCTGTTATTGCTGATCAAGAATATATATGATTTATAGGGTCGGAAATGGCTCCTTCACTGTAAAAAATGATATTTTCCTCAGCAAGATTCCTAAAATTGATATTTTTATATGATAATTTTTTTGTAAGGGATTTTTCTATATCATATTTTAAAGTTTAAAAATCGCATAACTTTGTCAAAAATGCCTTAATTTCAATTCGGAAAGCGGTTCTGAGTTAGTTGTTTGGCGCTTAACAATTCTGCATACCAAATTTTCCTTTTTAAGGTATTCAAATATTTTTTTTAATTTTTGCACATTTTGACGATGCAACCCCTTAAATTTTTAGAAAAAAATTAAAATGGTTCTTTTGCTTCCTGAGATGGCTAGAACGATTCGCCTGTTAATGCTGATCAAGAATATATATGATTTATAGGGTCGGAAATGGCTCCTTCACTGTAAAAAATGATATTTTCCTCAGCAAGATTCCTAAAATTGATATTTTTATATGATAATTTTTTTGTAAGGGATTTTTCTATATCATATTTTTTGGAACAACCAAAGTTTAAAAATCGCATAACTTTGTCAAAAATGCCTTAATTTCACTTCGGAAAGCGGTTCTGAGTTAGTTCTTTGGCGCTTAACAATTCTGCATACCAAATTTTCCTTTTAAGGTATTAAAATATTTTATTAATTTTTGCACATTTTAACGATGCAACCCCTTAAATTTTTTAGAAAAAATTTAAAATGTTTCTTTTGCTTCCTGAGATGGCTAGAACGATTCGCCTGTTAATGCTGATCAAGAATATATATGATTTATAGGGTCGGAAATGGCTCCTTCACTGTAAAAAATGATATTTTCCTCAGCAAAATTCCTAAAATTGATTTGTTTATATGATAATTTTTTTTGTAAGGGATTTTTCTATATCATATTTTTTGGAACAACCAAAGTTTAAAAATCGCATAACTTTGTCAAAAATGCCTTAATTTCAATTCGGAAAGCGGTTCTGAGTTAGTTCTTTGGCGCTTAACAATTCTGCATACCAAATTTTCCTTTTAAGGTATTAAAATATTTTTATTAATTTTTGCACATTTTAACGATGCAACCCCTTAAATTTTTTAGAAAAAATTTAAAATGGTTCTTTTGCTTCCTGAAATGGCTAGAACGATTCGCCTGTTAATGCTGATCAAGAATATATATGATTTATAGGGTCGGAAATGGCTCCTTCACTGTAAAAAATGATATTTTCCTCAGCAAGATTCCTAAAATTGATTTTTTTATATGATAATTTTTTTGTAAGGGATTTTTCTATATCATATTTTAAAGTTTAAAAATCGCATAACTTTGTCAAAAATGCCTTAATTTCAATTCGGAAAGCGGTTCTGAGTTAGTTCTTTGGCGCTTAACAATTCTGCATACCAAATTTTCCTTTTTAAGGTATTCAAATATTTTTTTTAATTTTTGCACATTTTGACGATGCAACCCCTTAAATTTTTTAGAAAAAAATTAAAATGGTTCTTTTGCTTCCTGAGATGGCTAGAACGATTCGCCTGTTAATGCTGATCAAGAATATATATGATTTATAGGGTCGGAAATGGCTCCTTCACTGTAAAAAATGATATTTTCCTCAGCAAGATTCCTAAAATTGATTTTTTTATATGATAATTTTTTTGTAAGGGATTTTTCTATATCATATTTTTTGGAACAACCAAAGTTTAAAAATCGCATAACTTTGTCAAAAATGCCTTAATTTCACTTCGGAAAGCGGTTCTGAGTTAGTTCTTTGGCGCTTAACAATTCTGCATACCAAATTTTCCTTTTTAAGGTATTCAAATATTTTTTTTAATTTTTGCACATTTTGACGATGCAACCCCTTAAATTTTTTAGAAAAAATTTAAAATGGTTCTTTTGCTTCCTGAGATGGCTAGAACGATTCGCCTGTTAATGCTGATCAAGAATATATATGATTTATAGGGTCGGAAATGGCTCCTTCACTGTAAAAAATGATATTTTCCTCAGCAAGATTCCTAAAATTGATATTTTTATATGATAATTTTTTTGTAAGGGATTTTTCTATATCATATTTTTTGGAACAACCAAAGTTTAAAAATCGCATAACTTTGTCAAAAATGCCTTAATTTCACTTCGGAAAGCGGTTCTGAGTTAGTTGTTTGGCGCTTAACAATTCTGCATACCAAATTTTCCTTTTTAAGGTATTCAAATATTTTTTTTAATTTTTGCACATTTTGACGATGCAACCCCTTAAATTTTTTAGAAAAAAATTAAAATGGTTCTTTTGCTTCCTGAGATGGCTAGAACGATTCGCCTGTTAATGCTGATCAAGAATATATATGATTTATAGGGTCGGAAATGGCTCCTTCACTGTAAAAAATGATATTTTCCTCAGCAAGATTCCTAAAATTGATTTTTTTATATGATAATTTTTTTTGTTAGGGATTTTTCTATATCATATTTTTTGGAACAACCAAAGTTTAAAAATCGCATAACTTTGTCAAAAATGCCTTAATTTCAATTCGGAAAGCGGTTCTGAGTTAGTTCTTTGGCGCTTAACAATTCTGCATACCAAATTTTCCTTTTAAGGTATTAAAATATTTTTATTAATTTTTGCACATTTTAACGATGCAACCCCTTAAATTTTTTAGAAAAAAATTAAAATGGTTCTTTTGCTTCCTGAGATGGCTAGAACGATTCGCCTGTTAATGCTGATCAAGAATATATATGATTTATAGGGTCGGAAATGGCTCCTTCACTGTAAAAAATGATATTTTCCTCAGCAAGATTCCTAAAATTGATATTTTTATATGATAATTTTTTTGTAAGGGATTTTTCTATATCATATTTTTTGGAACAACCAAAGTTTAAAAATCGCATAACTTTGTCAAAAATGCCTTAATTTCACTTCGGAAAGCGGTTCTGAGTTAGTTGTTTGGCGCTTAACAATTCTGCATACCAAATTTTCCTTTTAAGGTATTAAAATATTTTTATTAATTTTTGCACATTTTAACGATGCAACCCCTTAAATTTTTTAGAAAAAATTTAAAATGGTTCTTTTGCTTCCTGAGATGGCTAGAACGATTCGCCTGTTAATGCTGATCAAGAATATATATGATTTATAGGGTCGGAAATGGCTCCTTCGCTGAATAAAATTATATTTTCCTCTGCAAGATTCCTAAAATTGATATTTTTATATGATAATTTTTTTGTAAGGGATTTTTCTATATCATATTTTTTGGAACAACCAAAGTTTAAAAATCGCATAACTTTGTCAAAAATGCCTTAATTTCACTTCGGAAAGCGGTTCTGAGTTAGTTCTTTGGCGCTTAACAATTCTGCATACCAAATTTTCCTTTTTAAGGTATTCAAATATTTTTTTAATTTTTGCACATTTTGACGATGCAACCCCTTAAATTTTTTAGAAAAAAATTAAAATGGTTCTTTTGCTTCCTGAGATGGCTAGAACGATTCGCCTGTTAATGCTGATCAAGAATATATATGATTTATAGGGTCGGAAATGGCTCCTTCACTGTAAAAAATGATATTTTCCTCAGCAAGATTCCTAAAATTGATATTTTTATATGATAATTTTTTTGTAAGGGATTTTTCTATATCATATTTTTTGGAACAACCAAAGTTTAAAAATCGCATAACTTTGTCAAAATGCCTTAATTTCACTTCGGAAAGCGGTTCTGAGTTAGTTCTTTGGCGCTTAACAATTCTGCATACCAAATTTTCCTTTTAAGGTATTAAAATATTTTTATTAATTTTTGCACATTTTAACGATGCAACCCCTTAAATTTTTTAGAAAAAATTTAAAATGGTTCTTTTGCTTCCTGAAATGGCTAGAACGATTCGCCTGTTAATGCTGATCAAGAATATATATGATTTATAGGGTCGGAAATGGCTCCTTCGCTGAATAAAATTATATTTTCCTCTGCAAGATTCTTGAAACCGAAATTTGTAGTTGATAATTTTTAAAAATATTTTTTGGGACAGTCAAAGTTTTAAAATCGCATAACTTTCTCAAAAAAGCATTAATTTCAATTCAGAAATCGTTCCTATGTTAGTTTTCAAATGGTTAATAATTTACATGCTCAATTTAGTATTTAACTCATATTTCTCCATGGACCAAAAATCCATGTTACCTTTAAAAATATAAGTATATTAATTAAATAAAGAAGGCTGTCTCTTAAAGGACATCATCCATAATATTCACTTTGAATTTGACTAAAACTGCGACTTTTCATCTCAGACACTTTCTAGTGGCGCCTCCTTGCCGCATGTAAAGTAACTACTTTTTGTAAAGTATCCTTCAGGGATGACTTTCTGTAAAGTATACTCAAGGGTTGACTTTCTGTAAAGTATCCTTAAGGGCTTACTTTCTGTAAAAAATCCACAAGTGCTTACGTTTTCAATAATCATGTCATGTCACGTCAAGCTTACACTGTTAGGTATAACATAATCCTTACATGTCAAAAATAATATAATAATGCAATCATCCGCTTAAGATTTATAATTTTTATGATTTTCCACATTTATTTTAAACAATATAAAAACAAGTACTTACCAGTTTCAGCCAAATATTTGTTATAAGCAATTGATTCTTTTCATCCTGCAACGAAAACAAAGTACATTAATGTCAGGGAATATTACAAGTCTAAAAACTATATATGAATAGAGTTTAAAAAGAAAATAGTGATGCAGGGGGCATAGCTTAGGCTAAGAAATCAGGAGGTAACCAAGGACCACGTCTGCTGACTGGTTACTAGTCAGTTTGCAGCTGGAATCCATTGGGAATTCTGGTGCAGTGCCTGCAAATCCCTTGTGCCTTGGACTTTCGTTGTTTAACCTTCAATTTCAGGTGTAAATCTCTGCTGAATACATTTTTTAAACCAAGTCTGACTTACCACATCGATTATCTGCATGAGAGTTAGTCCGAAACTCAGTTGCAGTGGATCGGATTCATTGACTACCGGCCGTTCCAAGCTATTGTAGTTGTCCAGAAGAGCGTGCAGCAAACGCTTTTCATGGGGGCCAGCCGCGCAAGCTGAAAATGGCAAGCGAAATTAATTACATTTTAAATTAGAGCACAAAAGAAAAGCTAGAGAAAGAGCAAAAACCAGTTCATTTCTCAAACGAATGTATTGCAGCAATGTAGCAGTGACTATAGAGGTCCTTTGATTTTAGTCAAATACATATATTAAACAGATTAATTTTAAACAAATAAGGGCTTTAGAAATTGTCCAACATTAGATATATTAAAGATGTTGTGAACCCTAGTTTAAGGATTTAAATTGTCTTAAAATTTTGCCAAAGCTGTAAAATTATTGTCATTAAAAAAAAAAATATTAAAATGATAAGAAAATGTCTCAAAAATGTCTAAAATACTTTGTAAACTATAGTTAAGGCCATTGCTTGGATCAGTTGTTATTAAAACTATATAGTAAAGAGATAAGGAAATATCCTAAATCGTTGCCTCATCTCTGAAATACTTTGTAAACTATTATTTAAGTCGTTGCCGTATCAGTTGTTATTAAGAAGAACTAGTAAATGGGATTAAATAAGAAATGCTTCAGGCAGAGTTCTGACTTTCAAGGTTTCGCTGTGAGCCTCTTTTCCTGCTTATTTTGTTTATTTTGCTTTCCATCCTGTTTGTTTCTGTTTCTATTTCGGGCTAGGAACCACTCACTCACCTGGCAGCATAATTAGAAGCCCCAGGCCGTAGACCAGCATGGTGCCGCCAACAGCAGGGACTCTCGCTCTTGACAGTGCGTGCTGTGGCTGCAGGAAGCTCATTGTGGTTTTGTGACTGATGCTGAGATTAGATTGTCCTAACGATTCATCGACTGCTCCTGGCGTCGGCTTTTGCTCTAGCGCAAAACTCCTCCGGCTGCTGTTGCTGTTGTTGCTGCTGCCGCTGCTGCTGCTGCGATATCCAGTAATAGTGTTGGGTTGAAATTGATATTGATATTGGCAGCGACATAGTCTACTTTCGCGGCGTCGACTTCGCCTTACGCTGCACTGATGCTCCGGTGAGGATTCGGTTTTGCTGTCGATACTGTGTGTACGGGCCCTGCCATGGTCGTTAATCTTGCCTCCGTGGCGTCGTAACTTTTCCGAACTGCTCGAGCTTCCAAAGTCCCGCTTCGCATCCGAACAACTTTGAACGGACTTGAGTTTCCCACTCGCTCCTCCTTCGCCACGGACCTTGGATGGTGCGCCGTTGCTTCCGGAGATTTTTTACGGCTCTTGATTGATTTTGTTTCCGTCTTTCCGTCTCGAAAGTGGTAACGGACTAACATCTTTTCCCAGGTGCCATATTCTCAGGCCTTCCGTGTCGGACGCATTCCAAATTGTTACGATTCAAAATCCATTTGGATTATCCTTGAATTATATTTAACAACTATTTACTTGACTGAGGGCTGCAAGAGGATTTAAAAATAATTCCAATATTAATAAAAGAAAGCGTGTTTCAGTTTTCCGAATTTGGCATGCATTCTTGCATACATACATACATATGTACATATGTAAATATTTATGTACTTACACGGCTTTATGAAAAATAAATGCAAAAGGAGCTTAGCTGATAGTTAATGTATGTAATTTTTAACGTAAAAACGCGGCAAAGATGTTTTTAGATGAACAAAAGAGGAAAATCGAATTAAAAAACATAAAAAAAATCTGTACAGTTGAGTTCCTCGATTTTTGGCACACAAAAGAACCTAAGCAAAACCAAATACTATTTGCCGTGTATATGATCTAAACTAGTAAAGCACAATTAGGTAATTGATTTAACTTCAACTTGTTATCCAACAAATTATAGGTTGGCGCTTTTTTACCGAATATTGTAACAAACATTTTCCCTTTTTTCTGGGGCACTCTTCGTAGCCAATAGGAATTCTAACTGTTTCCTCTTTGCGTTTGGTGATCGTTCGTTGCAGTTTTGGAGATTGTGGAACGATAAAAGTGGAACATAAATGCGAAAATGCACATTGGTGTGTTGAATAAATGCTCATTATATGCAGACGCCTATTTAATTATATAAATTAAATAATTACTAAAATAATTAAGATAATCCCTATACAACGATTCATTAAATAACTAAACATCTCGACAACCAAATGTAACTTGACCATTAAAATTGCCTTTGCGATATTTTCACTCATTCAGCGTTCTATAAATAAGGGCTTAATAACATTATACCGAGTACAGCTACAGAGTTCATATAAATTAACGTTTTTTATTACTAAATTAAAGTTATAGTTGCTCGAAATAATAAAAAATTATATAGAAGAATACAAAAAAATATATATAGTCTTGAGGCTGCGATTTGTTGAAAAATTTAGTATGTTACTTTTTGGGTAGATTTCTATATGGCTTGAAATGTTGCTGACGTTTGCAGAATTATATTCTTAATAATAACAATAAAATAGTAAAATTAATTGATTCATTTTGTTTCCGAGCGCTAAAAAATGTATACTTTACATTGGGACGCAAGTCAAACTAAATTAAATTTTGAACAAATATTATAACTTATTAACTAATTTTATATAACGACTAGTTTATATTATATTATTATTATAATTATTTAGGAGAATACAAAAGGTATATCATGTCTTGCGACTTGAAAATTAGTAGGTAACTTTTTGGGTCAATAACTATATGGGATATTTTCAGTAATATAGTCGTTTATCCTGATTATTTTAGTTACTGTAAGTTTTAATTGTGTATTTATTTATTTCGGTTCTTCCAAGCATTACAATATTTATACTTTGCATTGCTACGATATTTACAAATAAAAAAATGTTTTTGAAAAATTTGCATTAATTATTATCTAATTTTACATAAGTACCTGATTAAAACATTATTCAATATATATTTTTTCATTTTAAGTTAACGTGTGTTTGCAAGATAAAAATTTCTTAAATTGTAATCTGTATGCATTGCTGATTGATTTTATGTTGTGTGGAAGTTGATTCTATGCCGAATAATATTGGTGAAATAGTGTTTGACAGTTCTTAATGGAATTATATTTTTTGTGCGTCAGGAAGTAGATAGCTTATCATACCATATAAATTATCCGGCTAATTTAACTGATTAATTTAGCGTATACTTATTATTAGCATTTATTTATTGCGATTATGTGTATTTTCGCATTTGTGTTCCACTTTCATTGTTTCAAAATCGGAATAAAGGCGAACGATCAGCCAAAGCGCAAAAAAAAAACAGTTGCATTTCCGATTGGCTACGAAGCGAACAAAGTTTTCTTAAATTGAAGAAATAAGTTGTAATATTTGGAAAAAAACGCGCTAAAATAACATTTGTTGCCCTAAACAATAATTTAAATAATGGTAAGAGTTTAAGTTTTCATTAGATATTAATGCCTGTTAGGAAAATCCCCAAAAATATTCTGCGATCTCCGAGTTCTTGTGCCAGAAGTTACTTACGGGAAAATTATAATAAGTAAAGTTTCACGAAACGAGGAAGTAAGTCCCCTAGACACCGATGGACATGTGTATCTCAACTCTAATTAAGAATACATACATATATTTTATAGGGTCGGCAATGTTTCCTTCTCTCTGACATGAGTGCCATATACCCTTGTACAATACGAGATACAGGAACAACAAAAAAAAAAGTATAACTGCCGAGGAATGTGGGAAGGGACGCATGGGGTCTTCAGTGTGTTATGCTCTTCATTTATTAATAAAAAACGAGGGTTTATATGCACAGACCCTTGTAACCCACGCAAATAAGGCTTGCTTCAAATTTTCGGCACAGTCCTTTGCCCCACGACGACAAAAAAAAGAAGAAAAAACTGAAAAAAGCGGAGTGGAGATTAGAGATTCCTTACATTCCTGCAAGGACCTCACACGCTCACGCATTTTAAAGCCAGTTTTGGCCAGAAATTGGGAACGCTGGAGAGATATTAATTTATTTATAGAATATTCCCTGTACGCATCCACCGAGAAGTAGGCAATGTTGCGCAAATTGCAATGTTTACGCACAAAGTGCAGGGTATTTTTGTAATAGTATATGGGCGTATCTGTTCTATAATGGGATTATATGCCATATATCTGTATATTTTATGTATTCCATCCTCTTCCACATCACTGTGGGTATTATACTTATGGTATTTTATGTAAATGATATGCGTTATTTATGCGAAATTGGCTGCTTCTACTTATATGCTTATCCAAAAATTAAGAAACGCGCACCCCAACCATTAATTATATTATTTCTTTTGTATCCGAGCGTATTCTGAGCCAATTCTGCTCTTAACGAGTAAAGTTAAACAAGAGATTGCAGATGATAAATTATTGCCAAAAGTTATTTCGCAACGTGAAGGCGATGGATGCGCCAGCAGATACTCCTACTTCTACTGCTCCTCCTCCTGCTACGGCTTCCCCGTCTGTGCCTGCTCCTAGCTGGGTTATTTGTTGAAATTTGTGCTTTTTGAAAAGGAAAGCCAGAGTCGGGGCCACTTTAATCTTGTGCCCCAACTGGAGCGCGCTAGCCACCTGGTCCGTGTCAGCAACAACTACTCCCTGGAGTGCTTGCTCTCTGCTGCTCTCATTTAAGACTGCTGGTTTTTATGGGATCCGCGCACTCATCAAAGCGGCTATTTATTGAGGGAATAAGCATGGGAGACGGCAAAGGAGCCAGAGCAAGTGCAGGAGCGGGAAAAGGAAAGTCCGGACGCAGGAGCAGGACCACGTTTCACATTGGCCACAGAAGTTTCCGGGGCGAAGCCATAATTTAAACGTGTGTTAGCAAACAGCGGGACGATAGTGGCGGTTTGTTTACGTTGTCTCCCCATCAGCCTGGAGGGAAAATGCTCTGGGAAAGCGTGGGAATAATAATATTCCCAGCAAAAAAAAAGAGGAAATAATATTTTGCTAACTGCTCTTAATAGCAAGAATTTGAGCTTGTTTGGAGAGGTAATTATTCACTTGGCGAATAAATATACAACATTAATTTAAGCTAATAACCGCTGGCGCAAATAAATGTTGTTTTCTCATTAAAAAGCTCAAGGAATTTTCACTTTATGAATATTTAAAGCGAATTTTGAGATTGTAGAATGTAGAAACTTATATAGCTTAAAGTCAAGCAAGGTTCCCTGATCTATATATTTAGAAATGCCCTAGTTTTCCCAAACGATTTAAATTGCAAACAGAACTGACTTCCTTTTTAAAAAACTATGTATACACCGATCTTATCTGGATTTATATATCTTATAATATAATTTATAAATACAATTGCAGGGAATTCACAACGTCGAGAATGCATTCGTTTCGTTATTGGCATTCATCATCGTTCCTGGTTTTGCCATAAAGTTAACAGTGCAAACTCTGATGCTGCTGCTGTTGGGTGAGATTTTCTTTTTCTGTTTTTCCTTATTTTTTCTTGTTGTTGGATGCTGGGATTGGTTTTTTATTTGCGCATTTCCCACGGTCCATCAACCGCCCAGCGGACCGAGAAATATAGAAATATATGCTGCAAGACACCACCAAGCAGGCCAGTTAAATCCTATCCATGTGCTCAGAGTGTTAAAGATAAGTATTCAAGTGAAAGACCAAAATAATAATGCTTTTTATATAGGTGAATATAGGAAGTGCCTCAGAAGAAGCAATGGTTTTGAAGTCCCTTAAAAATTATGCCAAGAAAGATGTTACTAATGTCCCAGTTTCCATGCGATTTACAAAGTTATAAAACAGCAATCCAGAGAAGGCACTCAAATTATTTAAAAACTAATGGTAAAATTTTAATACCTAAAAAGGAATTGTAAAATATTTCCAAGCCTTTACCTATGACAATTAAGATAGAAAGCACTTTATTTTTATTATTAAAATAACTTATAATTGCATTTTTCAAACAAATCAGTTAACTTAGATTCCTTTGGCACCTTTAAAATAAAAAAACTCATCTTCAAATAATTAAAAATCTCTTTAATTTTGACAATTATTCTAACAACTTTTAAAGACAATTATCTTAATCGTAGGCCATCGAAATTAAAAAATAAGAACATTGAATTATTTGTATAAAAATCTTGTGTGGAAATTCCAACATATTAACGTAATAATTAAAGGATTACAAAACCATTCAAATAAAACTAGAAATGTAAGCAAAAAAGGAGATTTCACTGGTTACAAAATCACATCAGTTAAATTCTTCAAACTTGGTTTCCTGCACATCATTTTGTTGCTTTTTTGATTAAGTTATTTCAGGTTATCCGGCTTAAGCCACAGAGTCTGCGAAGGCCTCATTCGTTTGGCTTAACACAGGACGCAGACTGGGACTTGGACTTGGATTCGGCAGATGGAGCCTGGGAGCCTGCTTGTTTTTAATTTTCGCGCCACTAAAGCGAGACTGGCAGGCATATTCTTCGGGACTCACCAGATATTTTGCTGCAGTTGGGTTTTTTTCGAATTGTGAAGCTCACAGGAGCTCAAGGAAGCGACGCACCCAAATTGTTGCTCCCGACCCGTGACTGATAAAAGCATAGTGATGATGGCCAATGGCGATGACGATGACGATGACGACGATGATGATGATGATGTTGATGTTGATGATTATGGAGCACCGTAACACACCGTAAAAAAAATATAAAATACAGGTCGCAATGCCGGCAGGTGTTTACATTACCGGCCTCGGTGTGGGAGGAGTAGGAGGTAGGAGTTGAAGTTCAACTTCTTACTTACACGACTGCACTGGGTACGTTATACGTACCGTACGGGTACGGGGATTCACTGCATCCGCCGGCGATATTGGCACTAAGGAGCAACAAACCGAAAAAAATAACAACTAGGAAAAGCAGCTGCAACTCCAACACGTTTTATCGCTTCAGTCTCTCCCCTCTGGAGGAGCTGTGCCACTGATTACAGCTCACTGAGAGGAGCTGCTGCCCGAGACCGAGTCCGAGACCAAGTCAAAGACCAAGACCAAGACCGAGACCAAGAGCAAGAGCAAGACCAAGACCGAGACCAAGACCTCGACCGTATCGCACCACACCGCGTACTCGACTGAGCGACGCGACTCTGCTGCTGATAGCGCCCATTGACGCAGGTCCCCGTCGAGCACACGAGCGACGAGCAGCAGCAGCACTACTGCAACGCACGCTGGACACTACCGACGACGACGACAACGACAACGACAACGACAACGACGACGATGACGATGACGACGAGTGACGATGGCAGCTGGCGCAACTGGCAGCACTGGGAAGTGGAGAACAAGCAAGTGCAGCAGGCGACGCGACGCGCAACGTGCTCGACTTTCCAGCTTCGACTGAGCGCCGGAGCCGGAGCCTGCTGACATCGAGCCAGCACAGCGGCGGCGGCGGCACGTGGCCCGATGTGAAGCAAAATGGAGAAATGGTGAGGCTTCGGGCCCGGTCCTGTGACCTCCTACGATGGCTTACATCGCGCACTCGGCCGCTGTTAGCGTGTCGGCCGTGCGGAATGTTGCGGAAAGTAAACAAATAAGGTGACGACGAGCTGAGCGGCGGCGGATGGCGGATGGCGTATGGCCTTCCTAACGAGCAGGGTCCCCACCACGTGGTGTCCATGTCCGCATCCGTGCCGTGCCGTACCGTGTCGCTCGCCAAAGCCATTGTTGCGAGCGGCTTTGTGGCGGCTCAAGGTTGCCTTTTTGCCATTTTGGAGCCATATCCCAGCACCATGGACGCTGCTGATGCTGCTGCTGTGGGGTAAATGAGCTCATTAAATGAAAAGTAGGCGGATAATTAATTAATCTGCTGTCAGGATTGTAAGGATTTTCGGGGTGGGTGCGATAAGGCAGCAGGAGCAGCCCCGCTTCCGCCGCCACCCAATGCACTTCCGTCATGTGTCACGACCACGACCACGACGACGATAACGCCGACAGTTCTCTGTTAAGTGCTCGCTCCCAAGACCAAACTCCCCTTAATGCCAGACTCCAGAGTAACCCCTAACCACTGTTATACTGTTATACTGCTTCTCCAGCATTTTCTACCCCTAATACAGCATGCATTCCACATGGATTCCAAGCGTTTAAAGCTTCATTTCCAAACACTTGGGCATAATCTGGAGCTTTAGGAGCGTAGACAAGGGTTATGGTAACAGTTAGTAACACAGCAGAATTTGCTATAAAGAGATTAATCTTAGACTAAGTTAAACGGGATCGAAATTGGTCGAAATAGTTGTCCCAAAGTATAGCAATAAAAGGTTTATGGCTACAGCATTCTTGATAAAGTGGATTACTTTAAACTAGAAATACCAATAAAAATGGAAACTAACTTCGGGAAGCCATAGTTTATATTTCCCTGCAGTTTACAATTGAAATATAGGTTCGAATCGAATTGTTTTAATTTTCACGAAAAATCAAGATTTAAAAAACTCATAACTAAGCCAAAATAGCTTTAATTTAAATTCGGAAAGAGTTTCCGTGTTAGTTGTTTGAAGATTAATAAATCTGCATACTAAATTTAATATTTAAAACAAAACAAAATTTTTTCAAATTTTTTGACAAATTTAACGATGTAACCCCTTATAAAATTTTGCAAAAAAAATTTTAAAATTTTTTTTCTTTCCGACATGGCTAGAAAGATTCGCCAGTTGATGCTGATCAAGAATATATATAATTTATAGGGTCGGAAACGACTCCTTCACAGACTAATATGCTTCTAACGAAAATTATAATACCCTTCAAGGGTATAAAAATTAATATTGGTCAAAACCTGCCATAACTTATGTCCCAAAATATGACAGCAGTATAAAAGTATATTATAAAGATTCGAATTATATAAAAATGATAATTATTAAACTGCCATTAAAGTATGGAACAAAAAGGTTTATAGCAGCAAGAGTCCCAAACATAATATAATTATATTATAATGTCCCAAGAAGCTATATTAAAGATAACTACCAAGGACTAAAGCCAAGGTAACTTTTAAGGAACAATATTGGTCGAAATTGGTGTCCCAAAAATGTAGCAAGCTCTTAGCCAGCACTTGATAAGCTATTTGCAGAGAGAGCTTTAATAAATTCAACTAGAATATAGCAAATTTACGAATTCTTAACCGAATCACAAGCCCTAAATAGGTCAAAGCTATATTTTACGAGTATCTTAAATTGGATTATGGAAATATAAGTAAATGTTTTCAGTAGGAAAAATATAATAAGAAAAAACAATCTATGAGAGAAACCGAACCGAAAATAGTTCTTTGTCACAAGTTTAAATTTATAAAAAATTAAAATTACTACAGGGAACTGAAATTCGACAAATTAAGCTGTTATTTGGATTTTATGATCTCCAAACATTTGGAAAAACAAGTCTATTAATTATAATTAATATATGAACCCTGAATAGGTTAAGTCAAACCCTTTGAACAGATTCCAACGGATATTATACACTCTAAAATCATGCAAAATAATAAATAAATAAAGAAAATTGATTAAATTGAGTTTGTATTGAATTTAGGAGTCAAGGATGCCCAGCCAACTAACCCTGCCACTTGGTCTCATGGTTTTCGGAGAAACAACAGGTCGAGAGAGAGAGGCAGACAGAGGATTGGCCATGTAGGATCATGTACATATATATATGTACATATCTAGTATATGCATGGTGTGTTTTACATGTGTGTGTGTGTGTTTTCTATTCTTTACAAATTAGGATTTCGATTTGCGTTGCGTTTATAATTAATTACGACTTTATATGTACAAACAATGCTTTCGTTAAATTATATTAAAAAAATAAGGTAAGGTAAAGTATGTGTGTTTTTTATGTTTGTTTGTGTAGTATTAAAAAAAAGAAGCAAGCCAATGTTGTCAACATATATTGTGTCGTTCCATTTTGTTCCAAATGTATATATATATATATGTATATAGATATATCAAAATCTGCTGCTAGTGGGACTTTCGAGGCCTTCTCCCAGGACGGACGCAAAGCTGGTTTCAACCCTGCCTTCGTTACGAATTCTCTGATCTGAGCCTCTTCATCTCATCAGCATTTTTGCCGTTTTGTCGTTATGGTTGTTTGATTGTTGTTAATAGTGATTTTTTATTGTGGTTTGCCGTTGTTTATATAGTTAAGCTTATGCCTGTTCATAGGGTTTTTTGATGTTTTCTTGTTAGTTTAGGTTTCTCTCGCTTTTCCTTATTGTTGTTTTGCCGCAGTATCTGTTCTTGCTATTAACTGTTGTTTTTAAAGTTGATGTTGCTGTTGCTGTTGTTGATTTGGATGTTTTGTAGCAGTCTTAATTGGTCCTAAGACGCTGCCGCAGCCGTTGCCAGAACCGGCACCGCCTGTTCACTGGAATCAACGTGATTCAACTGCTGCTGCTCCTCCTCGGCGCGTAGCCTGGCCGCCTCCTTCTCCTGCAGCTGGGCCTCCAGCTCCTCTACATTGCGAAAGATGCGCGCATACTGGAAGCGTTCGTGGCAAGCCTGCTGATAGGCAGCCGCCTCGTTTTCGCAATCGCCAAACACATCGCCGTCCCGCAACGCTGTATAGACCTTGATGGCCTCCTAAAGTAAAAAGTAAACGCAAAAGACAGGTCAAGACAAGTTGGTGAGCTGGCCAAGACCATGACTTACCTCAAGTCGCATCTTGCTCAGATTGAAGCCGGTGACCAGCTTGATAGCCGCGGCCTTTTTACTGGGGTCCAGCTCGTACAGACTGCGGGCACCCTCGTATAAATGCAGTATGGAAGCGTTATGCTTGGCAATGAACTCGTCGTTGAGCTGCTGGGGCGTCTTGCGGCCTATCAGCTCCTCGGTGGCCTTGTCCAGAACCTGCTGCACATGCTCGTTGAGCGGTGGCTGCTGCTTGGCGGATAAGGCCAGGGACTTGATGAAGCGTATCACGCAGCTGTGCACCTCGGGGTGTTTGGGATCGACGGCGCGAGCCCGCTGGATGGACTGCAGCATAAGGAGCAACTTATTCTTGCGATAGTACACCTCGAAGGCAAGCAAATGCGTCTCGATGCGCTCCTTGGCCAGCTGCTGCAGCGGCTTTAGGAAATCAATTGCCTTCTCCAGCGGCTCGTCCGTGCGCTCCAGCTTTTCCGCCACCAGCTCATCCAATTGGGGGGCGTCGGGGTCGGTCTCCTGATTGGCCTGCTGCTTCGACTTTTGGTGCTGTTCACGCTTCACCTGCGCCTGCGCGGCCTGCGCACTCTCCAATTCGGCTTTCTTTTTGGCCTTACGCTGTTTGCTGCGTAGCTTCTTCAGTTCCGAGGGGGGCAGGTTCTCTGCATAAGCACGATGGACAATTAACAATGAACAATATGTCGCCAAGGGTTACAAACTTCATACCAATGTCTATCTCCTCGATGGTGGCCTCCGACTTGAGCGGCTTGTCGTAGAGACGAATATACACTTCGATAGCGCACTTGGCCGCCTTGAAGTAGAAGGGATGCTGGCGCAGGACATCCTCTAGCCGCAGGAGGCCAACATATGCGCGCAGCGTCATCTTGCGCATGCAGTACGTATGGAAATCGAACTGATCCTCCACTATTTCGGCAAAGTGGCGCTCCACCTCGTGGCACTTCTTCAGCGACTCGCCCCAGCGACCCATGCGCTGATAGGCTAAGGCACACTCCGTCTGGAACCACATACACTGCATCTCATTCAGATTGTCCATGGCGGAAACGCCCTCGCGGGTGAACTTGGCGCATATCTCCTCGGCCTCCTGCACCATGTTTCCGCGTAGCATGTACTTGGCGCACTTTGAGTTGATGTAACTGCAGCAGAAAGAATCATTATAAACTACGGCCAGGTAAAGAGATGGGCATATGCTTACCGATCCGCCGTATCCATGCTCTGCGCCTCCTCCAGCCAAACGTAGGCCTCCACCGGATCGCCTGCATGCTTAAATATGCGACCCTTCGTGATGAGCAGCTCGATCAGCGTGGGCGTATGGTCGATGGCCACATTGATGTACTCGAGGGCAGAGTCCGTGTTGCGCATATAGTCATAGTGCTGCGCCAGGAACAGGGCCGTCCACACCAGTGCCGAGGCCGGCTCGACGGGCGCTCCGGCGTCGGCATCCTCGCGCGAGAAGTGACCGGAACGCGTCAGATTCTCGTAGTACTGCAACATCAGCTCCTCAATGGTGGCCGCCTTCTCCGAAACCTGATGCAGCGTGCGCACGTTGACAAATAGCGGCGGTATGCCTTTGCGCAGACCGCGTCGCAGGTACTCATCGGCAACGACACGGAACTCGTCGCCGTTGGCAATATTCAGCGGCAGGCGGCGGGGGCAGAGGGCTCTCGGATACTGCTCCTGAAACACACGATAGATCGCCACTACGGCGCTGGGCTCGGTGACCTGGCGGGCAGCGAGATACTGCTCGTAGTAGAACACATTCTCCGGATTGCGCCGGATCAGCCTCTCGAAGATAGGCACCGCCATCTCCTGCTGCTGCAGCTTGATGTACAGGTCACCCATGGACTCGAGCACCGCCAGCTTGTCGACAATCTGGCCCTGGTGCTTGATTAGATGGTCAAGGGCCTGTTGCAGGCGCTCCGACTCGACGAGTATCTGGTTCTGGTAGAGCAGCAGCTCCGAGTGCCGGTAATCGTGAGCCTCCTGCACAAAGAGAACAACAGAAGAGAATAGAAATGGATTTTGGTAGGTGGTGCGTTTTATGGTTACATACAATTGCGGTCTGCGACTGGCTAAATGTCTCCAGGATGCTATTGGCCATCTCAAAGTCCCGCAGCAGATGGTAGCTCATGGCGAACCCAATCCAGGAGGCCTGCTGCGAGGGGCGCAGCGCGAACAGGTGGTGGCGCGTCTCCTTGTAGCCCTCGAGGTCTCGCATCTGGATCTGCAGCAGCGACAGGTCCTTGAGGATCTGCAGGTTGTCCTTCTCCCACTTGAGCGCATTCCTATAGCACTTGATGGCCTCGTCGTACTTTTTGTCGCTGCGCTGCAGCAGCCCATAGACGTGCCAGCACACATGGGAGCGCAGATCGTTGCGCAGTCCCAGGCGCACGTACTTGTAGGCCTCCTCGCGCCGCCCCAGACCGTTCAGGGTAAGCCCCTTCATGGCCAGCGTCTCGCCGTGCTCCATATACTTCGGGTTCGAGAGGATCTGCTTGGCCAGCTTAAGGCCATTTTTGTACTGCTTCAGTTCGTAGCATTTCTGTGGAAGAACCGCAAAGAAGGGCTCACATTTAGTCAATAGTCCAGATTCTAGCTTCCCTCCCGCCCAGTGCAACATTTTGAGGTTATGCGACCGCCTTCGGCGGGCTAACCACTGTCTACAATGGGCAGGTAAGGCCAGCGCCAGTGTGGCGCCTGGAATCACCTCGCATCCCGGTGCTTATGTCGTCGGCTGCGACTGCCGCATGCCAAAAATAGGCGCACCAGTCACACACAAAAAAAAGCACATGGGATGCCTGCTTCTGCGGCCGCCACTGCCGCTCGCTGTGCGCGGCCAGATGAAGCCGGCACAAAAGGCGATGACAGGACCCACTGAGAAACAACATAAACAGGGTTCAATACTTACAAGTAGCTTGCGGAAGAGCGCACCCTCCTTGGGCGGCAGGGGATTGCTGGAAGGCATCTCTGCAATGCTGCTGCTGCTGCTTCTTCTTCTTCTTCGTCCGTCTTGTTCTTCTTCAGCTGCTGACTGTCGTCGGTCGGTCTCCGGACAGCGGTATGTGTTTTCCGTGGGCCGTATTCGGGTTGCGCCTGGTTCTGCTGCGGCACCTAGCTGGAAATGGGCTGGTTTCTAACGCTTTCTAGAAGTTGCACACACAACACACGAAAACGGCGTACTGCGAGCACGAGCAAATTTCTAACTCGACGTGAGACAGCAACACCACCAGGAACCAGAACTATATACACACATGCACATACCGCACGCACACTGAAGCGCGAGCGGTTGGTCGCGTTACGTGGCGAATGGCCGTATTTTTCTTGTGGCGGGGGATTCGATGACTTTTTGAAGGCGCCAGAATCAAATCGATTTGAATTACAATTGCGCTGGTGTTGTTGTCTTGCATGAATTTACCCAATTGGCACAACTTACCGTCGCCTAGACTCCTGACTGGAATAACAGCCTTTGTGTGGAATGCCGATCGCTGGTAAGAAGAAGCAATCTCCGCACTTGTTATGTAAAGCGATTGGTCAATTAAAAATGTCTTGGTGCGTATGCGGGTTGTACGCAGCCGGTATATTTTCACACAATTTTTCCACCCACAATGACTTTTCACATTTGACTTATAACGCCACTGTGATTTAGTTAAAAATCATCTTGCTCAGTTGCCAGTCGCACGAAAACTAACTATTTTGCCATTCGCATGAATTGTTATCGTTTTTTGCCATTCGCATGAAATTGTCGATTAATTTGATATTCGCATGAATTTGTCGATTAATTTGCCATTCACATGGATGTCCATCAGCTGTCAGGCCTTATCGATAACAAATACTAATCGGTAATCACACCAATTAGAGGGCGAAGAAGAAGAAGCGTGCAGAAACAGCAGCAAAATGAATTCCCTGGCAAGGATCGGTAGCTTCGTCTGCCAATCAGTGCAGATAGCCGGCTGCGGAGTAAGTCTATACCCCATCTAAAGCATCAGTCAAGCTTATCAGGCCTATCTTCCCTACACAGATGCAGCAGGTGCGCACTAAGTATGCCGATTGGAGGATGATACGTGATGTCAAGCGGCGCAAGTGCGTCCGGGAGAATGCTGTCGAGCGGCTACGGGTTAATTCGCTTCGCAAAAACGACATCCTGCCAGCGGAGCTGCGTGAAGTGGCCGACGCCGAGATAGCAGCCTTTCCCCGCGACTCATCGCTCGTCCGTGTAAGGGAGCGCTGTGCGCTTACGTCACGCCCCCGCGGAGTCGTACACAAGTATCGGCTAAGTCGTATAGTCTGGCGGCACCTTGCGGACTACAACAAGCTGTCCGGCGTGCAGCGCGCCATGTGGTAGTGTCTCCTGTTAGCCATCTAAGCAAAAATAAACCATTGTTAGTCCCATTCATTCCGGCGCCTTGACTTGTTATCAGTTTCGATTTCGATACCGGTGTTTTGGGGGCCCTCACAGCTGACTGGTATCGATAACGCGTTGTTTGTGCATGGGCAACAAACAGTTCACCCTCTTTTTTGGTCATTGGCCACAATGTCCAGGAAATCGGGAAGCTCCTCGGGTGGGGGTGGTGCCCAGGCGCCACTCAACCTGGTCAACTTTAGCTTCCTGGATCACAAGGCGGAACTGTCCGGGCAGCTTCTGGCCCGCGGCCGACAGCAGGCGAGGAGTCTGGTGGAAAACGAAGCCGATTTCTGGAAGTTTGTCGGCAAGTACGAGGCCATGATGCGGTCCTCTGGCCAGCCAGCGCTGCCACCTTTACTCACTGAGGCGGAGCTGACCACACCGCAGCCGTATCATCGCAGCAAGCACCTGGCGTTGCGACTGAACGGCGAGGCCTTTCTGCAGGACGCCCGCGGCGAGATGCAGGAACAGTTCCGGCACCTGTTGCTCGTTTACCTTGACTTTCGGCAAAAGGAGAAGTTCCAGCGCATCCGGAAGCTACGGCAAGCGCAACGCAACCTGCCCATAGCCCGATTCCGCAGCGATTTGCGCGAAGCCCTTGACGAATCGCGTGTTGTCATCGTGGCCGGCGACACGGGCTGCGGCAAGTCGACGCAAGTGCCGCAGTTCCTGTACGACTTCGGTTACCGGAGCATAGCTTGCACTCAGCCCCGGCGGCTGGCCTGCGTGTCGCTATCGAAGCGCGTGGCCCACGAGCTACTGGACGACTACGGCAGCCAGGTGGGCTTTCAGATCCGTTTCGAACGCAGCCGGACGCAGCGCACCAACATACTGTTCATCACCGAGGGCCTGCTGCTACGCCAGCTGGCGATGGCCTCCAATCTCGATCAGTACGATGCCTTAATTCTGGACGAGATCCATGAGCGCAACCTCTTCGGTGACTTCCTGCTTGGCGTAACCAAGTGCCTATTGCGGGCGCGGCCGCAGCTGAAGCTGATCCTAATGTCCGCCACCATCAACGTGGAGCTTTTCCACAACTACTTCCGCGAGGAGGGAGCAAAACTAGTGCAGGTGCCGGGACGACTTTATCCCATCAAGCTACGCTATATGCCGCCGCCAGCGTTGGAGCTGAAGGCGGGCCAAGCGGCCGCTGCCTCCAAGCGCTCGCAGGGCTCCACTCGCATCGATCCGGCCCCTTTGTCCAGGTGCTCAGCCTCATAGACCAGCAGTATCCAAGTGAGTATGCCATTCCGATGTAGATTCTTTCATCTGACCCTCTTTTTACCAGCCAGCGAGCGAGGCGACGTTCTGATCTTCGTGAGCGGCGTCAACGAAATCGACTCAGTAGTGGAGGCCATTCGGGAGTATGCAACGCAGCAGGAGCACTGGCTGGTGCTGCCGCTGCACAGCGGCCTGGCCCTCGCCGAGCAGGATAAAGTCTTCGACTATGCGCCCGAAGGCGGCCGCAAGTGCATCGTGTCCACCAACATCGCTGAGACATCGCTGACGGTGGACGGTGTGCGGTTCGTTGTGGACTCGGGCAAGGTCAAGGAGATGAGCTACGATGCCGCCTGCAAAGGCCAGCGCCTGAAGGAGTTCTGGGTGTCAAAGTCGTCAGCGGAGCAGCGGAAGGGTCGTGCTGGGCGCACGGGACCTGGTGTTTGCTTCCGCCTCTATACCCAGGCGCAGTTCGATGCCTTCGAAGCGTATCCGGCGCCGGAAATCTACCGCGTTCCGCTCGACACAATGCTGCTGCAGATGGTGTCCATGGGTCTGCCCGATGTCCGGGCCTTTCCCTTCATCGAAGCTCCGGAAACTGAGCGAATCGAGCAAACGATTCTGGGACTCAAGCAGCATGTAAGCAGAGAGACCTCTTGTAAATTTTGTATCTCTCCTACAACCATGTTTTGTCCCTTGCAGTGCGCCCTTAGTGTGGACGAGAAGATCACGCCGTTGGGCAGCTCACTAGCCAACCTACCCGTGGAGCTGTCCATTGGCAAGATGCTGCTGATGGGCTGTGTCTTCCCAGAGGTGGAGCAGCTGCTAACGCTGGCCGCTATGCTAAGCGTTCAGAATCCGCTGACAAATCGGGCCCACACAGACCAACGGTGCGAGCGCGAACGCCAGCCGCTGGAGTCCGATCAGGGCGACCTCTTCACCCTCGTGCGGGCCTACCGTGAGTGGCTGGAGCTGAAGATGCGGCGTGAGGGCACGCGCAAGTGGTGCCACCGTTTGGGCATTGAGGAGCAGCGCTTCTATGAGGTGACCAAGCTTCGCCAGCAATTCCAGCGTATCCTCGAGAGCTGCGGCATGGCCGTGGCCAGTGGCAGCAGTAGCTCTCAACTGACCAGCGCCGAGCGGGCAACACGCCATGGCGAATTGCGTCAGTTAAAGGCTATCAAGCGCCGCCAGCGCTTTGAACAGCCCCGTCAGCGAAAGCTGCTGAAGCATCAACATGGCAGCGGCGGGCAGGAGGACGAAGAGCATGACGAGGAGCACCTGGGCGAGGATATGCGTGACGTGGACTTTCGGCTGCGTCACGACGCCCGCCAGCTGGCCCTGCTGGAGCGGTCGGCGCGCCTCGACCGCAGCCGGGACGTGGTGCTGCTGAAGCTGCTGCTTGTGAGCGGTTTCTACCCTCAGCTGGCCATCGGCGACGAGTTTAACTACTGCAAGGGGGGTGGCCAGCAGTTCTTCCACACGCGTCTCAAGCCCTTCCTCTCGCAGCACCCCAACTCGCACTTTGCCAAGTACTACGAGCTTCTCAAGCTGGCCGACAGCGACATCCAGGCCAAGCCAGACTTCTACACACCCAAACATCCGCTGAGTGCCCGCCATCAGATCCTCTGCTACCAGTGAGTACCAGAAGCGAACCGTTTCCTCCATGTGCTAACTTCCATTGATGCCAGGTCCTTGCTGGAGACCGCCAAGCCCTATCTGATGAATTGCATCCGCCTGCCAGCGGCCCAGACGCTGCTGCTATTTAGCTTTTCCATTGACACCAATGCCGGCCTCACACAGATCGTCTGCGACGACTGGCTGGGCCTGGATCTGCCCATGCCAGGCACCGGTATGCAGCTCCTCAGTCGCGCAATCGAGCTGCGCCGCCGCTGGAGCAGTCAGCTTTACGCCAAGCTGGATGGTAAGTACATCCTTATAATCTAAGGGATCCCTATAAACTTAACCCCCCTCTACTTATTCGCAGAACTTAATGACAAACGAGAGGCACCTTCGGAAGTAAACAGTCAGAGCAGCACGCTCTGGCACGATTTGCTCGATTTTATGGCCCTGGACGTGGCCTACGCCATACGTCGTCTGCTGCCTGCTGATCTCAAGCGTCTCTACTCGCACCAGGCAGCACCGGCCGCAACGCGACTTATGGAACTCCAGGCGAACCCCTTTGCACCGGACTATGCCATCAGCCCCAACGAGGAGAAGGGTGGCCTTAATGTCTCCGAGCATGTTGTTTATGGCTGCTTGGTTGAGCAACAATGGACGCTGGCCATGGACACAACGTTGCGGGCGCAACCGTGGCAGTGCACGCGCTGCAACTTCGAACTGGAGGAGTTCGATGTGCTGGAGCAGTTGGTGCACCAACAGCAAGCCCAGTGCCGGCCAAGCAAGAGAAAAGCTAGTCCAAGTAGGAGGACAGATAAGCGGTCAAGCGGTTCCTCCTCCTCCTCCTCCGGTGGAGGTTATTACTGCGAGAACTGCAAGACTCGGCTGCGTCTGCTCTCACAGATTGACATCCTGCGCCATCGTCGACAGTGCACAAAAGCCAATTAGTTAATAGGTTGAATAGTAAACATAATAAAAAGGATATTAGATTACAAATCAAGCTGTTTTTTTTAAAGCATGTATATAAAATCGTTTTTAAAATCGAGACGTCGAGAATCAATTGTTTTCCCAGCTCTAAAAGATTATAATTCTTTCTTGCACCTATGGCATTATGCATCTTGTTTTTATATGCTCTTAGCTTACACTAAATTGTTAAAACAAGCAATGCCATGAATTATTTATTTATTCACAATGATATATTTACATATTATAAATTTTATATTCTTTTTTCTTCGAAAATTTTTGAAAAATGATTAAGTATTCCGAGTATAAGTACTTGTCTAACAGCAATCTCTACTCCAAAGATGTGTTAAGGAACTCGAAGGAGGAATACGAATCGAAATACAGTCCCGTATAAGTTATATTCAAACTATTATATGGAGTATTTGAAAAATAATAATCTATGGTAGGTCAATAACACATTTATATATCTGTACAGTCCTTTTGGTGTGAATACGTTTTGAAAGTGGAACAGAACCATATAGTCAATGCTCCAAGAGATATTCTGTGTGTTGTCTAGTCTTTCATCCCGCTCTGTTTCGCGCTGAAGGTCTAGCTCTAGCTCTGTCCCTGAACTTTAAATATTTTATTACCAAGTAATATGAATTAAATTTAAATACCAACTGAGCGTGGATTCTAAATTCGTTCTACTGAGACAATGCAAATGTCCAAGGACTTGGCTTAGTTTTAAATGAAAATAACTTAACTTAATTGCTGTGGATTTTTAATCGCTTGGAATGAATTTCAATAGCGATTTCTGTGGCATTATATTCAAGTTAGATCTGTTTCCAAAGCTTACTTTATATAGTGTGGTGTGAAAGGATTATACATTTGTATCCTTCCTGAATGCAACGTAATTTATTGGTTAAGGGTTATTTCCAACGAGAATTAAAGGATGTTTCAGTCTCACCCAGGGATTTTCATCTAACCTGGGCCTTGTATCAGAAGGAACAAGTATCTGTTTCCTTGGAGGTTTCCTTTTCCTTGCTCAATTGAAAAAAAGTGCACATGCTGTCAATGGCTGCCGTTGGAATTCGTTCTATAAAATATATGTCGAAGTAATGATGTCTGAATGTCCGTCCTCTAATGAATCTCATAATCCAAATCAAATTTGGCCCCAATTCGGGGCATTCGCTGCTTCCTTGGTGGCTGCTTGTTGCCGGGCTGCAAGAAAAGGTAAAGGTTAAAGTAAGAGCAACGTAACATAAACATTTCCACATGATACATACCTGAGAGGGTGATGTTGCTCTTGGAGCTGCCACAGACGCATCCTTACTGGTGGATGGAACGTTTTTACCTTCAGACTGCATTCGGAAAAGGAAAGATATTATTAAATTATTACACTTCTTTTAGCGCTTATGTTTATTTCCCACCTTAATGTTAAGCGTACGCATGAGTCCAACGGCCTCCTCGGTCGGTCTCTCCGACTGACTGCTGCTAGTGGCATCCGATCGCTGTGGAGGTATAAATGTAAGGGACTCCACTCAAGACTTTATTCTTCATTATGTACGCTTACCCCTTCGCCCTCCGGTTTATCCTGGGACTGGTTGCTGCGCTTGGGACGATATGCCTGTATGGGCACAAAATCTTGGATGGATGAGTAGCGTGGCTTCGTTTGCTGGTTATTGGTATCCTGCTGATGCGGGAAATTCTGCGGCTGTGCTTGATACTGATGGTAAGGGAATTGTAACGGCTGCTGATGATCCTCTTTGCTCATGCCCAAGGCCATATCGGTCTTATAACGACTACGTTGTTGCACGTTGTTGTATTGTAGCAAGGGACGTGACACCTGCCGCCCGAATCCACTCATAGGGGTGGTCGCACGATTCCTATCGGATTGACTCCCATCTGGGGGCAGCTAATGGTAGCTGCTGCTGACGAACATCTGCTGGCTGCTGGTTGCTACGGTACCATTGTTGGGTCTGAATGCGATCGGACTTGTTCGGCTGAGATGGTGCCTGTTGCTGCGGTTGCTGCTGCTGTATACGCTGTTGGTGCTGCTGCTGTTGTTGGTGCTGCTGCTGCTGCTGTTGTTGGTGCTGCTGCTGTATACGCTGTTGCTGTTGCTGCTGTTGGGCTTCTTGTTGCCAGAAAAGCGGCGGCTTTGGCAGATTCTGCAAAAGTTCATAATCTTTATTGCCAAAGAGATCACATCACATCTGGAATTTGACACTCACCGGTATCTGTCCTGGAACGGGAGCCTTTGGCAATTGCGACGAAGGTGCCTGGATTTGCGGCTGTGGAAGCGGCTGCTGGACATCGTCTCCCTTCTTCATGCCCAGAAGCGACATCAGAGCCAGTGTCTGTGCCTGGGGTGATGCACCTACGGCTGCTCCTGCTGCTGCTGGCTCATGGCTCATAGTGCTCTTGGGAGCTGCAAGAGCACTGCCTCCTTGGAGACGATGGGTGGATTGGTTCGAGTTCGGTTTAGGGTTCTGGTTGTGGTTCTGGTTCTGGTTTTGGTTCTGTTTCTGATTCTGGTTCGGGTTCTTTCGCCAGTTTTCCTTAGCTGAAGTTGAATTCGACTGCGGTGGCTTGGTGACAGCTTGAGCGTTGTTGTTGTTACGCCAGTTTTTCGGCTCCTCCGGCTTCTCAGTCTTTGGTGGAATGTAGCTCTTCGAAGACTTGGTCTCAACATTTGCCGCAGCATTAGGTTTAAAGAACTCGTCTGCTATCTTCGTCTTCATTGTGACAGTATTCCAGTCGTCACCAGCCGCCGTTGTATAGCGACTGCCGCTGGCCTGCGGCGGTGCCTGCTGCTGCTGAGTATTACGCTTTTCCATTTTCACGTTTCCCCCTTGGTTTCTGGCCGAATGAAAGGTATCTTGGCTCGACTGCTTGTCCTGCTTTGGGCCTTGTTCTAAGCGAAAGAAATGACACCAGTCGAAGTGACAAAAAAAAGAATGAGCAGGTCTCTTGACAGCACTATTTATCGAGATTCTATCAAAGGGTAGTGTTGCAAAAAATATTTGATAATTGATTTATAATCGCAATAATAGTAGCTATTTCTAACACCATTTTCCTCTTGACTTTTCCATATCAAAAATTACAAAGAAGTGTTCGCGAGTGGTTGTGTCTTCACCTATTACTCCTTTCGGAAAGTTAAAAGTTCGCGAGTGGTTGTGTCATCACCTATTACTCCTTTCGGAAAGTTACTACGTTACTACGTGAGATCTCAAACAGACTGGACTAAAGCAACTTTTAAGGTAATGTTCCAAACTCCTACTTTACACATTTTCTATTAGTTACAATTGGGCAAAGCTGACAAAGACATACCATTCGTGTAAATGACGACTAGGGCACTCTCGGGCACCTTGTAGACTCGGTCCTCGGCAATGCCATGGATATCGTTGCAATTGGGCACCGCCTTATCGAACAGCACCTCGCAAAAGGTATCCACAGCATGGACGCACTCCAGGCGCACCGGATTCGGATCCGTGACGGGATAGATACCAATCACAGTGCCCTTGATGCCCACCGGCACCATGTAAATGGTGCGCACGATAATGACGCGATCAAAGAGTCGCACCGGACGACGCGACCGATAGACATCAGGCAGTGTGACATTGGGCTTTATCAACAAATGTGGCTTTACTTGTAGCTTAACGTCCTTGACGGGCAGCGAGCGTAGCTCATCGACGGCAGTCAGGAGCAGCTCCACGGTCTCGCGGCAAACTGTTTTCGAACCGCACGTAATGCGCTCGACCTTGGTATGCGGCTGCTGGCGCACCCAGTTAGCCACATTCTCGACCAGGTGCTGGCCCATGGCATGGGGAAGATATCCTGTTCGTAGACGAAATCGCCACGATCGTTGCTTTTGCCAAAGAAGGCGACCAAGTCAGGGAAGGTATTGCAATAGTCACGCATCAGCTCGATGGCCGTGGTAGAGTAGAACCACGTATTGCCCGACCGACAGCAGTAGCCGGCGCGCTCCTCGTTCTGCCGCGGAAATTTCAGCTGAAGTCCCACATTGTGTTTGGCCACGTTCTCCATTTTCTCACGCCGCGGCCCGAGAACCACCCAAACGGTGCCGGTTAGTCGACCCAGTGCCCGAGGACTGATATTTAGCTGATGAGCGACGTCGTAAGAGTTGGTGTAGTCGCGATCGCGCTCCTCCTGCACCTGGCGTGCTGCCCTCAGCTCTGGCTCCGGCCGCACACGGATGTTGACTGGTGGGAAAAGATCGCATATATCTATCTCTATATATTTAGGTTCGATATGAACTTACCTTTGATGCGACCGCAGCTGTAGGCAAGCGAAGGATCAAGCACGGTTCCCTCGCTGCCGAAGTACGGGTTGCCAATGAAAAAGACCGGGCTGCCGACCGGGAATAGTTCCTCCACATTGTGGAACTTCTGGCGCAGACCCTCGCTTACGGCCAACTCGGCGACGACACCCTGGGCCGGATAAGCGGTGACTGAACTGCTCCACGAGTCCTGCATGAACAGCGTTCCCTTAGGCCCGAATTCCAACGAGCTGCCGGCAAAGGTTCGAACGTACACGAGCACGTTGTAGTTGTGGAACTTTATGCCCATACGGGTGGTGAAGCTGCAAGGAGAAGGAAGTTAAGCAATGGCCAAGTAGCTGGAGACGGTGACTCAACTGTTCCTGCAAAGACTTGCACTCGGATTCGAAGCGACGGCTTTCGTTCTGCATAATTCCTTCATCGTCCACACGTTGCTCTCGCGTGGCCACACGCACCACCTTGGCCTTGATGAGATGCGGCCAGCCGATGTGCACCACCTGCCCCAGATATTGGCCAGCTACGGCCTCCAGTGTGTCCTCCAGCTGTCGCTGGCGCGGCTTGAGCACCATGTTCTGATTGCGGCTCGCCTGCTCGAACACCTTGACGCGGTCGTTGCGCAGCTCAAACTGGGGAATAAATTGATAATAAAATCGTCTTCTTGCAGCGGCCACCACCACTCACATCGAACGGCAGGTGCTGCATGGTGGGAAAGCCTGGGAAGAAGACGTGACGTGCCGCATTCGGCAGCTCGACGCACACGCTGTACGACAAATTTAGCGTGATCTCGCGCGACCATCGAGCCGACTCCGTGCAGAAGAGCTGCTGCAGGGCCTTTAGCGGTGGCCTGGCAGCCATCGGACCCAGCGACTCCGTCGAATAATCGTACTGGTACATCGGTCCATGCTTATTCCGCTCACGCTCCGCCGCCGTTAGATTCACCTCGCATGGTAGCATTGCGGCAAGCAGGCGGCGCTCGTCGATGAACGGTATGAGCACCACCGCCTCCCAGTCGTGCTTCTTGCCATTGAGATCGGTGTCGAAGTCCATGGGATAGAACTCTGCCAGCGGGCTGTTGGACTGCAGCATGAGGTTGTGGTAGGCTGATGGCAGGAGCTTGCAACTTGCCGCCGGTAGCACTGCCAGGAGCTGGGAAGTCAAGGAAGACGAGAGGGTTTTCAGCATCTAAGAGCATTGCGGTTATATAGACGCTCTCTCACCTGCTGGAAGGGAAGGAAGGGTGTGCCTAGCTGAAAATTGATTTGGACCTGCTCGATATTCTTAAGGTCGCTGATGAAAGGCGCATAGTGGTAAGGATAATACCAGTCCCACGACTGCACGCCACGATAATAGTAGTCCAGCACCCACTGCAGGGCGTTCACATAGTGGTGGCCCAGCTCCTTGATCAACTGGCCCTGAGCGTCACTCTTGAACTTGTTGCGATAGTAGTTGCGCTTGTAGTTCTGGAACTCGTGCATCAAGGCAGTCGCCTCGTCGCTCCAGTCTTCCTCGCTGTCGTCGTCGTAAAGCTGCAGCGGAGAGGGGAAATCTATAGATCGGTACAGACATCGAGAGACCTACACTTACCCTACAGCTGTCGTCAATCAGGGCGGCCAGGTCAGAGTCTAGATTCTCGTTGGCCCTGATCTCATCGGCATCCACGTCGAAGGCCTCCGTTTTGGCGTGCATGTACTTGAGGTCGTCGGCGTGCTCCCTGAACTGATCCAGCTCTACCTCGGTAAGGGCCGTGAGAAAGATCTGCAGGCGACGCAAGTTGAGCTTGCCATGCTCGTTGATGTTGCCTCCCAGCTCCGGATAGATCCGGATGTAGGTGCGATAGAGCATAGGCAGGGCATTGGACGAGATGTGCAGGCAGGGCAAATGGGGGATGAAATCGTTGCCGACCATGAAGCCCATTAGCACCCAGTCGTCGATCAGCTGCGCCACGTCCAGCTTCTTCTCCGGAGTGCTCAGCGCATCGAACTCCAACTCCAGGTACTCGCGCAGCAGCCCCAGATGGAGCAGAAAGAAGCGCGTCTCCTCCACAGAGGCCCGTTTCACATTCTTCCCGAATTTCACCTCCTCGCGTAACACCACAAAGTGCAGTTCGTGGGTGCAGAGGCCAAGGATGATGAGATCGGCATCCAGGCCGTACAGACAGTGCCGCGTATTTGGGTCAAAGCCGGGCTGGGCCTTCATGTAGCGAATGTAGTCCATAATCTTGTGCTCACCTTCGCCGGGCGTCTCCTGGCCGCTGAGAATCACGCTACACCGCTGCCAGAGCGGATCCGTCGAGATTTTCGTCTTTAGGAAGGCTCGCAGCCCCGCCTGCAGTCGTTCCATGAACTCTGTGCCCGGTGTGATGCAGTTGCTGTCGAAGCGTTCATGCTCTCGCCGCTCACCTCGCTGTGCCGCTTTCTCCTCCAACTGCTCAGCTTCGCGGGCCGATCGGAAGCGACGGCTGCGCTGCTGGTTCATCTTGGCACGAGGCGCCACGCCGTCGACGGCCAAAAAGAAGAGGCGCTGCGGCTTGATCAGGTAGAACAGCTTGTCCACATAGTTGAAGATCTCCTGAAATATCTGCGCCTCTTCCAAGTGAAAGTGGATGTTGTTGTCATCCGGATGCGAGCAATTGTGCACGATGCCGTTCATGTCCAAGTACAGGTTGTCGAACTCAGGAATCTGATGAACATAACGGCGGGGGAAGGGAGAAAACGAAACCGAAAAGGTGATAGCCACTCACGATCATTCATTCTTTCTCCCAAACTTACGCTGTGCTCGCGCGCCAACTCGCTGAGGCACGGATATCGCTCGCTGATGTAGCGGAAGAACTTTGGAACACCCATTGTCGGAGGATCTGTATCTGGCACTGGCTCTGGCTGTCTGCTTCCACCTATTTACACACAGTTCGTCCTTGATCACCGAAAATTTCAATTTGTAGAGTGTGGGACAGTGTGGACGTTACCCGCCTGATCAAATATCCCAAACGGTCGTTCGGTAGAAATATACTGAAAAAATACCACTTTATTTTGCTTTCTTTGAAGATAAATTCCTATCTTCGATCTACATGCAGAGACGGGAGAAAGTGGTTTGGGTTTAGGATTCACGAAAATTGCGGCAAAAAGCAGGCAAAAAAATTTGAAGATACAAAATGTATTGCATAGTTTTTGGTGTATTGGCAACAGCATTACCATTTCTGTGTCAAGTCGAGACATCAATCGAAGGTTTTTGAATATAATAAGTGAAATAGACACTTAGTTATTTCATATTTTATTCTATATCAGGTCTTAAAATGTTTTATTTTGTTTTCTTTGGAATTATTAAAAATACTGAAAACTAGTATTTTTAAGTACCAAAGCAAAACAAAGAGTTCGCACACACTTGACCACACTGTTTCCTCTGAAACAGCTGTTTTCACAACAACAAAAACTGCGAACGCTTTTGTGTTCCAAATTTTACGTAATTCGTATTGTGAATTATCCGCCAGCAAAATGTCGCTCATCCGCCAAGTGATGTGCAGAAGCAGCGTCCAGCTGCAGCTGTAAGTAATCGGTACACACACGAACCGGCCGCCCGATTATTCTCCAATTCCCTGCCTCTGTTCGAAGGTATCAGGCCAACAAGCTTGCTGCTGCCGCCCGTTGGGCATCCTCCTCGTCGACAGACACCGGACCGCTGGACCCCAAGCTGGCTCTGGCCCTGCCCGAAGAGCTGGAACAGCGTAACAAACTCAGTGGCAAGATCACCGTGCCCACGGCCGTCAATCTCGGTCCCATCTCCGGCGTGCCCGACGAACATCTGAAGGAGCGTCGCGTACGCATCCACATCCCTCCCAAGAACGCCATGCAGAGCGGAACGGACAACATCAACACCTGGCAGATTGAGTTCGACAACCGCGAGCGCTGGGAGAACCCGCTGATGGGCTGGGCCTCCACGTAAGTACAAAGCTCCAATGCGACAAATTCAGATACTGATTCCGATCCAATATCGGTTCGATGTTGAAGCGGTGACCCACTGTCCAACATGAACGTGCAGTTCGGCAGCGAGGAAGAGGCCATCACCTACTGTGAGCGCAACGGCTGGCGCTGGTATGTTGATGGCGCGGATAAGCCTAAGAAGGAGCGTGTCAAGAACTACGGCGTCAACTTTTCATGGAACAAGCGCACGCGCGTCTCCACCAAGTAAATGGCCAACCGCTGGCTAGGATTCACATAGACAAACACTATTTTTTTTTTCCTTCTCTTTGTTCATAACCAAAAACACCGAATAAACCGACCGGAACCGGAGAAATTCGATCTAGAGTGACCTGGACTTAATAATGATTCCTGGATCGATGCTGCTTGTGGTGCTTTCTGAGGTGCGAGGACCGAGAGCGGGAACGAGAGCGGTGCTTTCTGCGGTGCGAGGACAGAGAGCGGGAACGAGAGCGGTGCTTTCTAGGGTGCGAGGACAGAGAGCGGGATCGAGAGCGGTGCTTCCTGTGGTGCTGCCTGTGGCGCTCTCGCTCATGTTCTCGTTCCCGTTCCCGTTCCCTTCCCCGCTCCAGCTTCTCCGGTCGCCTGTGTCTGTGCCTCTCATGGCTTCGGCTGGGGCTCCGCGTTCGGCTGCAACTTTGACTGCGCTTTCTCTTCCGACTGCTACTGAGCTCACTGGCAGCAGATTGCGCTTGCTGTCTCTGCAATGCCTCCATTTGAAGGTCGACCAGTTGGCGCAGTTCCTCGTTCAGTGTGGGCTTGCTCTTGCGGTGCCTGCGACGCTTTTGCTGATCCCGCTTCGTCACGCTCACTAGTTCGGCGAAGGCGGCGTTATCGTCCTCGAATGCCGTATGCTTTGCGGTCCGTTGCAGTACATACTCATACAGCTGCAGGCGCTGGCTGACCCCATCCTGGCTTGCGTCCGTTCCCAGAATTTGTTGTAGCGCCACTTCGTCCAGTTGGACACTAAACGCGGGATTGTTGCAGCAAGAGGGTGGCAGCTCCTCGTCCGTTTTAGGCAGCGCCTTTTCGGTGGATCGATGGTTCTGTGGAGACGAGGGCGAGAAAAGTTTTAGCCTTTTCTCCAATCTCTTTCTCACTGAGACTTGCCGCTTTTACACCCGCCTCGCTCCATTGCAACTGCTGCAGGAGGGCATGCAGACGGCTCCGGCTATTGTCCACGAAGAGACGCAATTGCTGTCGGTGGCCAGCCAACGTGGCTTCATCTCCAGACATTAGTTAACCCGCTTTATAATCAACAAAACTGCGAAAACAAACCAAATCGAAACAGTGTTGCAGAAGGCGCAAATACCACGGCCAGTGCTGGAGAACGCAGCGTTTATATTTAGAATCCTTTACATTTCGCGGGATTTGGAATAGGAATTGGAGGAGATTTTCACCAAGAGCAGAACCGATGATGCTTCAGGTCCAGAAAAGCACGGTAAAGGCCATGATGAGACATGCAGCTCCTACCCACGGTGACTTGCGCTCCCCAATCCTCGCCAACTTCCAGAACGATCCCAGTAAGCTGCACGTAGAAAGCCGAAGTAGGAGCATTAGTTGGGCCTCCAATTCAAGAGACAGAAAGGAGAGGCAGAGTATCACTTACCCTGTTTTGTTGCGATCAATGATGCTGGGGAACAGCGACCGGAGGTAGGCGCATGTGCAAATCAGCAGGAGGATGACCGACAGCAGGCTCTGGAAGTTGAACAGTGCACTCTGGGGATAGAAAGACAAGCGGCGGTTAGTCCCTGATACGCTCCTGGCACTCAAAAACTTTCAGACCATGATTTTGCCAAGTGAATTGAAACAACAACAAACGGGAAACTAGTGACGTGCTAGTTGGACCGGCGACCTGGTTCAGAAATCGGAATCAGTGACTGGTTCGATATATATAAATTATGCAGCTATGTACTTATGTTTGTTTTTAATGATATATTAATAAAGTACCACGTATATAACTACTGTGTAACGATTCTACTAATTTATGCGGGAACTACTAGTAACGATAGCTTCGATACCCGATAACTTTGCCAGCCGATTATTTCCCACACTAAACATAGTTAAGTACCTTTTAATGTATGCAAGCTGGTCACACTCCGCTCTTCTGTCAAAACATCGATAGTAATGCTAGCTAAATGGCGCGGGTATTTAATACAAGAAATTAAAATATTAGGGTTAAATCTCCGAGCATAATAGCTTTATAAAACTCAAAACGCTTTAGTTTGAATACAAAATAAGAGCAGTTGTTACCTATATTTAGTGTGACAATTAAGCTAAAGGGAAATATTTTAAATTTAAAATGGGACTAATCGGTATTTATCCATTTCGCGATAGTCTGTAAACAATCGAACTTGCGACCAATCGATAGGTGTCATCGTTGTTGTGACAGCTCTAGAATAGAATTTTGTCTTTCTAATTCGTCTGCAAGTAATTTTTTTTTGTGTTTATAATCCAATACGAGGACGGGAAATGTCTGCAAATTTTGTTAAATAAAACGTGTTTGTGCTATAACAGATCCGCCCGTCGTCGTCGGTTTCGGTTTTTCTCGCTCTTTTCGTCTGCGTCCGCGCTCGGTTTCCAATTGAAATTGTGGAGGCGGCCGCAAGGGGACGACGACTGCAGCGGGCAGTGCGCAAAGGAGGGACAGGGACGGAGACTAGGACAGTAGCTCCCGACCAAGTGCATCCCCGCCCCGTGTGTGCCCGTCTTCCTAATGCAATTCTGGCGGAGCGAAGCGCGCTCATAAAAATCAAAAGTATATATAGCAGATGTACATGTATATATAATATTCGGATACGTTTTCTCGATTCGCTCGCCCCTGCATATGTATTTGTGTATTTAAATCAGTATCACAACAGCACGCACACAAGCGTACGAACGAACGGGCATTTGTTGTGTGTAGCGCGCTGCGTTTTCTTTTTTTTTATGTGTTTCGATTGAGAGTTTTGGTCGTGCGTGTTTGTGTGTGCGAGCGAGAAAGTGTAACCAGAGGAGCTGCAGTGAACGGACAACAACAATAAGGAGCAAGAACAACAGCATCATATTTAGCAGCATGCCTGCCAGTCGCTGCACTGGAGAAGCGGTAAGTTTGAACCTGCAATGGGTAAAGCTAAGTTAATTTCTCGCGACTGGTTACATATGTACATAAGTATGTATGTTTTTATGTAAGTACACACTCTTGCCTTCAGTGTGTGCGTGTATCGTCATCGGTTGACTTCGACGTCTGCAGCGCTGTTAACCGCTAACAGTACAGCAACAGCCAGCCGATTAGAGCCAATGCCGCAGAACGAAGTAGATCGAGAAAGTATGTGTGTGTGCGTTAGCCAAAAGAAAAGTGAAAACATCTGTGAAAAGTGAAGCTGCGAAAAAGGAGTAGCGTGTATGAAAAGTGTTAAGTGGATTTTTAGCGGCAGCACTGCTACTGTCTCTCCTGCCGCTGTTGTGTTGCCACCGCCGACAAGTCGCGTCGTGTCGGTTCTGTGAGCTCTCACCAGACACGACATTCGCTAAAAAAGTGTTGGCCAACCCCCAAACAGAAGCAGATCGAAGAAACATAAGAACTGAGGCAAAGCAAAATAAGCGAACGAATTGAGGCGCAGAATACGCGGTGAATTGGCTGTGGCAACCAGGACAAGTGAAACGTGAATTGTTACATTTGGGCGAAAGAAAAGCGTTCCCAAGAACAACACCTTGCCCGTGCGTGAGAATTGAAAATCCGCAGGTAGGGAAAAGTTGCATTTCAAAGCGTTCTGTTTCGTTACCGTTCCCCTCCCCCTTCCCATATTCTCTGCCTATGCTTTCTATGACACGCGCATACCCACTCACTCATACAAGCACACACGCAAGCACACTCATACCCGCAGAATGGAGGGATACTAACACCAGTAGCGTGTCGTCGCTCGGGCTTGCGCTCTTTATTTTTGTTTTTACTTTTATTTCATTCCACCTTCTCTGCTCTGTTTGGCGAGTGCACTTATTGTTATCGGTTTGTTTTGTATTTTGCTTTCGTCGCAAGCGGAGATCGCCGTGTGTGCTTTTGGCTTCTTATTCGGTATGTGAAAGACGGAAGAAAGTAACAGTTTTCGGGGGTTTCTGAATGAAGGAACACATTTACGCAATTGTTTTTGCTCCTTTTTTGGCCGTGTCTCGTTTCTCTTTTCTTCATTTTTGCCAGCACTCTCGCTCTCTCTCGCACACGGGCGGACAGCTGGCCGGTGTGATGGAGCTGGCATACATTTGCTCAGCGTGCGGCACTCGCACACACAGGCAAACAATACACATACACGGCAACGGAGGCCGCCATTGCTCTGCGCAGCTTTAACAGTGTTGCATTTTGCCGCGCAGTGATTTGTGCTGCTGGGAGAGCTTTTTCCGTCTTTGTTTTGTGCACTCCATTCGTAATAGGGTTGCCAGAGGTCTATGAATACTAATCTATCGATTCTACCTTTACGATAGCCGGATATTATAGTTTATCGGGTTTTAGATACTTTTATTTTTTGGAAATTGTTGCTACTTATTCAGACCAGGAATGATTTTTACAAACTGCTGTTAATGTTGCTAAATGTTAAAAAATCTAAAGATAAGACAACATGCAATACGAATAATATAAGACAAAATAAGCTTGATATTTCTGTATAAAAAATAACTTGCAAACGGCAAGGGTAAATAAACTTAGGTTTATCGAAGCTTTGCTATCTTTATAGTTATTGATATTAATTATAAGTGAGGTAAAATTATAATCGAATCCTTAAACGCGTTAATTGGTGGGACAAGAAAAACAATTTGAACGTTTGGAAACGTGTGAAACCGCCAACTGTTTAAGAGGGCCAAGTCTGACATTGAGTTTGGGGCAAGTTTCCTAGGTCTCCAAAAGCTTCTGAATTTCTCATGGCATACTGTTCAAATGAAGAAGCCCTTTACATATTCGTATGTTCCAGCGCATGTGAGTTTCTTAAAGCAATTAGGGAATAAAAATTCAATTATAGTAGGACATGTAATCTTGGGCTTCTGACGCCCCATAACTGCAACTGGCTTCTTTAATTAATAAAACATAAATGGTAGAAGCGGAACGATAGCAACGTGAGTTCATTAAAGATATTTGAATTCTATAAACAATGTCCGTTTAAGCGGTTGGTGGTCTCTTAATAAAAACATTTAAATTAATAAATTAAAGGCCAAAAAGAAGATTAAGGCCTTGGCGATGTTTACCATTATATATGTAGATGCAAATACTAAATCCACAAATTCCTTTTGTCTGCCGCTGATTTTTGTCTAGTCTACTTTTCATATTATTTATATAAATTTATACACATAGCGACATCTTTATGGGATCTAACATATTTTGAATTCTGTTCGATCTTACATATGTTTGGATGTAGGTGTTCATATTTTTTGAAACATTACATGGCATTTAAAAACAATAATTAATACCTATTCAAAGTTAAGTTAAGTACAGAGTATCTTATTGTCGACTCACTTTAACAGTGGCATTCGCACTTGTTGTTATTATCGTGTCTGTTGCTGTTGTTATCGGACGTTCCCTTCTTTATCCCCCAAGTCGCCGCCGCGCTCATTGAGTGGGGCATATGATAGCGCTCAGCGGGTTTATTTATAATCGCAACGACTCGTACATATGTATGTATGTACACATATTACAAATGCAGGGGGATCGGGATCTGCGCAAAGGTAAATAAAAGGAGAGCGAAACACGTGATCAACTCTTGGAATGCCTTGCAGCAGCAGCCGTCCGTCCACCTGTCTGTCCGTTCACAGCTGCCGCTCACCAGATATGGCAGCATTTTTACACTTGTCTCTGCGACGCCGCCTTTCCGATTTGTTTGTTCGCAGTTTGCAGTTTTCATTAGTCTGTCCACTACAGTGGAACTTGCTCTGTAAGAATTGACGTAATACACTTATTTTCTTTAGATATATGTATATGTATATTAAGTTAGACATTAAGCGTATAAAGCGTAGGAATTTACAGGATTAGTATCACATGGTAGCACCACAAATTATCACACTTCTTTTTTATCGAGTTCGCATCGTAAATATCTATCGCATAATCTTTCGACAATTATAGTTGAGGCATTTTCCACGTTTTCTATGAAAATTTTCAAAGGAACATGACACTTGTGATAGAACGTTTAACCAAAAATAAATGGAAATTACGATGGCAAACACTTGTGTTGGCTATCGCTTAATGTGTTAATTCAATTAGAATAATTTGTTGTCCCTGCCATTCGCAATTTTAGCTCGCACACCGAGCAAAGGCGTGTACATATCGCAACCTGCGGTGGGGTCGGGCTTTTTTTTGCGGGTCCCAAGACAGTTAAAACCCTTTTTATCAGTCTCCCAGTCTTCGCACAGCAGGGGTCAGCAGCATATAACTCCGAATTTAATCGTATGACAATATTTTCGACAAATTAAATTTTTAGAAAATCATAACTAAGCCAAAAATTCATTAATTTTAAATCGGAAAGCTGTTTTATGCTAGTTTTTATTAGCTCAATAAATCTGCATACCCAATTTAGATTTAAAAAAAATTAAATTTTTAAAAATATTTTTTATAAATTTAACGATGTAACCCCTTAAAAAATTTAAAAAAAAAATTCTAAAATTTTTTTTCTTTTAAACATGCCTAGATCGATTCAGGAATTTAAGCTGATCAAGAATATATATGGTTTGTAGGGTCGGAAATGACTCCTTCACTTAGTTTTAAGCTTCTGACCAAAACAAGAATACCCTGCAAGGGTATAAAAACAATACATGCTATACTAGTAAAGCTACAATTATTGTAATAGATTTAAGGGTTAAGGTTAAACAGTTATTGGCATAAGATCAAGGGTTTAGCCAAAGCAGTTATTACAACGTAAAGCAGTGGTAATTAAAGGGTTCTGGCCAAGCTGTCCTAATGCTTTCACCGAAGTTGTTGCAATTTTTACCGCTACTCTGCCGCGGTGTCGCCCATTGCCTTTACCGCTCGTAATCCCTTGCATAGACAAACGATAGCGCTTACCGATTACCGCTCGGCGATCGGATCGCTCGCGTGCCGTTGTATGTTTTTCTTTTTGCTCAGCTTTTTTGCCAGCTTTGCTTTCTGCTTTCTTGCTCACTGCTCATTCCGATTTTGTCGAGCGACGTGTGCGGAACTGAACGAACGGCGGCTCGCATTTTCCTCGCTGCTCGCTCGCTCGCTTCACTCGCATTCGTATTTGTTTTCTTCGAATCGGAATTCGAATCAGAATCTGAATCAGAACCAGAACCAGAACCAGCAAGCGCGCGCTGTGTTTATTGCGTACAAAAACAACAAATTAGCAGCGTTCCATTGCGCGCTCCACCGTTGATCTGTGATTTTTTTGTTATTGTGTTATTTTGCGTTGTTTTTGTTGTGTTTTCCGCGTGATCCTGTCCAGTTGTTGGCGTTCCATTTTTGTTGTAACTTTTGGGGCGGGGACGCACACCTTGCTGGCGGCGCCACAACTGCTTGCATTCCGGGGCGCCATGGCCCAGTGCTGTGAAACGTCGCCGCGCTACGGCATTTCCTCGAACCCGACTCCCGGCCGCAATTCCAGCCAGGATCCGGCGGATTCTCCGTCTGTCACCACCGCCGCCGTGCTGCTGTGTACGTATTTATATATAGAACAGATTCGTATCCGAAACCCCGCCTCCATTTCACTCACCCACGTTGCAATGCTGCTGCAGCAGTCTCCAAAATAGTGCTGACCTGGTATCGCGTGTTTTAGCATTTAATATAGGTTTAATGACATTTTTCCCCCAATTACTATATTTTTTGGCTTATTAACACACTTGAGAGGTTGGCGTAGACAGCGAAAATTCTTAAGACAAGCAGAGCGAAGATTAAAAGCATTTCTTTGCAACTGCTCTTTGTGCTTGTTGCACTTGTGCTAGTGTTGGTGCTGGTCAACCGTTAATCTGAAGTCCAGCCAACTCTCTTTGCTCTCTCCTGCACTCTCTCCTGTCTCCTTTGCACCGGCTTTCAAGTGTATTATGCAGCATTGCCGTCACCGGCAGCCACCATCACCAGCCATCTCTCTCTAGCTCTCTTCCTGTCATAGACATCTCGTCATTGCCATCACATTCCCATCATCTTTATTTTACGTTTTTTATTTTATGTTTTTATTTTTTTTGCATGTGTTTGTGTGTTTGCAGCGCTTTGTTTTCATTTTCAAATATATTCTGCTTCGGCATCTCTGCTATTTTTGTGAATTTCCTTTCCGCCTTGCGACTGGCCCGCCAGCCGCTGCTAGTTTTCTAGTTTTTCTGCCTTAATTTTTCGTAATTTTCCTTTGTGAACCGGAAAAATGGCAAGCACAGAAAATGTTGTTGTCACTTTTTGTTCCGTATCACCTGACTGGGACTCTCACCACCACCACCACCACCACCCCCCGATTTGCCGCCACTGGCTCTTGGCCTTGAGGGCTCGGTCTCCTCCCCTTACACATTCCGTTGTTTATAATTCCGTTTGTTTTGGGATATAGTAGCTACTAGCGCCCCCGTAAATCGAAACTGTAATCGGTCTTCGTCTTACGGTATCAAACTTTCTGCCACATTGTTGCTAATGCGATTTTTCGGTTTTATTTTAATTTATTTTTTGTTAGTTTTCAGGGTGAAAGTCGTAGCATTTTTCGGCAAACTTCCGCAGAAGATTTCAATATACCCAATTGTTTTGCTAGAAAGCTTTGGGTGCTTAAATGTTTAGCCCTTTTGAGCGCTGTTGGGCTGCACATGGCATTGAAACCGAAAGTGGGCTTATCTTGGGAGGGTTTTAGCCATAAAAAAATGGGTTTACCTGTTCTCACGTTAATAGGTGTGGGTTACATTTCAATTTAAAAGCAGAAAAACTGCTTAACATAGCTTTAAGTGCCTTAATATGTGGTATCTGGAGTATAAAAACCAACAGATGTTTATAAATTTATTAGAAATTAGCTATTATCAGCATACTTTAGAAATCGAACTTACAAAATAATTGACTGATAATTAAATTCAGTTCAGAGTTTATTATTATTTTATTTATTTATTATTATTAGAAATAGAGCGGTTGAGTCACCCTACTACACAGCACAAAAAGCACACTCAATCATAGCAAACATTCGCTAGGCGATCACGAGTGCCATTAGAGCGATTCGCAAGTCGCAATTACAATGTGTGTGCGGTGGGTCCGAGGCGTGGCTCGAGAGCCCCTTGGTCAGGTGGCCTGATCGGCATTTGGGGTTGGGCACATCCTCAACCTGCAGGGAAATGGATGTCTTCGGGAACATAACTGCTGGCCAAATCTGGATTCAAATAAATTTAGAGCCCGCTTTCAAGCTATAACATTAATGTTGCAGCAATAAAAGCAAATATACTTACACATTCCATTCCGCAATCAGGGCAAGTTATGGAGAAACAACAATATTTATATCTCAAATATTGAATACCCTGCATAGCAATGTATCTTATAGTAAATAGTTAGCTATTAAATTTAATTGGTATCTGACGAACGAAGAGATAGCGTTTCATATTGAGTCTATAAGGTAAAATCTATACATTTCTTTCTATATTAAAAAATACTACATACAGTATGATGCACGTCTTTATGATCTTTGGATATATCTTTGGCAAAACTGTTTGACAGATCCCAGCAGATGTAAAACGAACCGAAAAGAGATATTCATGACGTCTTTGTTTGGGGGAAATATATAATACTTCTAAGGTACTCGTCAAAATGCGAATAATGACCATAAAACCATAAGCACTTTGCCGAAAAAGATACATTTGAAAAGTTTTTACTAGTGACGACTCTGTGGCTCTGCAGACTGTGACTCAATGCGACAGACTGACTCACTCTCAATCGTGGCAAATGTGATTTCTTTTTAACGAACCGATTGAGCCGTTTGGTGAGGAAAGTTGGCATCCAACCCCCACACAGCATCATCGTTACTCGTCACTCACAACTCGCATGCACACTTGGTCATGCCAGGCCCCATACCAAACACACATGTCATAAAGATATCACCTGGAGAGTAGCAATAAAGAGGTGCTCGGGGCCGCTCTCTGCTCTCCTTTCTCTGCTCTCTGCTTTGGATATTTGGTCAGTGATCGATGGCGTCAGTAGTGATAAGGTTTTGCCATTTGCGACACCCAAGAATATTGCCATTATACGTCAACTGGAAATCGAACTCTCGGACCCAGGTCGGCTCTCTTTGGCTTTTGTTTTGTTTCGATCCGATCCGTTCCCGTTCTTCTGTGTGTCTTATCAGCTTGGGTCCGTCCGTCGTCGGCCATTCATGTCAACGATAATTACGCTGCTTGCTGCCTGCGACAATGTTGTTATTGGTATTATTTTTGGTTGTCCTGGATGTGTCTGTGTCTGATAGTGCGACAGCCAAGCGATTATCAGCCAGGCGGCCTGAGATTGTACCACATGCGACCGACCATTGCCCATTGCCCGTCGCAAAAGATGGTTTGTTGCGGATTCTTGCTCATTTTTGCAAGGCCCCAATTGGCGTCGATCGTACACTGATTAAGTCCCGTGAATCATAGCTTGTGACACTGAACTTGTAAAAGCGATTGCAGTGACCAGAATACACACTCATGGCGGGACGAAATCGTGTATTTAATCATTTGCAATACATTTGTCATATAATATACAAGAATTTTCGCTTTTTAGGGGGGAATTTTACTCTAAGAAGTTATAGAAAACCTTTCAATTAATTTCTTGAGTTAAGTAATCACAAAATGAATGCAGACCTCAAAAGCTTGCATCAGAACTCGCTTTAGATTAGATTTCTCTCAAACAAAAATTTATTTGGGGTACTTTAGAGAGTGGCAAACCAAAGCAAATAGGAAACATTTATTTAAGACAGAGTATGGCTTAACTTATCTGTAAATCGCAAACAGATTAATAATCACATAGCCGCCCTGCATTATCTTTTAATAACACTGATTACTTGTACCATTCATCGTCCGCTCATGTATATTTATAATCGTGTTTTCATATTGGCGAAATTTATTCTTATTTATTTATGAAACTAACAAAATATGTATTGCGTTATTAATTTCAATCTGCTCCAGCTCACAACAAGTGGCCGGAAGCAGCAATATTTATTGCAGAAAAATAACAAAATAATGAAAGAGATTATTTAGATTGTAATTCATAATCTGAAATAAAATTCTTGTATTGCTAAAAGTATCTCTCTGCCAGCATTACAAGTCTTGAGCTTACTATTAAATTAAGTAACATTCCTTGCATATTAATGCAGAAATCTGAATGTTGATAGTATTATTAATAACTATAATATCTGCTCTGGTTAATACGCAAAAGACAAAGCGAATGGGAATCAAAAGCGGGACGGGAAAGGGAACAGGTCTTGGAGCCTCAAATTCCCAGCGTTTGCTGATAAGAAAGCGATTAAAGATCGGAGGGGGAGGGGGATGATATATGTACATACGTAGCAGATCACAGATCGGCGATCCAGGTGCTCCCGGCAATGCACGTCTCGTGTGCGTGATCATTCAACCCGGCAAAGCTGGCCAAGCAATGTGTTTGATTCTCCTGCTCGCGACCTTGGGCGAACCAAATGGACCAGTTGTGTACGAGATGTGGTGGTGCTGCTGCTATCGATGATTGCTTCTATCAGCCCCATGATGATGACGCACGTGTGCACGATTAATCTGGCCGATCCAAAGAGGCAAAACAAGTGCAATACTCCCTTCCAGACTGTTTTCTGTTTGGGTTTTTAGTTCCTTTTATTTGCACTTGAATTGCCTTCAAATGGTGTGTACTGTGTGCATTCGATCACTCGAACTTGTGGACAAACACGTGAGGTTTTTGAGGAGGAGCTGCACTTTGCCTCGGCAGCCTCCAATGTCAATTGCGATCCAGGAACCGGAGAAGCATCTTGGTGTTATTGTGCAATTGTCGCAGAGCAGCGCAGCTTTGGTTTTCAAGTCTCTTGTCAATTTACAGGCACAGTGTTGCTTCCCTAAAGGGAACCTTTGCTTGATGGTAATTTCCCCTTTTAATATTTATATTTCTAATATCTTAAAGAGCTCCAATGAGATTCCTTTCAAATTGCTCTGACTGGACCCTATTGTTAAGACTTTCCTCATCTCTGTTGACAAAATAAGGAAGAAGACAACCAGTTGAACTTATCGGGACTTTGTTGTGGGTATGTTTCCTTCTGGAGAGGTGGGACTGTAGCTGCGCAGTTTTGAAAACATTCGATTCCCACTTCCCTTTTCCGAAACTGAATTGAGGCACAAAAGTCCGTTTGTCGTTGTCGTTGTCGTCAATGTTACAGTTACATTCCGTGCTATTAACGCCAAACCGATGACGACGACGCCGCCGCTGCCTCTGAAGCCTCTGCTCTCAAAACGCGAAACGCTCTGCCGGCAAAACGTTCGGTGTTCTCAGACAGCGTCGCTAGTTTTTTCAGTATTTGAGCGTTCAGCGCTGTGTCTGCTTCACCTTAAATTCGCTCTGCTCGCCGGTTTGCCAGTGCTCCAGACTAAGACCAAACCCAGTCGTAGTCCCGCTGTTGAGTTGCCAGTTTCCATCAGTCATAAGGCAAGAGTACCCAGTTTCCTGCAGGTAATAATAGTCTCCTTGCCATACCATACCATACCTCCGCCTCATACACCACTCGTTATTGGTAACCATAAACCTTATAACAGTCGAACTTCTATAACCCAAAACTAACCTAAACAAGTTTTTATTTGTGTCATAAAGGGAAGTATATATGTACATATAAATAATCGATTTCATAACTCAAACATAAAGATAAAATGCTTTACAAGCTAAAGTACTGTTTTGGTTGCTTTTAAACAATAACATGTGTGATGTGTTTTGATAAGACTTTAGGCTCACAGTTTTAGAGAGGTTTCCCTGCCATATCCTCTATACTTCTGATGATTTTTCCAGGGATTTTTGAAGACTTATAAATACTCCAAAAAGCTTGAGCATCTTTGCTATATCGGTCATTGGTGAAGTGAAAGCGGTGGGTTATCATTATAGAACCTTTCGTTTTTGGAATCTATCCATCACTTTCTCCTTGGCGATTTAAATGTTTAAATATTTAAATAACATTTTCTTACTTGAAAAGAGAATGTTGTTTGCTTTGAAACCAAAAACCAATTACAAATCATACAGTCACAAGAACAATATTAGTTTCGGCAAATCAAAGTTTAAAAAACTCATAACTAAGCCAAAAAACCATTAATTTTAATTCGGAAAGCAGTTTTGTGTTAGTTTCTATTAGATTATCAAATCTGCATACTCAATTTAAAATTAATTTTTTGGCCAAATTTTTGTAAATTTTAACGATGTAACCCCTTATAAAATTTTGAAAAAATCGAGAAATATTTTCTTTCTTTCCGACATGGCTAGGAACATTCGCCTGTTGATTCTGATCAAGAATATATATGATTTATAGGGTCGGAAATGACTCCTTCACTTAATTTCAAGCTTGTGACTAAAAGTATAATACCCTGTAAGTGTATAAAAATAAAGAACTTTGGAGTTGGGGAATGTGCGAGTTCCATATCAGAGTGAGAAATGTCACCTTCTGAAACCTGTATTCACAGTGAGGATATATCTTCTTTGTTTATTGTTAAAACTTTGCTCATTGAAAGCGATAAATGTTGACAATTTTTATGATGAGAAAAAATATAATTTGTTTGTTGTAATTTATCTCCTTTGAAATTTTACTACCATCTCCCATAATTTATATATTTATCTCTAGTGATAAATCTAGCCAGACCTTGACAACAAAATTCATTAACATGCCTTCAGCCCAATCCTGCTAGTTTTATATGCATGGCTCTATCCAGTTGCCCGCTGCTGTTTTGTGGGTTTTTTTGCCTGCCTGGCGACCGTGACCTTGTCGCAGATATGCTCACCGCCTTCTCCGCCCCCTCTCTGAGGTTGTGTGAGCTTGTTGTTGTTGGTTTTTCTGCGATAAGACAGCATTTTTGTACGCATATAGATAGTTTATGGTGCTGGTACTGGAGTTCGAACTGGAACAAACGATGGTAACTTTCCATCGGGGATCCCTGGTGGGTTGGTGACTTTTCTGCGATAACCTTAATCCTATTCAGGAATACCCGGTACTCGACGCATAAATATTCCACACGCTAATTAGCAGTCAAAAATCCATGTGCACGCCATAAATTCGTGTTTTGTTTTCTTTTTCTTTTTTGTTTGTTTTTGCTTTGCCCTGTTCTCCTCCTTTCTCTTTTATTCGCTTTTATTGCAGAGCAGATATTAGCGACAGAGACAGAGCAACAACGGGATTCCATGCGTACCGTTATAATCCAGACCGGATTACCTGGCAACCTGACAACCCTGACGCCGAAGAAGAGCACCACAAAGCAGAGATATCGATATCGATAGAAAGAACGAACACAATCAATCGATCGTCATCAGCTGTTCTTGTCTAGTTTTGTTTCGTTCTCATTTCGTTTCTGTTTTCAGCTCTGTTTTAGTTTATTTTCCGTTTACTCGTCCCGTCTCTTCTCCCTCTTTCGCTCGCCCGCTTGCTCTAGGTTTCTCTATCTATCTCTCTCTCTCTCTTAGAGCGTCGCCCACGCAGCACGCACGTTGTTGTGTTTTAGTCTCACTTTCATTTGTCTCCATTCCTTTATTCCCCGATTCCGTTGTTGTTCGTTTGACCGTCAAGTGCAAAGAAGTCAAATATTAGCCATCCATCCGTCCACTGGTCCGCACACACTCACCCGTGTATCTGTAGCTATATATATTTGTATCTACACTATATACACAGATATAGCCATAATTCCGTAGGTAATATTCTCCGTTATTGTGATCCCAATCCAAAGATCCCCCACTCGCCTTTACACGTGTGCGCATTCTACCGCTCCACCAATTTATGAATAGAAAGACGAAGATTGTTGGAACGCATCTGCCAGCAGCTCCATCTTCATCTTCATCTCCATCTCCACCTGCATCTTCATCTCCATCATCCGCCTCCGCAACTCATTCATCTATACAACCCAAGACAACAGAACATTTATGTAAAAATACTCGACTAATTTCATGTTTCGTCACAACAACTACAACAACGCCACAACAAACAGCAGCAGCAACATCAACTCCAGGAGCAGCTGCTCATCTTCAGCAGCAGCAGCAGCAGCAGCAGCAGCAGCCACAACAGCAAGGAGATCCCTCAGCTGGTAGCAGCAGCAGCAACAATAACAATACTAGCACCAAGAATAAGAATCAAAATCCAAACCAGAAACAGGACGACAATCATAGCAAGGACGACGAGGATAAAGTAGGAACATTGCCATTGCCATTCATACATAGCAAGAAGACGCCCGCCGCCCTCTTCCTATCCCGTCCATCCTCCTCGTACACGGACCTCTGCACCTGCTGCAATAGCAGCAGCAGCAGCAGCAACTCCTCTGCATCCTCCACAACCTCCTCATCCTCATCGGCAGGTGCATCCGCCGTTGCCAGGCAGCTAGCCCGCTCTGTGACCGCCACCAGCATCATGGATATGCCCTACAACACGTCGCCGTCGCTACGCGTGCGCACCACCTCGCTGAATCAATTAAAGAAGACCGCTGATCTGGCCATTGAGAATGAGCTGCATGTCTGCCCCTCGGTAATGTCCGAGGAGCTGCGCAAGCTGCTGCCCCCCACCTCGGAAACGGTGATGACCAAGCCATTTCCCATTCGCGGCGAACGCACCATAGCCGACTGTACAACGCCGCATGTGATTGCCATGGTTGGACTGCCGGCCCGTGGCAAGACCTTCATCTCGAAGAAACTGGCACGTTACCTCAACTGGATTGGGATTGCTACGCGGGTCTTCAACCTGGGCGAGTATAGGCGTCATGCGACCACGGCGTACAAGTCGCACGAGTTCTTCCGGGCCGACAATGAGGAGGCAATGGCCATTCGCAACAGGTGCGCCAATCAGGCGCTCCACGATTCCTGTGAGTGGCTGCTCAGTGGACAGGGAAGCATTGCCGTCTTTGATGCCACCAATTCGACGCGTGATCGTCGCCAGCTGATCCATGACATTGTGGTGAAGCAGCACGGCTTTAGGCTGTTCTTTGTGGAATCCATTTGTGACGATCCAATGATCATTGAGCAGAACATACTGGAGGTGAAGGTCAGTTCGCCGGATTATCTCAATATGAACACGGAGCTGGTGGTGCGTGACTTTTTGCAACGCATCGAGCACTATGAGGAGCGTTACCAGCCCATTGATGAGGTCACCGAGGCTCATCTTAGCTTCATGAAGGTCTACAATGCCGGCAAGAAGGTGGTTGTCTACAACAACGAGGGCCATGTGGAATCCCGTATCGTCTACTACCTGATGAACATCCATATCACGCCGCGCACCATCTACCTGACGCGGCACGGCGAGAGCGAGCATAACCTGAGCGGCCTCATTGGAGGCGACTCGAACCTGAGCGCCCGTGGCCATCAGTATGCCAATGCCCTGTCCACGTTCATTGCCCAGCAGCAGATCGATGGACTGCGCGTTTGGACATCGTGGATGAAGCGAGCCATCCAGACGGTGGCCGATGTGAAGGCACCGCAGGAGCGCTGGAAGGCCCTCAATGAGATCGATGCAGGACATTGTGAGGAGATGACCTATGAGCAGATTAAGGAGCGCTTCCCCGAGGAGTTTAAGGCACGCGATGTCAACAAGTTTGCGTATCGGTATCCGCGTGGCGAGAGCTACGAGGATCTGGTGGCCCGCCTGGAGCCGGTGATCATGGAGCTGGAGCGACAGGGTAATGTGCTGGTCGTATCGCATCAAGCGGTTCTGCGTTGTCTCTTTGCCTACTTCCTGGACAAGTCCGCCGATGAGCTGCCGTATCTGTATGTGCCGCTGCACACGGTCATTAAGCTGACGCCCGTGGCCTACGGCTGCAAGGTGGAGCACATTAAGCTGCCCATCGATGCGGTGGATACGCATCGGCCGAAACCCAAGATACCCGGCGATGTGAGCGAACCGGGTCTGGACGGACTCAGCGGCGAGCTGGTGGCGCCCGATGGCGTCGGCAAGGTGCTCATTGTGGGCGACGATGTGGCGACGGCCACGAATGGCAATGGCGGGCGTGTCGATGCCCAGGCGCATCAATGACGGCGTCGCCGGCCTCCCCAGTACCCGAATCCGAAATCCAAGACACTTTAAGCATGGAACCTACACCACCTCCGATACCACACACACACACACAGATATCCCCCCAAGACTTCAACTTATCCCGATCCATTGCAATCAGACACATTCTTGCAAACCGATTGAAGCGGACCTTGGATATGGAAGCGCTGCTGCTGATGGCAACTCTGATCATGATCCTGATCCTGCTCCTGCTCCTGTGATGTGGTAGGGGCATCACTACTTAACTTTACTTAATATCCAGTCGAGGGCTCTCTCTCTCTCTATCTTTATTTAAGTTTCGGGCTGCGACACAAAATTGTGATTGATCTATTTGAGCTGTTTTATTATGTACTTTTACGAAAACAAAAAGGAAAAACAAAAAACTATACGAAAACGAAAACATTTTTTAACATTTACTAGGAGGACATGTCCAAACTGTATACTTAAATTTACAAAATCATATATTATATACTATATATTGTATGTGTGTTGTTTACACTTGCCAGGAAGCAAGCTATATAGCTTAGTTGGATGTGATGATAATGATGATGATGATGATCAGTTACACTTAATCTTTTACCCCCAAAATATGTACCGTGCACTGTACGAATATATATATATATATATCATGCTATCCACTATACATCTAATGTGTCTTTTTTATCTCTGCATCTCTCGTTGTCTATATATATTTTTATATATATATTTGAATACCAGTTATGCTCTATTTTAGTTTCCAATCGAGATCATAAACTTGCAAATTCCATTTGTCAACTCGGTGTACGCTGTATAACTCAACATGTAGTATATATGTATGAATATCATCTGCCCAATGCACTATATAGTGTATAGTTATAGCCTCTGTCTGTATGTGCAACAAATATTGTAACAAGACATACAAGATACTTATAAAATAATCAATAAATAAAATAAAGAAATGATTTATCAACCATATTGTTTATATACTCTTTTATTTAACTGAAAACATTCATTTACAAAGCATTTGGGCACCAAAATATTTCATTGCTTTTATTTATTGATTTCAAATTGGGAATTAATTACGGTTTGATACATTGTAATAAAAGGTACTTGTTACAAGCATTTAAAGTAATTGATTTCACATAACTCACCCAAAAATGCACTAATTTTAATTCGGAAAGCAGTTTTATGCTAGTTTTTATTATGTTTATAAATCTGCATAATCAATTTAAAATTTTAAGAAATTAAAATTTTTTGTATAAATTTATGAAAATTTTAACGATGTAACCCCTTATAAAATTATGAAAATTTTGAAAAAATTTGATTTTTGACAGACATAGCTAGATCGATTCGCCTGTTAATGCTGATCAAGAATATATATGGTTTATAGGGTCGGAAATGACTCCTTCGCCGATTAAAATTATATTTTCCTCAGCAAGATTCTGAAAATCTTTATTTTAAATATATTATTTTTACATGAATTTTTGAGATTAATCAAAGTTTAAAAACTGCATAACTTAGTCAAAAATGCACTAATTTTAATTCGGAAAGCAGTTTTATGCTAGTTTTTATTATGTTTATAAATCTGCATACTCATTTTAAAATTTTAATAAATTATAATTTTTTGTATAAATTTATGGAAATTTTAACGATGTAACCCCTTATAAAATTAGGAAAATTTTGAAAAAATTTATTTTTCACGGACATAGCTAGATCGATTCGCCTGTTAATGCTGATCAAGAATATATATGGTTTATAGGGTCGGAAATGACTCCTTCGCCGATTAAAATTATATTTTCCTCTGCAAGATTCATTTTATTTTGATATATTTTTTTAAATCGATTTTTTATATGATATTTTTTGGGACAAATCAAAATTTAAAAATAGCATAACTTAGTTAAAAATGCATTAATTTTAATTCGGAACTAATTTCAGCGTTAGTTTTTTGAACGTTAATAAATCTGCATTCTTAAGGTAATATTTAAAGAAAATCAACATTTTGTTCGATTTTTTTTTAAACTTTAACGATGAAACCCCTTATAAATTTTTGAAAAATTTTGTAAAATATTTTGTTTTGCCAGATATGGCTAGATCGACTCGGCTGTTGATTCTGATTAAGAATATATATGATTTATAGGTTCCGAAAGTATAATACCTTGTAAGGGTATAAAAGTACTATAAATAAAAATAATTTTTGGGCCTTGTTATGTATTTTATTGTATTATTCCGCAGTCAAAATTAAATTGTTATGAATTTTGTATAGTAAATTCTAGCGTAATTTCCTTTATTTCTTGATTATGGCTGCCCAAAATTCAAAGGCGTCATTTGTCAATAAATCGATCCAAATTTTTAGTGCACGGCGCTTCTAATATGGGCGGCAGGCGGTCTGAATTTAAAATGTGGTCAAGCGGTCGGTTAACTCGGGTTAAACCGCTCGTCCCGCACACTGTCCTAGTTTATCGAATGGTATTTGAATCCAGGGCTTATTCCTCTTTCCAATTTCACCTTTCAGCTGCCACAAAGTGGCGTTTATGCCCGCTAAGAGGAGGAGCAGCAGCAGCTGCAGGAGCAAACCGGAGCAATAGGATCCATTTGTCACATCCAGGAGGCGACACAGAACTCCACAAATCGGAACAATGCCGCGCTTTCGCAACGAGGAGCCGGAGCAGTCGCATTACGTGGATGGCGACGTTGTTTGGGTGAAGATTCACAACACAGAGATCTGGTGGCCAGGCGAGGTGACCTCCTCGCAGGACTTTCGCTTCGTTAATGCCAGTCGGCCGCCGTTTGCCGTTGTGGCATTCTTCAACGAAAAAACCTTGTAAGTTGCGAGATTTTTCACTCTATATTTGTAATTAAATATATTATATATATCCACAGCGAGCAAGTCAAATCAGCCAAACTGATTTATCCCTTTCAATGCGCTCACAAGGATGAGTTCATTAGACTGGGCACCAGTAAGTATAGTAAGTTGGAATCATTTATTATTCATCATTTTAAGTCGGTTAATATTTTGTATACATAAATATTCTTCAGTAAAAGATTATATGTTGTGCTTGAATCACATTTCTCGCAAGATCTTTAAAAGTTTTTGTACTCACTTTGCAGAAAAGTCCGATGGACATAACATGGGCGACAAGTTTAATGAGGATGTGGCCATCGCCGAGGCACGATTCCTGGGGACATCACACCAGGTATCCAGCCTGCATGCCTCATCGTCGTCCTCCTCCCGACCAGACAGCCTTATCAAGGCCCTCCTGTCGAGCAGCACCAGCAGCAGCCTGCGCAACAGCAGCACACGCAGCTCCAGCGGAGTTCCCTCGCCGGCAGCCAATCGAGTAAGTATAGGAGCTAGCTCTGTCCTGAGGTTCCAAGCTAATTTTATGGGTTTGTTTGTGCTTCCAGCAGCCGGAGCCCACGTTTCGCATCATGGACATTGGGAGCAGCAATGAGCCCAGACGCGAGCGACGCGTCGATGGCAGCTACGATTGCCACATGTGCAATTTCCGCACCACCAGCATGGACGTACTGCTCATCCACCGGCGCGGCCACATGGAGTCCAGCAGCAGTTACAGCAGCAACAGCACCACCAACAGTTCCAGCAGCATCAGAAAGCGGGCGACACGTCGGGCCAACACCACGAACGCGTTCGATATGCGTCATCTTTCGGAGCGTCGGAGCCGCGACAGCACTCACTTCCTGCCCAACTCGGTGCGCTGCCATTCGCGCCATGTCTCCATTGTGGTAGACGCCTCGCTGACGGACGAGGAGCAGCAGCGTGTGGCCAATATTGCCCAGCAGACGATGAAGAGCATTGAGCGAGTTGTTCATCCCAGCAGCGCCAGTTCCTCTGCCTCAACCAAGAGCAAAAGTCGTCGCCGTAGCATTCGTAATAGCTCATCCTCACAGCATCAGCAGCAGCAGCAGCCAGTGCCGGTGCCGGTGCCGGTGACGCCTGTTGTCGAGACTCCGCGTCGCAGCACTCAGAATCCGCGAGATCCGCGCAGCCAGCGTTCCAACCAGCTGCGAGCCACAATGCCCGCCCCTCAACCTCCGCCGCCGCCAGCTAAGCCGCGTCGTCTAACGCGCTCCATGAGCCGCCTTCAGCAGGGCATGACAACGCCGGAACTACCGCCACCGTTGGTGCTGGCAACGCCAAAGCGTAGTGCCGGCCGACGGCGGACTCTTGCTATCACCGGTGCGGCTAGTGAGACGCCAATGACTGTGCCCAGGCGAAGCAATCCCATGCGAAAGACCCTAACGGCAGTTCCCGAGACACCGGTGAGCACAGGTCGTCGCAAGCGCACGCTACCGAAGAACAGTGAGCCAAAGACGCCACCGATAACACCAACACTGTCGCCTTCATCGACACCGCCGCCCATTGGATTTACTCCAGCAACTGCCCCCGCACATTTGGATGCAGAGGATGATGAAGCGGCTGCCACGACAATGCCTGAGGAGCCACCGGCCCCCAAGAAACCACGACCAGAAGTTACACCGACATCGACAGTAATTTACCCGCAGCAACAGCAACAGCAGCAGCAGCAGCAGCCGCAGCCGCAGCAAAACAACTTTGCTGGCTCCCTGGAACTACAGCGCAGTCTGATGGCCGAGTGGTGCGACGACGAGATGGACGATGTTCTGGGGGAAGACGAGCCCGCCGAGCATTCGACGCCGAATGGCAGGAAGTCAGCAGCAATGGAAGGTGAGCAGGAACCAAAGCAGCCGCAAGATGTGAAGGACGATGAACCGATGCTGGCTGAGCGCACGCCGGCCAAGAAGCGCATACGCAACATACCAAAGAAGGATCGACGCGACGTGGTGCGACAGGAGTTTGACGTGGAGCCAGACGAGCCCATTGTCATTCCGGACAGCGATGCCAGCTCCAACGAGAGCGTGGTCTTTTTGGACGATGAGCCGAGGCAGCGCCGCAAGAGGCATGCAACTACGCATCATAGTTCCAATGGAAGCGAAAAGAGCAAGTCCACATCCACATCCACGCCCAAGGCGGTCAACAACTCTTCTTGCTTTGACTTCGAGGAGGAGGACGATCTACAGCAGCAGCAGCAGAACGAAGGCCAGAACGGACTGAGCTACCGGCGTCGTACGCAGACCAATCGCTTGGACATCAATGGCAAGGGTAACTCGGAGGTGGAGTCGATGGATGCAGGACCAGAAGCAGAAGCCGGTGAAGCGGATGAGATACCCGCCGAGCCCCTGGCAACTGCCCCAGATGATCTCTTTATGGGCTTTGATGAAGTCCAGCAGAGCTTAGATGAAGCTGAGATTGCGCAACAAGAGGAGCAGTCAGAGCCCGTAAATCCCCAGCCCGAGGAGCCCGAGACCGTAGCCGAAGAGCAGGCAGAGCCAGAGGCTGAAGAAGCCTTGCCCAAGCCGGAAACAGAAGCAGAGGCAGAAGCCGAGATTGAGGGAGAGGTTGAGGGAGAACCCGGTGATCACCTAAGCCTGCCCATCAAGGAGCGGCAGAAGCGTATCTTCAAGTCGCGCAACAAGTCAACAGTGGCAGCGCCGAAAGAAGAAGACCCAGTTGCATTGGTGGCCGTTCAGGAGGAGATCCAGCAGCCACCGGCCAACGGCAATGGATCTGCTGAACAGCCAGAGCTCTGCAATGGCAAGGACGAGGCCTTGACTGAGAGTAACAGCATTGCGAATAGCAGCGAGAGCGGCCCAACCAAGAGATGCGGCAAACGCCGCCACAAAACCAAGACTGAATCATGTAAACGGCGTCACCACCGATGCTCGAAGGCCAAGGCAAAGCGCCAGCAGAACCGCTTGCCAACTCCAGTGCCCGTGCCCGAGGAGCTGAGCAACAACAGCAGCAGCACCACCACTAGCAGCAGCAGTAACAACAGCAACAACAGCAGCAACAGCACCAGCAGTAGCAACAGCAACAGCAACAGCAACAGCAGCAACAACAACAGCAACAGCAACAGCAACCACCTCAGCAACCGGCCCAGCTCAAGTCCAGGAGCACACGGCAGTGGCATACTCTCGCCGGTGCTCAGCTCCAGCAACAGCTGCTCCATTGCCTCAAACATTGCTGTGATCTCGCCAGAGGAGGCGCGCGAGCTGCAGCGCTCCGCGTCGGGTGCCGGTCTGATTCATGCGGCCATTGTGGACGCCACGCAACCGGTGCAGCGCGGTGGTGTGCTCATTCTGGAGGATATACGTCTGCCCAATCTGTACGAGCCATTTGGTAGTATGTCCTCATCGTCGGGCAGCAACGATAGTCGACGTCCGGTCCATGAGGGGGAGGTAGAAGATGATGAGCATTCGCAGGACTCGAAGGCTTCAGAGGAACAGGCTGTGGTGGACAAGCTGGATCGGAATGACTATGACGCGGAGGAGAATCGTGATGCCGAGTCCTTGCTCAATGACAGCAGAATGACCGACGAAGTCACCCAATCACCGGATGAGTCCAGTCTCGCCCATGCGCCTGAGGTCATGCATTTCGTGTCGCAGCCGCGCGAGGTGCTGCTGAAGAAGCGGGAACAAGAGCTGCTGCGCCAGTACAAGGCCGATCTCGTCAGTGGGCGGAGTGCTGAGAAGTGCCGCAAGGCACGCGAGCGCTGGTCCCGCACGATGCGCTCCACCGAAGAGAAGGAGCCACCGGATAATGCGCTGCAGCAGGAAGCAGATGTGGACGCAATTTTAGAAGCTCCATTGCAGGGCCACGAGGAGGTGGAGCAGGTGGAGGATCAATACGCTCAGGGGCAGTGTAACGAGGAGGAAATACTTGAACACCAGCAGGCGGAAGCAACGATAGGTGACGAGTCGCAGGATTCCCTGGACGCTGACCTGGCCGCCATAGAGCTTGTGCTGCCGTCCAATCTCTATAATCGTGGATCTCGTCGTGCCGTTAGTCATCCCCATGCCAACCTGGCCGCAGTCAGTGGCAGAAAGGCCTCCGGACACCTAGGCGGCGCCCAGGCGCTGTGCGATGCGGATGTGGCCAAAGCCCACCAGCAGTTGGTGGATCTTCGGGAGCAACAGCGTCGTCGATATTCACCAACCGAGCCAACGGTTCCAGCCGCCCCTGCCACGCCGCCGGAGCCACGCAGACAGCGTAGGAGGTCGCGTAACCCTAGCAATGAGATGGTGGAGTGCACTTTCCGCTTCGACGTGGCCGATGAGGCGTCGTGCGAGACCAAGGAGGTGCAGGAGAGCCTGGTTCGTACCTAGAATAATCGATTGGATCCTGTCACGCAACTAATAATCATTCTTTCTCTGTCTTTCTAGACGCCGCAGTTGTGTGCCGGCCGCATATGCGCAGTGATGACCCGACCAATACCCGGCTATAATCACACCTTCATGCTCTGCTCCCTGGCCAATAATAACTTTACGCCGCTGAACAATGTGGCCCTGTACCTGGACAGCGAGAAGAATCATCTGGTGCCAGTTCCGCGGGAAGCCCTACTGGAGCCCCCTCGCCTTGCTGACGGCCATCCGCTGTCGGCTGTATTTGCGGACATCGACATCCTGGGCGATGAGGCAGTGGCCCAGGCCATGGAGCCGGTCGAGCAGGAGGCGGACACAGAGCCAGACCTACTTCAGGTTCAAAATCACAGTCAAAATCAAAACCAAAGCCAGGATGAAGTCGAGCGTATGTCCACGGTTCAAATCCTGCTGAGCGATTCGGAGAACGGCGAAGCCGGCGGTGGCGGCGAACGGGACGAAGATGAGCCGGTGGAAACGCTTGGCATAATGACACCGCTTAGCCAGGTGGCCGAGGGCGGTGCCCTGGCTGGCAGCAGCTACGTCAACGAAGATGGACAGCTTTCCCTGCACGACGACCAAGTGGAATCAAATGTCCTGCAGCTAAACGTCAACGGGCATCGCCTGGAGCTGGACCCCTCGATGCTCTTTAGCATTGCCGAGCAGCCCGATTCGTGCATTGAGCTGAGTGTTGCCGAGACGAGTCCCACCACCGGTGTTTGCGGAGTGGGCAGCACCACAGCGGTACTGCATGCACGCGATATCCTGCAGGCAGCCCAGGTCTATCTACAGGAGCGGGATCTGCAGCTGGTTAATGTGGAGGACATGACGCTGGACGGTGAGGAGGCCATGGCTGTGCCCGTCACTGACCTGCTCTCGCAGGCCCTGGCCGGCAGCCAGGTGGTGGACGACGCTGATTTTGTGGACGCTGCCAATGCTGGCGTTGGCATGCTCCATATTGATACACGCACCGCTGGCGGCGTTGGCGTTGGAGTTGGCGTCGGTGGAGACAGCAGTAGCGGCGTCGTCGAGCCGGGCGTCAGTGTGGTGTACATCTCGCATGCTCTGCCGCCGCCGGCCGCCCATCTCACGCCACCGATAACGGCGCGCACCAACGAGACGAACGCCCTGCTCGATCAGACGCCCATCATGTCGACGCTGGAGAACCCGAGCGGCGGCATGCAGCTGCGTCGCGTCTCGCCGCTGGCCGAGGGCAATCTGGAGGACAGCCTGGCCGTGATCGGCGTGACGAACGGCAGCGGTGTGCCCACCTCACTGGAACTGCCCATAACCGTTACCAATCCGGCCATTGCACCGCGCGTAACAGCTCCAACGCCCATGGTGGACATGGTGCAGTTTGCACCCTTCCAGTAATTGAAGCAGCGGGGAGGACCATTAATGGTCAAACGTATTTCATTTCTTTTTTTTTTAGTCTCTTAGTCTTATTGAGAATGCAGCGAATGCATTTTAGAATTATGTTCTTTTCGTTTTTGGAGCGTTAGTTGAATTGACCCGAAACGATGACAGCCGATGATGACATTGCGATGCAATACACAAGCCTGCGCACAGCAGGTGCTTACATGTTAGTTCACTAGCTCCTAAGTTAGAGATTCCTACACGCGCCCAGAGATGCCCTACATTGCAAATGGAGGCGTCGGCGAGCAAACCACAGTAGCACTTACATATATAAGCTTGTAATTTACTAACATACAAAACAACAAAGGATCAGAGGCAGCGACCAGCTGCATCAGAAACCATTAAGGATCAGAAACGAACAGATTTAGAATAGGCACCAAAGCAAACACTTAACACAAAGCGAAACACAAGAGCAAGGAGCATACAGAGCTGGTGAAGAGGGACTTACACACACACACACACACACACACACGTTTGTATTTAGGCTACTCTTTCTGCCTTTACAACAACCATAATAATAATGTTTTGCTGTGTAAATTCCTGGTCACCTCTGTATATAGGAACCTAGGAACACTCTACTCTAATGCGTAGTGTAATGTACCAAGGCGTGTGTACGAGGTGAAGTCAGTGTCTAAGCTAAATTAAATGTATGTGTAAGGGCAGCCCACGTTGGTGCGGATCGAGATGCTCGAGTTGGGCATCGATTTCAATAAAGGCAACAGAATGCTACAGAAATAATAACAATAATATTGATGGTTTAATTATTTACTCTGGGTAAAGTGTGAGCTAGATAATCATTGTATTTGCATTATAAAATGTTAAAAAGTAAATACAATTTGGATATTTAGTTTGGTTTCCTTTATTGAGTTTTAACAATTGCATGATGCATTCGCATTACATTCCGCTAAATTATCAATAACAATTGCTTTTAATTTCATAGCTTTTGTGTGTATTTCCTCTCTTGGTTTGAATAAGTTTCACTTGCGTGTTTTGTTGTTCTTCTATCATAAAATTATTGTAACCGTTTACACTCAACTTGCAACTAGTCGGTCTGTCTGTCTCTCTGTCCACACGTTGACTTGCTTTGCTTGCCTTTTTGCATTTTCTTCTTGTTCTTACTTTGGGGATTGGCTTAATTCAAATTAATATTCAATAAATAATTACAATTACCTTGCGGCATATAGGATTCATATAAACAATAATAGCTCAGGGTTCTGGTTTTTGGATGGCGACAAAAAATACTTTACTAACAGCAAGTAAAATTGGCAAAAAACTAACGAATTTTAACACTTGCAATAATTTTGGCCTAAGCAAATTAAATAATATACATAAGTATTCGAACATAAAAATACTTTGGGTAGCTCTTTTCTGTTTTCACTTTGTTTATAACATTTGTTTTGGGGTTTGACTCTTGGGTCTGGTTGGGAGAATTTGAAAAGGGTTTAACGCTGGAAACTGGCGGCAAGGTGTGTTGTGAGTGTGGCTATTGCTGCTACATATTGGTTTTTGGTTTCGAAGGGCGAGTGCTTAGTTGCTGTTGTTCATGCTGCATCCTCGTATTGAGGACTCTCTCCTCTGGTTCTGGTTCTGCTTCTGCTTTTGCTACGCTCCAATCTGATGTTCATTCCGGGTTCGCTTCGGTTGTTGTTGTTGTTGTTGACGAGATGATACTGGCTACAGTTTTTGAGGGGCGGGTTGTCCGCGCAGCCGTCTACAGCTTGGCGCAGATCTCGTTTGTGAACTCGGAGCACTTGGCACGGCCACCCAGATCGCCGGTGAGATACTTGCTCTCCTTAATTGTTTCGAACGCAGCCCGCTCGATCTTGTCCGCATACTGGTTAAGCTCCATGTGACGCAACATCATCACCGCCGACAGCAGCAGGGCAGTGGGATTGGCCAGATCCTTGCCGGCAATATCGGGGGCAGTGCCGTGCACAGACTCGAACAGAGCGCCGTTGAGACCCATGTTGCCAGAGGGCGTCAGTCCAAGACCGCCGACCAAACCGGCGCACATATCAGACAGAATATCACCATACAGATTGGGCATCACCTGGTGGAAGAAAAACAAAAGAAAATTGCAGTGGGCAGTGGATAAAAGACAACCGATGGCGTTACTTACCAGCACGTCGTATTTGCCGGGGTTCTGCACCATGTTCAGGCACACCGTGTCCAGGTAACGCTCCTCGAACTGGATTTCCGGGAACTTCTGGGCCATGTCGCGCACACAGCGCAGGAACAGACCGTCAGACATGCGCCTAGACATCAAGGCGGAACAGAATGGATGAGCACATGACTGAGATGGGTTCATTTTACACTTACATAATGTTTGCCTTGTGCACAACGGTCACCTTCTTGCGATTGTTGTTCTTCGCATACTGGAAGGCGTACTCGGCCACACGCTTGGAGGCCTCCTCGGTGATCAGCTTGATACTCTGGACAACGCCATCGACGATCTCGTGCTCAATGCCCGAGTACTCGCCCTCGGTGTTCTCGCGGATGGTGACCACGTCGACGTTGTCGTACAGCGTCTTGTAGCCCTCGAGGCTGCGGCAGGGGCGCACATTGGCATACAGATTGAACTCCTTGCGCAGGGCCAGGTTCAGAGAGCGATGGCCCTTGCCCACGGGCGTCATCAGTGGTCCCTTCAGGCCGATCTTGTTCGTGTTAACCGAATCGATGGCGGCCTGTGGAATGCCGAACTTTCCATCGGCGCCCTATTCATCGGATAAATGTTATTAATAATTTAATCTACGAATTAATTAATTAACAATTGGGAAACCCCTGCAGATTCTATGTAGTTTTGCCTCTTCTTTCCTTGGTTGTAGAATAATGGTTCATTTAATATTCATATAATTGAGGCTACAATTTTGCGGAAGTACTAAGGGAACTCGAGTCCACGTATCTTTTAACCATATTCATTATCAGTATCTGAGTTAGGGGGCTTAGTTTCTGCGTGATTTATTTCAAGATATGAGTATACTTAAATATTCCATTCCCCAAAGGAAACTTTAAGGAAAAACATATTAATATTCATCTCTTTGAAGAAATCAATTTATTACCTACCAAATATGACCTTAATCAACATACATAAATAAAATAAGCTAAGAGTTCAAGGTAATATAAATACAAAATCAAAGCTTCTTAGTATTTAAATTTTCCGCTCAACCGACGGCGTTGCCACCGGTTGCCATAATCAATGCAAACAAAGCGCGCTCAGTTTAAAAGATAGTTTTAAATTCCCAACTGAATTCCTGGTTATCATTGCACTAGAATTGAAGGTATCTCCCGGCTAAGCTTACTTACACGAACTGGGGTCACATCGACGGCCTCCCACTCAATGGGCACATTGGCGGCAGTAAAGATCTTCTGCACAGCAGCGGAGATCTCGGGTCCGATGCCATCGCCGGGAATCAGCGTGACCTTCTTGGCTCCGGACGAGTAGGCCCGGCTGGCCGCGGGAGTTGTGTTGACCTGCAAGCAGCGGATGTCAAATGTTGGAACCTTAATGGAGTAGCAGTGGGATGCAGTGGGACTAGGGGTTCGGACAACAAGAACAACAACAACCCACCAGGCAGAGGAGCCTTTCTAGATGGGATTACATAAGTGTCGTGTGCACAACAACAGTCGCAACAGCGACTGCTGCTGCTGCTGCAGCCCCGAGCATCTGTCGCCGCCGCCGCCGTTGCCTGCTTGCCAATAGTTGAGGTTAGAGCGCAGCTGGTCAATCCGGCTCTAATTGCAGGGGCGCTGATAAGGCCAGTTTCGAGTGGCCGCCAAAGAAATCTGATCTTCGTAAGTGGCTAACCTCTCACGGAGGGGGTTGGAGCTCGAGGGGAGCTGCTCCTACTGGGACACCCCACGCGTCAGCGGTTATCGTTATCGGGCACGCAACGAGAGAACGAGCGAGAGAGATAGGTGGCGAGAGAGCGAGCAGCAACAGCAGCAGCAGTGTTATGTAAAGGCGCCTTGCTCTTTTCGCCGTTTTCTCAGGACGGACAGCTGGAGGAGGGCTGCTGCTCCTCTTCCTCCTGTTAGCCCCCCATTTTTTTGTTGCTGGATAAATCCAAGAACGAACCTGGGCTTTGAGCGCCGACGTTGCCGTCGCCGCTGACGTCGCATCACGCGCAGCAGTCAGACCCAATTGATTAAGCTGCAAGTGTTTTGCGTAATGTGTGTGTTGTTGTCGTTGGTTCGGTGGAATTGTTGGTTCAGTTGGAGGTTCGTTGTTGGTTGTGGGTTGGAGCAGGTGAAAGGAAGCAAGGAGCGAACGAGAAACAAAATCGCAATGTTAGTTCTGCTGCTTCGACACTATTATTTTTAGCCAGGCGGCTACAGCACGTAATCAACTGCTGCTGCTGCTGTCCTGTGGGAACGCGAACGACGGGATTGCGTGGGTGAACAGGACGGGAAAGGCCGGGCTGATGGGGGGTTGCGATGCGCTTATATCTAAACGGGGGCTCTTACAATTTTCTGTATAAATCTAGCGGCCATTGCGTTGCTCGGGATTTGCACTTGCTCTTAGGCTTTTCGTATAGAAAAAAGTCGCTCGCACGTCTGTCGGTTTAGTCTGCGCCCGCCGTAGTCGCCACCTTGCGGAAATCTGGCGAATCTGCAATTGGCCGATAGGCGGTGGCAGAGCTGTTTTCGCGGTTATCGGGCTGCCACCGGGCAAGCATCCTCTCTAGAAACTGAGCCAAGAGGGTGCAAAAAGGTCGAAACTCATAAAATTCCTGCTCTAGTAAATAATAAAATAATAAACTGTCGTTTGGTCCCATACTTGTTGGCCAATGTTCGAAATTTCCGTGCGAACTTGGTCGATGTGGCAAGGCTGGACCAACAAAACCCAGTTCTAAACTGGTAGCTATCGATATTTGACGCGTTGCCAAATCGAAAATTGATACTAATAACATTTCGCACAGCATGTTTCAGCCGGGAATTTATTTCAACCCTCTCTAACCGTTTCAGCTTCCGTGTGAATGCTAGCGGCATCACGACCCCTGTCAATCGATGTATCGAAACGGACTAATCGATAGGCAGAGTGTATCCCTTGCAACCGTGGCTTCTACAGCCACAGTTTAAATTAATTTTGAGCATTGGAGATTTTCCGTAGTAGGTGCTGTAGAAAGTGTAGATTGCTTGCATTTAATTGGCGAATCGAAGTGTTTTTAATCGCGAATTGCGCGCCTGCAGGCCCAAGTTAGGACGCCAAGGCCGACGCTAGGCGCACACGGGAAAATCGGATCAAGTGAGAGACAAAGCTACGCTACGGTTGTTCGCGACGAAGTGCACTGTGCACGGAACGACCAGAGAATCATCGTATGCGAGCGAGTTTTTTTTCGCGTTTCGGTTACCTGCGCGCAGCAACCCCGTCGCTTCTCTAGAGCCGTGCGTTGCGTCCTGTGCCTTCGATTCGGCCGCATTATCCAACCGTGCCGTTGCTGGTCCAGAGTCCGGCGTCTGGTGTACGCATAACTACGTAAGCGAGGGCGAAAGCGGCGCCCGTCCTTCTGAGTGGCATCCCAAGGCGCGTTTTCGGCTCCGCTCTTGGAGCGCCTTGCGACCAGTTGGCCAGAGTGCCAGGTAAGCGTTTCGGTCACAACTCCTCGCATCCTCTCTGCTCCGAGTCGGGAATCGGTCGAGTTGCTCGGTTTGCTTGATTCCAGTGCATCCCAATCCAATCTCAGCTGGCTTGGCCATCGAGCACTCACGCACACTCGTCCGAACCCGCACCAATACGCGTGCACTGTGCACGGGCACAGGCGCACACACACCGCGTTCGCTCACACATACAGTCGCACACGCACGAATGTATCTGTTTGACAGCGCACTGCTGCGGTCGTAGCGGCCAGAGTGCGACTCGCTGGCCGCACACTCTCGACGAACGCGCTGCGGGCGAGTTGAAGAGTTTCTATTTGTCGTATTTTTCATCTGGAACATGTACATATGTGCATGTAATCCGTGGAACTGGCTGCTAACGCGCTCCCCGTGCTATTGTCTTTACAGTTCAGCAGTGCAGCGGTGCTGATCCTTGGATCTTTTGTTCGTGACGGCCCCACGCGCCCAAGCTAGCACGCTGGAGAAGCAAAACAAGCGCGCCCAGCTCATCCGGGACAAGATGGTGCTGGCCGAGCGTAACACTACGGATGTGGTGCGCAACGGCCGCCGTTCCCGCGGTCCCAGTCCCAATACGCACACCACTGGCAGCGGCGGTGGCGGCGTCCCTAACAGTGGCAGCCTTGCCGGCAGCGGTGGTGGAGCGGGCGGCGGCGGTGGCAACTCTGCGAACGCCTCCTCCAACGACAAAGCAGCCACAGCCGTACCGGGTGCGGGCACGCCGGAAAGCTCCGACGACGACAACTGTAAGTGGGCACCTAAACCAGCAAGCCTTGGCCCATCCCAACTTACGATTCTTTCTTTCTCTCTCCATCAACAGCAACAAAGCGGAACGGTAAGACCAAAGCCAAGCAGTCGGAGTACGAAGGTGAGTGCCACTTTGGCCTGCTACCCGAAAAACCAAATCTAATAACTCCTCAAACGAATCTCCACAGAGAAAATCCGCGTGGGACGTGACTATCAGGCAGTGTGTCCGCCGCTCGTTCCGGAAGTGGAGCGTCGGCCCGAGCAGATGAATGAACGCGCACTCCTGGTCTGGTCACCCACCAAGGAGATACCGGATCTCAAGCGTAAGATTCTGGATTTTCCCTATACCAGATCCCTCAAATACTAACGCCTCGCTTGCCTTTCTTTGCAGTGGAGGAGTACATTTCGGTGGCTAAGGAGAAGTACGGCTACAACGGTGAACAGGCCTTGGGCATGCTCTTCTGGCACAAGCATGATCTTGAGCGAGCCGTAATGGACCTGGCCAATTTCACGCCCTTCCCCGATGAATGGACCATCGAGGACAAGGTGCTGTTCGAGCAGGCCTTCCAGTTTCACGGGAAGAGTTTCCACCGCATCCGCCAGATGGTGAGTGAACGAGAGCACGCCGGTTCAACTCTTTCGGGCTAACAATAGTTTATCAACAGCTGCCAGACAAATCCATTGCCAGTTTGGTCAAGTATTACTATTCGTGGAAGAAGACGCGCCATCGCAGCAGCGCCATGGATCGGCAGGAGAAGGCCATTAAGGCGGCAGTCAAGGAGGGCTCCGAGAATGGCAGCGAGGTGGGCAGCAATGAGGAGTCCGATACCGACGACAAGGTAATTATCAGTTAGAACTAGCTAAGCGAACAGCCAACGAGATCGATCCCTTCCCCGCTCCCACATACATAACGTATGTACATAAAAAACAAAAACACTCGCACATCCACTCACACACACTCACTCACACTCACACACTCACACTCACTGCATTCATTCATACACACTCGAAAGCCACACAAACACTAGACCGAACCAAGATGAAGATGGCTCCACTCCGCCTCTCCTCATTAGGGCCTCTTGTGCCACCTTGTTCGTGATGAATCTAATTGAATATTAACGTACATAATTGTTGAGCTCTAGTTCGTTAAGGCAGGCTAGTCTAGGATAGCACGGCTAAAAGTCTAGGCTAAAACCACTAATAATTGTTTTAAATATCTGGCCAAGAAGTGTCACAAGATTGTCCAAATCGTAACTGAAACCATATCCGTATCCCAAAGAGCCCAGAATGTGTATAGCCAACCCTCCAAGGAGAAGAAAACTTTTCGAGTGTATCCAGGCGCGAGTTAAATTTTGAGATTGTCCACACCCCAAACCCAAGCAGAGAGAAAGAGACTTTGTCGGAACAGTAATCTTGGACTGTAGTTCCTCCCGGGAGAGATCCTCGTCATGCTAGCGAATTTCACACACAGTCTCTCTGGTTCGTTATTCTTTCAGATAATCGCCGTGCCTGCATACATCTCATAAAGTTTCTATCGAAAACCAATGCCAAAAAAACATGAAACAAGAACTTGAACTAAACACACAAAATAATACTGACATTACACACACAACACACACACACATATACACAAAGAGAGAGATAGATTGCACAACAGAGATTTATGTAAACTTCGTTGACTTCGTTGATTCGATGGATTTGTCGCCTGAGAAGAAGCTCAACTCACTAGACTAAGGCAAAGCAACGACAAAACCGATTAGTTCTTTGTTTATATACATAATTTACACCTATATAAATAGTATATACGATTTTAAAACCCCCCAATTTTTTTTACGTAATATATAAATATGTAGATTGGTAACTTATGATACGTAACAATAGTAATTTATGCAAAAAACAAAGAGAGATTGATTTAAGTATTAAAGCGAACAAGGCTTACACCTAAAACCTAAACTATGTAGAATTATACATATTTGATATATTTGTATGAGCGAAGAGAGCGAAGCGCACCACAGGCGATAGACGATAGACGATAATAATGATGGATCCACCACAACCTAATGCTAATCCTTATATATTCATATCTTGTTTGCGAAAAGATTAAACGAAAAACCAACAATTTGTATGTGTTTCTTATTCATAGACATTCGTATTCGTGTTTGTATTTGTATTTGTTTTGCTTTTTTTTTCTCTCGATGTTTTCCCCGACACAAGCACACAAAAACACACTTACACAGATCACTGAATATATACATAAATATATGCATCTCAATGCCACTGCCTCTCACCTCCATATAACCCATCCAGCCCCACATTTCACCCAATTTCCCCCCAGTTGTTTCCTTTTACTTCCTTTCTCCGCTTGTTGCTGCCCCTCTTTAACTTGAAATGATCCGAGATCTCTGATCCCATGGATCCCTTGAACATGTAATATCCTATTTTAAGTACAAAACAAAAAATGAAACAAACCCAACCACTCGTCCCTCCATACTAACCGTCGCAATCCCCATTCCCCGAGAGACAAGGAGATATAGTAGAGAGATAGAGGGGAGCTCCTTGAGCTCCTCCAGATGGCATTATGGGTTGGCTCGGGCTCGGGATCGGGATTTGGATTGGTTGGGCTTCGGCTTTTAGGAGGAAGTGTGTTCGGGCGTTGAGAGAGAGAGAAAAATAGATGAGGAGAGAGCGGAGAGAGCGTGGCAGGAGCGTTAAATAACGTACATCATCGTCTCCCAAGTCTGTTGGCCAGGACGCCAAGCAACTTCAAGAAACCCAAAATAAAAATACAAATAAAAACCAAATACAATCTTCTACTTGTTAAGTGTTACCAACTGAACTAAAGCAACCAACAAATACGTTTTTTCTCTTCTCTTTGCATTTTACTGTCCAAAATCCAACACTAAAAATACACAAAAATAAAATAATCCGACTCGAAAACGAAACCTAATTAAAATCCGAACAAAATGCCAAACCAAAACCGAAACCAATCCGATCGAAACGATCAAATATATATAAAATCCACGTGCAATCTAAATCCAAATTCGATTCCAAATTCGAATACGGTCGCGGCTGCTTTTTCGAATCCTTCTTTGCCTGGCAGAAGGGACAATGCAGTAATGGCGACACTGTTGCGGCCGGAAACAACATCACTTCCGCCGGTGGAAGCATTACCACAACACCAACAGCAGCCAATAACAACACCAGCAACATTGCCAACAACAATAATAACACCAATACCAACTCCAATGCCAGCAATAGTGGAGAGAACGTCAACAACCATGGAGGAGGCGGCGGCGGCAGTAGCAACAACACCAGCTCCAGTGACCTGGACACCGATCAGCTGGGCATCCTATATGCCGCCCATGCCCATGGCGACGAGGTGCTCGGCTTTGGCCCAGCTGTCACTGAGGGGGCAACCAATGGCGGCAACAACGATGGGAGCACAGGGAATAGCAACGATCGAGTCGTTGTTGGCGGTTTTTGCAAGACATGCCATGTGGTATGCCACATTCTGTTCGATTCCCCGCTGGGGCGCATGTGCAAAAGTTGTCACACGCACTGGAGGTAGATATCACTTAGCCATAGCCGAAGGCCGAAACTTGTTGTTCCACCAAGCTAATGCCAAGTTTTCTATCTCTTCTCCTTATCTCTCTCTCTGTTTACTCCTCCCGCTCCCGCTCCCGACTCCCGAATCCAATCCCTTTTTGACCCTCGTTACCTCCTAACATCCACATCGTCCGCATGTGAATCAGGCGCACGGGCAACCGTCGACCCATTTCCGGGCCGGAGAGCAATGCCCCTAGACGATCCACTCACAACAGCGCCGCTGCAGCTGATCGCTCCAAGCGCAAGCCGCCCAAGGGCATGTACATCAACCACGACGATCTCACAGCCCTGGCGAGCTGCGAAAATCCCAGCAAATATTTGTCGGAAGGCGATCGGAAGATCACCTCCCTCATGGCCGAAGTAAGAGACACATAGCGGGGGCTAAGGTTCATTTTATCTAGTTCGAGGTAGCTTATGAAGCTTTAATGCTCTTGTTTTTATGATTTTAATTCAGTTAAAGCTAGCTAAAGGCTTCTCAAACTAATTAAATTGGATATGTAATGGTTTCCGTAAGGTGTTTCTGGGTTATCTGTGGGCATTTGGAAACTAATAGAAAGGAAATTGGTTGCATTCTGTTTGTAAATGAATTTTCAGTCATGATTAGGTGGGGGATAGAAGCCTTTTCCTTGAGAAGCAAATAGGTTCAGTAAGGTGAAGACTGCATTTGGTAGCTTTGGGTGTAACTAGAACCCTCGCACAATCCACACATTGCAAACACACACACACACATCACGCACATTTTCCTTTGGACTTGCTGACAAATTTTCAATTGAATGCCTCCCTGCATCCTGACCCATTCCAGATACAAAAGAACCGTCAGATGATGGAGCAGCTGGACAAGGATTGCGATACCTTCAATGCCGAGGTAGTAACCACCAAGTCAGCGGTGGCCAGCACAGAGACGGCAGCCGCCCAGCCACGCATATCGGCTCGCTGGCTTCCGGACGAGATTCAAGTGGCTCTCCTAGCTATTCGCGAGTATGGCAAAAATTATCCGGTAAGTAGTTATTTAACCAACTTCTCCCTCCTCCTTACTAATGTTCTCGTGTGTTACGCGCAGATGATTGCCAAGATGGTGACCACCAAGACGGAGGCGCATGTGCGTACCTTTTTTGTGAACAATCGGCGACGATACAATCTTGACCAGATCGTCAAGGAGTACGAGGCTGGCAAATCCGAGGAGTCTGGTGCGGAGGAGCAAAGTGAAGCGGCTGTCGTTGATGGTGCAGCAGCAGTCTCTGTAGGAGCAGCAGCAGCAGCCTCAGCGGCAACTACTACTGCAGCTGCCGCTTCTGTTGATTCGTCGGCGGTCGTGGCCAATGCAACAGCCGCTAGGAAACCGTCCACCGAAGCCAGCAACAATGGGGTCGATCCGAGCCCAGAAACGCAGACTAAAAAGGAGGAACCCAAGAAGCCTGAGCCAGCGGTGGCTGCATCTAAGAGCACGGAGGCTTCGGTGTCTGTGGCCACTGCCAGCACATCAGCTTCGGTGCCGGGTACAGCCTCAGCTTCGGCTGCGACTCCAGCTTCGACAGCCACGGTAAGTTCCAGCGCAGCTCCTAGTTCGGTGGCTGGTGCCGCCGGCAGCAAGGCCAGCACTGCCACAATCACCATCACCGACGAGTCCGACACAGCCACCAACTCTAGCAGCGATGTGGTTACCGCTGGGGCTACTACTGCCGGTGCCACCACCGCCGCCACTGCGTCACTGTCCAGCGCTAGTGCTGCGCCCGCACCTAAAGAAGATATCTCCGTGCCCAAAACCGCTGCCACGAGCACAGGCAGTGTGGCATCTGGCACGGCAACAGCAGGAGCTGGTGCGAACCCGTCTGCGAATTCCAGTAACAGCAGCAAGCGGGATAGCTCCATGATGGTAAGTGCTTTCCTGTAACTTTCCACTGAACCCACACGCTGAAGAATCTTCTTTCCTCTCGAGCAGAGCACTGCCGCGGATCAGCAGCCGCCAGCCAAGAAGATTGCGCTCAGCGGCAGCGCCGTGGAGCTGCTGGGAAAGTAATGGAGGCGTCGTCGTATCGGGATGTGTTCACTCGCGATATATATGCACGCATAAATATATACCGATGTAGCTTACGGTTGACACGGAACAGGAACCAACGATTCGATTTGGTTGCTGGCCAAACTAGCTACATTAATTTTTTTTAATTAAGTTAAACACGTTTCGTTGTCATCAAAATATGGGGGACGCATTTACTATATAAAAAGCATCACGGCTTAATCTAGGCTTAGAAAAGAAAGTTTTTTTTTATGTAATTTTGAATAACACAAAAACGATCTGACATTGAGGCACACGGCCTTGCATCCGCTTAATTTTAGAGCGGAGTTAGGAGAGAAGGGAAAGCAGAAACTAAAGCCGTAACAAATAAAAACAGATAGGAGCAAGGGGAAATGTTGTATAGGTGAGATATGGGTTTAATTGGGTTCAACGGGTAAGAAGAGATACCTTCCTATGCCACACACACACACACACATGCAAACCAATGAGTAGTGCACGCAAAAAATGTAGACAAAACTAATTGCAGATCCTGCATGTAATAATAAGAATATTATTCTAATTCTAACAATTACGAACTATACACGTGTAAATTATTAACTGAACTGTCTGTCACACCTATTTTTTTTTTTATCCTTGTGAAGTGTAATTTAGTATATAGGAAGGGGATAGGCAGGCTTGCATATGTACGACGAACACATCCGGACTCTGCATCAGCAGCGAGTTTCTGTTAGGTTAATTACCACACCACACACACTCTTGGCAAGAAATGTATACAAGCAGCGCTATCCGTTTAAGAACCACAAATAAATATGTAATATTATGTATTATGTATGTATTATCCTCTGTAAAGTTGAATGAAGCGGCTAAAGTGAGGCTGTTAAGAGAATTCCCTAATACGCTAATTTAAACAATAATTGCAGCTTAGTTCAAAAATATACTCCATTTTATTCTGGACCATAACATGGCTATCATAAAGTGGCAGTGGCAATGCTATTACTCGACCCAAATGCTTCAGTATCAGTGTCTTGATCAAAATGCGAATCAGCAAAGTTGGAAATTGATTGGTAACAACAAACGATTTGGAAACATCTCATCTTGCGCTAGATGCGGCGCTGGCGTTGACGCCGTTGATGTGGCGGAGCCAGGTACTGCACAAGGAACGGAACACGGGATATCAAGTTGGCCAATCGATTGACCCAGCCAGGAATCGGGCGACCGCAAAGGATGTCCGCCAGCTTGATGGAGAAGTGATTGCAATTGTGGGATACCAGGTGGTATGCCCGGCCGGAGAACTGACGCCTGCCCAGCCGGTCAACGATGCGCTGCACCTCCACTCTGCTTAGACGTGTGTAGCCCAGCAAGATGCTCTGGCGGAAGCGGAAGCTATCGCGTAGCTCACCCTTGTAGTTGCACGGCTCCATCTCAAAGATGCCGGTCGTCGCGGGAAGATCGTGTCCGCCGAAGCCATACTCAGTTCCGTACACCTGTATGCCGGAGTGGAAGACGCCCAGGCCCACGGCAATGGTATAGTCGTTAAGGTTACACAGGTCGTATACATTGAGTAGCACCGGTTCCTTGTGGTGTCGGCCGAAGACGGTGGTTTCGGAGCCCCAAATGCTGAACATGTTTCACACAGACAGCAATGGGTTAGAATCAAGTTGATCTGTAGTTTGTTTGTACTAGTTTTTCAATGCCATCTGAGATCTTTCACTAGTTTCATCCAATAAAAGCCAGGAAAACAAGTTCAAATTCATTTTGAATTCGATCTAATCAAGCAGATGGGGTATGCAGGACATGGATTGAGTGAAACCAGGAGGTTCCTTCTTTAGAGTCCCATAACTCCTCTGTACCTATTTTTCTGTAACTTGAATTATGGGACTTACACCTCAAGGTTAAAGGATCTTTAAATATTTAAATTATTGCTGCAAATTGAGCAGGTGAACCCAGAAGAACTCTGGCTAGGAACAGCTCAGGATCAAGGTAAAGGAGCTGTGGCCTCAACATGGTAAAGTGTTGTAAACCTTATTGCACCCATTGTAGATAAGCTTTTTAGTTGAGACAAAACCCCAGCTTTAGACACGAACCCATTTATCAATTTCATGGATATATGTATATGTTTACCGCAATAATGGAACCCTTATCTCTTACTCCCATCTAAACCTTATCTCTCACTCCCCTTAAAAAAGATAAATATGATAATTAAAACGATGGCTTTCGCTAAAAACTATTCCATACTCAAGACAAAGACTAGTCAGTTTCTAGTCATTAGTTACTAATATATAAATATTAGTATTTTATTTATAATTGTGGAATAGGCCAAATAGAAACAAATCTTAGAATACAATCGTTATTCCTGGCCAAACTCTGCTATACTTTAACATTCCATTCGATTATTGCTATGAATTTTCAAATATAAATAATAATCAAGGGGTTTTTCTTTATTATTTTTATTATTTCCATCTTGCTGTGTCTGGCATAATTTGTTAAACATGATTCTTGTAGTTTTCGTTTTTTGTTTTTTAATTTTTTGGTTTTCTTTTCGTATTTAAATATATATAGGTGATGTATTATAGTGGTTTCGGTTTTCGTTTAGTATTACAATTAAATATAACTCGTTAATGCATTGCTTAGCTAAAAAAAATCATCTTACAATTAGTTCCGACACATGTTGAATTAGTTAGAAAGTTTTGTAGTTTGATTTTGGGTTCTCTTGGGCTCTTTTATCCGATCGGGGGGTTCTGGGGTTTGTGGGGACGGAGGGGCTATATGTACGTCGTATGTGTGTTGAGTAAGCTATATAATTAGTATATAGTGAGCAGGCAATGAAAACTCGTTGAAAGCAACCAAAGAGTTGCAGGCGGCAACCAGGATGCACTCTGCCCCATCGCCGCCGCCTCCTACTCCTCCTCCTCCTCCTCCTAATCCTCCTCCTCCTCCTTCTCCAGCTTCTTATCTTTTCTTTTTTTGGGGCTAGACAACCTGACTTATGCTATCGCTAGTACATATCCTCAATACATGTGCGTATTTATTTAAATGTATGTTGTATGCATTGATGTTTTGCTTTAGTTGATTTTTACCTTTACCTTTACCGTTACACCGGTACCTCGCTGACCTCGTTTTATCTCGATAATGCCACGCTAAAATCTCAATACACACAATTCGCTTAGACCTATGACTAGTTGCCTATTACAATAATACTCCTCATCCATATCTCTGCATTTGTTTAGCTGCGACCACGCCCATTGTCGCGTCGCCTCCTCCCACGACTTGACACACACAAAAAAAATGGTATTCGAGAAAAAAAAAACAAACAGAATAATATATCAACAAGTCTTATAAGTATATATATCTTGCGACGATCCCAGCGATACTAGGAGATGCTTGCGGGATACTAGACCATACCATAGATCGTAGGTCGTACATCCTCGGGACTAGAAACTAATGACTGACTGACGACACACTCCCGTGTATATACTATGTACATATATACAGCGATATATGCATAGATATAGACAGAGACATATGTATGTATGTATGTTTGGTAGATGCTGCGGGACACCATTTGACGCACTCGCCCTTAAAACACCGCACCTCCTCCTGCTGATCCTGCTGCTCATGCTGCTCATCCTCTTCCTCGTGCTGCTGCTGCTGCTGCTGCTGCTCTTCCTGCGTTTGAGGTGCGATCTTTTAAAAGAAGTCGTCAAAGGTCTTTGATTATGTCTGATACTGAAGCATTGGGCCGATAGGTTGGGATGATGCGAGGAGTTCATCCGCAGGGCGGACAGACTCTTGTTGTACCACTCGTCCTCTGGTGACATGCCTAAAAAGAATTAAATTATAGGAATGGCAAAGGATATGATATAGTTTATATTCAGAATATTTAATACATATACATTCAGATTTAATAGATTGTAAGAGGAGCAAGTGTTTCACTTCTGAGAGATGTATTCCCTAGGTTTGAAGGTGTTCCAAAAAGAACTCCAGTCTAATATATCATTTATTTTAACCCTTTAGTCTCTGTACAAATATCAGTTTATAAACCAAAAAGCAACCTTTATAGCTTTCTATATATATTTCTTAAGGTGCAATTGATTCCCCGTGACGCCTCGCATTTCCGTGCCACGGATGCTGTGTCGTCTTGGACATATACTTGGACTTGGAAGACGTTGGCCTTAGGGCATGGCCGGAAATTCATTTCACTGCGAAGCTATTCCCCTTTTGGCCGGCTTGCCTCCTCCATCATAATATCCGGCCTGGCCGATTGGTTTGTTTACGTCTGATTGCGAGTTTCCAGGCAAGTAAAGCAATATGGATGGGTGTCGTCGCCTGGGCGGCGCCGCATCTTGGAGGCGCCGTGCCAGGCAGCCGGTAAACATACATCGGATTCCGCCACCTGCAGCGGAAATTTACTTACCCAGCAAGTGGGGACACTGGGCACGGACTTGGAGTTGGACTTGGAGTGGATCTGGACCTTGGACCTTGGACTAATGGCGGCCGGAAGAGAGCGAAAGAGAGCGGCCAAAGCTCACAAGCCGAGCTCAAGACTTTGGGAGAGACTTTGAGCCGAAGCCGAGCTCAAGCCTGCCGAAGATCGTAAGCTCTCTCTCTCTCTCCTCTCTCTCGCTACGATCTTCGGGCCTGGAAGCTCAAATGGGGAGTTTACCTAAGGGCTCGTCTCCGAGTTAGAATTTAGTTATCGCCGGTCCCTGAACAAGTGAACAAGTGAACAAGTGTGGATCCTAGTGACCATAAAGTGGAAAGTAAAACTGTAAAACTGTGAAACTAAAACTGTAAAGCGCTGATGCCATGGGGTAAGTGCTCCAAGTCTTTTGGGGATGCTCACTTGAGCTGGTAGTAAGTAGAACTCACCCATCGAGTCCTGGCGCACTCCCACGGAGCCCATGTTCGTGCTGTGCGCCATGGAGAATGGTTGCGTCATGCCCGGATATGAGGAGGCGCCCATTTGGAAGAGGTCCTGCAGGAAGTTGAAGTTGGCAAATGATTTCGATTCAAGTTGAGTTTGGATTTAGGTTTGACTTACCTGGGGATAGCGATTCATGGTGTTGTGATGCGGATATGGCTGATAGCCGCGGGAGACACTATAGCCCTGAATGTTGCGCATCATCCCGTTGCAGGATGGGATCACAGACGGTGCCAGCGCCTTTTGCAGCTGCTTCTCCTGCTTGCGATACTTGGCTCGACGATTCTGAAACCAGACCTGCAAGGACAAGGAAAAGATATATCATATCATATTGGTTTTAGGTTTTCATAGACAGGATACTCTCTTCAAGGTGTTGCTACTTGTATGGCAATTTGGTTTTTCCATTTCCCCAAGACAGCCAGAGCTGCTTGGCTGCCAGCTTGATGAGGAAAATAAGAAGGTCCTTTCTGAAGTCTGTCCCCAATCTCTGTCTCTGTCCCCAGTCGTTGCCTCTGGCCACAGTACCCACTCTCTTTCCCCCCTCTCTCTCTGTGTGTCTTATGAGTGAAAAAATCTACTAAATTGAAATTGAAAATAAGTTGACGACGCTGTTTGCTACGAGGGGTCTCCAGTCCTGGTCCTGGTCCTGGTCCTGGTCCTCTCTAAGTGAGTGGGGGCCTGCTGCTCTGCTGCTTAGATATTATTAAAGACGCTCCTCATCCCGATGATGATGATGATGATGATGCTCCCCTCACCTTCCCTCGCCCCTCTCCTGCTGGCAAAAAGAAATTGCCAAGATGAAAGCCGCGCTCGCAGCTAGACAAGAAGGGAAAAGCTCTGGCTGTGGCGGGGAGGGGGTGTGTAAAAATTTCCGACATTTTGAAAGCTGCTCAGCTTGCTTTGAGTTACTTAGAGGGGATGGGGGGCGGGGGGATGATGGGGTGGTCAGGAGTGGCACACGGGGGTGTGTATGTGTGTGTGTGTACTGTAATGGCGGCACTCCAGACTTGACTTGAGGCTGCCTTCGCCTTCCCCTTCCCCTTCGCCTCTGCCTCTGCCTCTGCCTCTGCTTTTCCTCCTTCATCTTTAGATTTTTCTTCCTTCATTTTCTTTTATTTATTTTATCATTATTATTATCTTTGTCCATGGCTATGTGCACATGTATCTGTGTGGCTGTGCCTGTTTCTGTGTGTATGTGTGTGTGTGTGTGTGTGTGTTTGTGTGCGCCCTTTTTAAATGAGAAATATAACCAGAGATACCCGGAGCTCAACCGTAGCTCACCCGCTTTCGGGGTTGTTTTTCCAGAGCCCACTTTATGGCTCGTTCGGTTTCGTTCGTTTGGTTGGCTGCCAGCAGCATAAAAATGCCAGGCAAGGACACCCTGCCAGCTTCAGCTCCTCATCCGTATCCCTGTCCCCTGCTAAATAATGCTCTTAACCATCCATCCAGCCATATATGTATGTATGTGTGTATGTATGGCAGAGCTCCCCAGTACTCCTGGTAGCAGTGAGGGTGGAAAATGCGTTGTCTGACTGATTCGTAGTCGTAGTCATCCTCGTCTATCTGCCGTTCAATTTCCAGCTGTGGGCGGAGTAACTCAATTAAGGATCCATTTGATGGCACACACTCTCACACGTACACACAACAAAATCGTTCGCACACACACACACACACACATGGTAGATGAGGATCCAATCCCCGCATAGCATTTCCTGGCATATTGGCTTTAAGTTGAGGCCCAAAATGTTAAAGCCAGGCCCAGGGCCTGTTTAGGCCCAGGCTAAAAACTTTAATTAGATAAAACCAAATTATAACTACAAATAACCATGGCTGACACACACACTCGCACACACACGCACTCAGTCGGCGGAAATATGAAAATTAAACGTATTCAAATTTAATTTACTTTCAGCATTTAATCAAATTTAGCCGCTGCAAATGTTTGTGTTTCTTTTTTATTATGATTATTCGGTCGCTTTTCGGTTTTTTCCATTCCCAGCATTTAGAGAGAAAGAGCTGGAGAGGGAAAGGGATTCGGTCGTCCTGCTGCTCCCTTTTGTTCCAAATGGGTTAGATGAACTCCAGCAAGGATCGAAAGGGAGGTGGTTGACCTACAAATGACAACCTGCCACTAATTGGACACAGGAATAGAGAGCTGAGCTATGTAGATATGAGAGGCAGGGGTGGGAGAGGAGAAGGAAGTGTTGCCCCTGGAAATGTGACACCTAATTATGATAATATTTGCTCCGCATCTCCTTAGAATACTTTATTTATATAATCAAGAGCCCCCTCCCTTTTGATAAACAATCAATTTGCCAGCTTTCAACTTGTCGCTCTCACGGCATTAACTTTTGCAATTCTGCAAATCAGCGAATTATTTTGATAAGCGATCCTCCCCCTTCCTCGATATTTCGTTTACTTCTCACAGGAAAAAGTAAATCATTGAACAGGAATTGATTTTCCGTTTATAGATCTAGATTTCTTCAAAAGAATATCCAAAGAGTAATAAATATATCCACTTAATAGCTGATTAATATGGTATTTTCAAGTATTTCTTGGCTTCTATTACTCTCAAATCCAATGAACGTTTTGTTGTGACGTAAATCAATGATTTACTTGAACTTTTCATAATTTATATGTATCGAAAACACAAGTTAGGGTTTTTCATATATCAAGTGTTATATACAAGTGTGATTTGTTTTATATTATTCATGGAATTATGCCGAAAAATGCACTTTATATAAGAAAGAATTAGCTGCTGACGCATATTACGTATACGCAGTGGTGACTATTTTCTATAAACTTTTTATGAATTTTTTTTATTGGTTTTACCATTGTTATAGTAAGATAATTTAAACGTGAATTATAGGTATCTGATAAATATAATATATATAAATATATATTATAAATTTTATAAATGATTCAATGTGCAAAAAATACATTAAGAAATCCATTAATGTGCACTTCTTGACAGCTTATCTTTATCAAAAAGGCCTTGAGAGGTATGTTTGTACAATTAAATATTAAATAATATACATTAAAATATAAAAAGCAAACAATGCTTTAATAAATTAACTAGAATCGAGTCTGAAAGAGGATGCCCAAGAGCCTAAGTTATGACATTTTGGTTATTTTGTAAATTATCTTACTGAAAAGCCATTATGTTTTGCTTATAAAGGGGTTTTGTTAAAGGTCTGTTAAGTTAAAATCGTATTATACACAGATTACAAAAGATTAACAGACAAAAAATATACTTTTGCCAGAAAAAGTTATATCTAAAGAGAGCATTTATAAGCTACTACTTTTAACAAGGAATTTATTAATTAGACTTTATTTTGTGTACATTTATGAATCACTTTTATAAGTCAGTTCAGAATCTAAATAAAATCCTATTAAAATGTTATTATTTGAAGCATATTTCATTCATATTTTAGCTCATTTATTTGTCTGACTTTTAATTTTCCTGTTGTGGTTTTGTCCTGAAAACTACCCAATAACTTGTAACAATATAGTTCACTCTCACTGTCCAGTTGCTGGCTTGCAGGATAATTAAGGCGGCAGGATGCCACATTTACACACACACAATGGTTGTGCCCACTTTCTCCCCCCGTTGCGCCTTTCCAAATTTGCACTTGAGACACATTTTTCGCTGATGGATTTTCCAGGCAGATGTGCCCAGTAACGCCCAGTCCATCATCATACGCCTCCTCCCACCCAGCCTGCTCCTGCTCCTCCCACTCCTCCGTCTCCTGCTCCTCCTCCTGCTGAAGCGTCAATTTTCCAGCCAAATGTATACACGACAAATTTGTCAACAGCGACATGAAGCCGCTGCTCCGGGAGTGCCAGAGTGCCGGAGTCAAGTTGTGAGCGTTGTCGGATTACAGGGGAGGGAGGCAGCCGGGCAGAGGGGTTGCACTCGAGTGTAAATATTTGAACATTTGCTGAAAAATATGGTTTATGCAGCGCTAATAGACCAAACCCAACCCAACGATGACAAGGACTCGTCTCGCAAATGTGTAACCTTATCGCGAACAGTTGTTTGTTTGTCGGCGGAAGGGAGCAAGGGGATTATGATTGCACTGTATTCATAATAAACATATCTGGCGAGTATATTATTTGGTAATCACTTGTTGTGCCTGTTGTCCCTTCCCAAAAATGATCACATTACGAAATAGAAAGAGTTTTGTGATTCTGGAAAGTCAGCTTGGAGCTATAGTCCACTAAAAAGACTTGAAAATAAAGAGAGTTAAAACAGGTATCTGCCATCTGGGCAATTCATATCATATTATTGATAAGGAGAATTCCCCAAAAAGGACTCGCGTTTGAGTTACTTCAAAGGCAGGCACTTGCTGAAAACACTTTCCCTGCCTCAAGTAATCTCCGTAATCCCTGGGCCATTTCGGCGGGTAACTCGACACCGCAGTCATGAACAAGCCAAGCAAGAATCCTCCCCCGAAAGTCCTGCGAGTCCTGCAGCGACGCACTCACTTGTCCCAGCAGTCGTGATAAAACTATAAATTAATTATTACCGCGGCGCACTTGAAAGCAGAGCACTTGAGAGCAACACCAGCAGCGGGTCACTCGGCTGGAATAATCGTACGCTAATCGCTAACCAAGATCGACCAGGACATCAGCGGGATATATCTCTATTATCGATTTGGGGGCGGGAAATTCTCCTAATTCGAATGTCTGTTCAGATTCAGATGCAGACTCAAAACGAACAACTGTTGAAATATCGCTAATTGGCTCCGCTCTGCTCTTATTCGATGGACAGGATTCCAGGATTTAGGGAGCAGTTTTTGGGGATTTTTGATATATATACTTATTTTTTGGTTTTGGCTGTTGGGGATTATATTATGGCATTATTACTCACTTGGATCCGCGCCTCATTCAGCTTTGTTGTGCGCGCCAGCTCCTCGCGGCAGTAAATATCCGGATAATGGGATTTGGCGAATGCAGCTTCCAGTTCCGCTAATTGTTCCTGAAATTAAGCGGATTTTAATTAGGCTAATTTGTTGTCTCTCTCTCTCTCTCTCTTCACCCATTCTCCCAGCTCTTCCTTTTGCTCTTTTCAAGGATTTTTCGATGTATAAAAAAGCATAGATGGAATATCCTTTTTGCAGCAGAAAATCTTTACTGCTTTTCTAACTAACTACACTTTTTTGGTGCCTTGAAAATGGTATAATAATCCTAGAAGGATATATTATGAAAATAGTATAATAATCCTAGAAGGATATATAATGTTATTCTACAATGTTAGTTGTTCAGTAAGGAAATTTTACATGAATATATACACGTTTTTCTTGAAGAAAATCCCAGCTAAGCTAAAAATCTAAACCTCTTTCCTTCAGTTTCTCATTTATTTATCGATCTGATTGGTTATATAGGTGTCGTATCTATCACTTCTCCGTCAAGCAGCCTCGCTGTCTCTCCGGTTTCCGTTTCCGGAAACTATTTATCCAATTTGTTAGGAAAAGGAGCAGCTATGTACGCAAAGTCTACTATTTCCGCTGGCGAAACACTTGTGCAATATAATATATATAAGAAAATCTATCAATGGCTTTAGTAAGAAAACATCCTCAATACTTTTGCTTATTTTTGGTGAGTCCTTGTTGTAGGAGCAATGTGTGCGGAGGAGACTTCCGTACACTCCTTTTGTTGTTGGCCCTGGTGCTCCTGGTGGCATCAAAGTTTTAATTACGAGTAACCTTCACGAAAATCTAATTAAAATTTTCCCTCCCCCGGGTGACTGACTGGACTGGCTGGCTGGAGGAGCTCCCTGGAGGATTTACCTGGGTACCTGGGAGGTGAAAAGCTGGCAACTGGCTAGGAACTGACCTGTGTGAATGTGGTTCGATGTCTCCGCCTGGCTGGCGTCGGGCAGGATGCTGTGGTTGGGGTGTGGCCGGCATGCTGACTCAGCGTTGATAATCCACTTCCGGGCGATGTGATGCCGGCGGAAACCGTCGAGAGGCCGCTGTTGGGTTCCGGCTTGAGCTTCTTGAAGGCACCTTCCGCTGCAAGGATAGCATGGATTAGGATATGATCTTTATTTTACCAAAAGCCAATTGGGCAAAAGTTTTAAGGCCAAGAGGCAGAAGTTCAAAAGTTGATAGAAAAAATATATTTTATTGCAATTCAAAGACTACATTCTATTCGAAAGTCAAAATATCACAAAGATATGAATCGGATCAGGGACAGAAGATATATCTAAAAGCGAATCCTTGCTCATAGTTTTGCTTAGGCAATTTTCTTAAATAGAAACTAGTCGAATGAGAAAATATATGGGAACATTATCTAGATCAAAGGCTTAATCTTCCTGCTTTTGTAGCAAAGACTTTCTATAATCCTTGGCCCTTAGTTTAGGACAAGGATTAGCAACAAATCTATAAGTATTCCATCAGAAAAAAATATAAATTTAATCCGCAAAATATGGCATAATTTAAGAAACTTCAACATCAACTCCACTCTAGAATATAGACTATCCTTCTCCCGTTTTAGAGAAGTCCTTTTGTCTTTTAGTTAAAACAGGATAAACTCTATAATCTGTACCATTCAGTAGCTGCTCCATATATTATATATATTTGAAATAACAAATAGTTGGGACTACTTAACAGAAACTTCTTCTAAAAAGTCTAGAAATTTAAAAGTAATGGAGAATCAAGCATATTTGCTTTATTAATTACAAACAACTGAAGAAAAATCAAAGCCAAGTTGAATGAAAGTTAAGGCTATAGAAGCATTAACTAAAAATTAACTCGTTTATTTTGATATCCTTGAAGGATATTATAATTCCAGTCTGAAGCTTGTATTGCACTCAAGAACTCATTTCCGACCCTATAAACCATATATATTCTTGATCAGCATCAACTGCCGAATCGATCTGGCATATCAGCTGGAAAAAAAAAAATGTTGACAATTTTCTCAAAAAATTATAAGGGGTTACATCGATAAAATTATCAAAAATCTATCAAAAAATTCGATTTTAAATTGAATATGCAGATTTGTTAACATATTAAAAACTAGCATAAAACTGCTTTCCGAATTAAAATTAATGGATTTTTGACAAAGTTATGAATTTTTTAAACTTCCAATAATCGAAAAAAACCATGTAAAAATGATATTATTACAATTTTAATTTTAAGAATCTTTCAGGGGAAAATATAATTTTAATCAATGAAGGAGTCGTTTCCGACCCCATAAATCATATATATTCTTGATCAGCATTAAAATGCGAATCTTTCTAGCCATGTTTGAAAGAAAACAAATTTTGCAATTTTTTCATAAAAATATTAGGGGTTACATCGTTAAAATTGTAAAAAAATTCACTAAAAATTAGATTTAAAATTGATATGCAGATTTGTTGACATGATAAAAACTAGCATAAAACTTCTTTCCGAATTGAAATTAATAGGTTTTTGGCTTAGTTATGAATTTTTTAGACTTTGATAAATATAGATTCTTAATTTGATTATGATCGATTTCCGATTCGATTCGATACATTAATTTCAAAACTCTAAGGGTATAAAATTCTTATTTATTTATTTATTTTTTGTTGGAAAGAATTGGAGCAAAGGAAGTTTGTATTTTTGTGGCTCGATCTGTTGGCGGTGGAGAGGGAAATCTGCTTAATATGCGTGAAACGTTTAGCTGGGCCCCTGACCCCGCCCAAGATCCGACCTTTGACCCCAAAATGCTGCATAATTACAAGGACTCCCTGCTCTGGGAGGGAGGATGTGGAGGAGGAGATGGAAACATTAGCAACAGACCACGCTGCGGCCACAAGACGCCGCCAGTGCGATGGCATTGTCGCGTCGGGCGGCGAACGGGCAAAAAGGTGAAAAGTTTTATGGACTTGGACAGACTCTTGGGTCACGTCGCCGGCAAATGGCGATGATGTTGGTCGCATGAATATGCAATATGGGATAATTTATGCAAATTTCTGGCACATTAATCGAGGCAGCATTTGCCGGGCCCTGGCCGCCGGTTTTCCTGGCCTGGCCGTGGAGGATGTCACTTACCTGACGCGTGCCAATGCCGCCAAAAGGCGGCAAATTACGGCTAAAGGTCAAAATAGGGACGCAGACGACACTCTGTCGCTCTGGACCTGGAGCTCTGTCTCCGGCTGGGAGCCAGCTGGGAGCTGGCTGGGATCTGGCTTTTGGCGCTTAATTGGCGCGCTTAGCTCGTTAACAAAATGCAAACTATGTAGAAAACGCGCTAATTGAATCACACACAATCTCCGCCGATACCTTTCGTCCTGTCCCGGTGTTGTATTTATGTTAAGTAAGCAGCTCTCCCTTCACCCCTTCCCCCTCGAATTGGGAGCCGGTTCCCGGTTCCCAGTTCCCAGTTCGGAGCACCTCCACCTTCCATTCCCATTGCCACCCCACGGGCGCCGTCTAATGCAATTGACCTTGCGGGATGCGGCTTTGTGCGGAGCAAGCTCCTCTGCCGAACTCTTCCTGGTCGGCTGTTGCATAAGCAAACAAGGTCAAACAATCCGCCACGTGTCCACGTGGTGTTCCGTGTCCATCTCCATCCAACACCAACAACAAAAAATGAAGCGGATGCAGATGCAGATGATGAAAGTTTCACTTGCCGGGTTAACCGCTGCCCGGCAATGGGAAATGGGAAATGGAAATGGGAAACTTATCCGTGTTCTTGGTCATTTGCCATGACAGCCAGTTCATGGAATCAATTACTATTTTGCTAAGGCTTTTCTAATAGAGCTCTCTTTGCCATCTATCTATCTATCTATCAATTTGAGACTTGTTTTCATTTGTACATTCCTACAGGATTAAATGTTCCTGATCGAAGGTATGAATAAAGGTTTATAATATACTTAACAGGCCACCAAAGATCATAAAAGATATGGTTATATTTAGGGGCTCTGACTATATGCAGTTTTTAGAAAATTGGTCTGTTACAATTTGACTTCCGGTTAACAAGTACAGACATTAGGAAAGCAAATATAAATTTCAGCTATAAAAAGTGGTTATATTCTGATATTGAAAATATGAAAAGACTGAAATTTATAGGTATCTTTTGACTTATAACACTCAAAGGGATCAGACCTTATGATCATTCAAAATATCTATCTATATCAAACTTACCTATCTATAAGCTCAAGAAACTTAAAAGTGGATCCTTACTCATTGATGTAATTTAAGAAGATCCCCAAACTGAGACGTTTTCTCCTTGATTCCGTTTTAAATAGGGAACTTTCTAAACTTTAAGTGTTATTATTGTTCTCCTATTTTGAAATGTTAGTTGAAATAACAAGGCTTAACATGTGACAAACTCTTTGGATATTGATTTCAGTTTATAGTTCTGTGAAGATAATCCTGAAACCTTGATTAATGGGCAGTTCTTAAAAGTGATTCAGTTACAGATCTATAAGGACATAATCTAGGTATAAAGAGTATCTCAACTTAGAGCAGAAACCTTATGAAACTTGGACTTTTAGCAGGTCAATACAAATAGGAAAATACAATCTACTAATTCATCTTATTGCGCTCGAATTTGATTTAAAATTGGCTAATTTAATTGACAGTTGAAACTCTGTTTTTATAAAAATCCAAATCCTACAGGATAATGGTTTTTAAAAGTGCTGCAAATTTCTCTGGTCGATGCTACTTTATATATTATGATAAATATACATAAGTATAAGATATATCAGTATTCTGGCTTTAGGATTAGAGAATTTACATCTTTCCCCAGGATACTTGCTCTCTTTCAAGTCAATATATTATTTTATCATATCAATTTGTACAATGAAATATATTTAGCCACTTCTCATCCTTTTAAAATTGTATATATCATTAAAACATGAATTTATATTTACCGAGATAAGTCGGCGATTGAAGCTCTGAATGCTCTGGCAGCCAAATAAGTCCTAAGCGAGCTATAGATTATAGAATAAGGATTTTGACAAACATATGTTTATATATATTTACATATGTAAATAGAGAGATGGAATTAAGAAATGGAAACTTCTGGGTTGGAAATTACTTTGACTAGATGTTTCTATAAAAGTTTCTTTCATTATCATTTCTCCTCAATTATTATTAATTTTAAAGATACATGAACGTTTCTTCTTAATCAATGAGCAAGTAATTGAGAATCTTTAGATTAGAAAACAAATCAAGTTGCAAATAGTTCTGCAGATTCCCCTGACCCTGTCCATCGATTCATCTTTGCATTATGTCCTTCGAGGTCTTTAATTTCACTGCATTCACTCGCAAATGGCCAGGACACGGGCTCCAGCTGTCCCGCTTAGCACGAGAGTGGCCGCAAGTGTCTGGTCAAGGGATGGGGGAGGCTTCAAAGGATACAGGACACAGGACACGGGTTATGCCGGCGATAAGTCCGTAACAAAAGGGAGAACTAAAGGAGTAATAGGAGGCTGCAAACGAGCATCAACAAACAGGCGAAAGACAAAGCCAAAGGCGAGGGCAAGGACAAAGGATAACGCACAACGGACAACGGGCAAGGGGACTGGTGCGAAAGGGTTCTCGGGTGTTAAAGGATAATTCCCTGCTAATGGCCATTGTGGCAAGATTAGGGGCTCCTATGCTCTGCTCCAAGCACTCACCCGATATGGTGTGGTCGGAGAGACGCGACGGCGGCGTGTGGGCCGGCGTGTGGTGGTGCGAGGACGAATCCATGCCCGGCGTCGGCAGGCCCGAGTAGAGCGCACTGAAGTCCTCCGGCGTGCTGCTGCACTTGCGCTGGTGATTGAGCGACGAGGAGGACGACTTGTCCAGCGTGGTGATCGGCGAGCGCGTGTCCTGCACGGAGCTGGCCAGGCTGAGCAGTCGATTCTCATGCGAGCCGCCGATGCCCATCAGCCGCTGGTCCTGGAACGACATGAACTTGGTGTCCTGCGCCACGCCGCTGTGCTGCATGCTGGCATGGTCCTCCAGCAGGCCCTGCTGCAGGCCCAACAGCCCGCCCACCAAGTTCGGACGCAGCTCGTCCATGCTCAGCTTGCCCGCCTGCCCGCCGGCCGAGAAGTTCAGCTGGCGGCTAAAGATCGCCGGAAAGATGTTGAACTGCTGCGAATCGGCGCTGGACTGCGGACTTAGCCCCAAACTGTGCGGCGCCACGTGCGGAATGGAAGCGGCTGCGGCTGCTGCCGCTGCAGCTGCCGACACGGATCCCGCTCCGACTACGCCCACACCCGCTCCGGCTCCGGCCGAGCTGGGTCCGTTGCCGATCAGCAGCGTTGGGGCCACGGAGACGCCTCCGCCGTTGTTGTTGATCAGCTGCTGCTGCTGCTGCTGTTGCTGTTGCTGCTGCTGCTGCTGCTGTTGCTGCTGCAGCGGTGTTGTGACTCCAACTCCTGGCAACTGTTGCGTCTGCTGGCCTTGCTGCTGCTGCTGCTGTTGCTGCTGATTCTGGGGCACGGATACGGATACGGAGGGCAGCAGCCCGTGGTGACCGTGAGCAACGGCTAGGGCGTGTGCGTGTCCGTGGGCGTGACCGCTGTGCACGTGCGGATGCGTGGACAGAGACAGGGCTTGGACGGAGCTGGAGCTGCTCCCGTTGCTACCGGCGCTATTCCCGCTACTCAGTGCCGATTGCTGTTGCTGCTGTTGTTGCTGATGTTGCTGCTGTTGATGTTGCTGCTGTTGCTGCTGCTGTTGCTGCTGTTGTTGCTGCTGTTGCTGTTGCTGCTGCGTGGCCTGCGAGTTGTTGGTGTTGCCGCCGACGACGACGACTCCTCCAGCGGTGCCACCGCCACCACCACCTCCACCACCACCACCGCTGACACCACCACCGGAACCAGGGCCGCCGGCACAACTCTGATGTTTGAAATCCAACTTGTGGCCGGCGTAGAAACGCTGCGTATCGATATACGTCTTGAAGAAGTCGATTGAGTAATCCAACTGGAAGCTGTCTCGCGGCGAACGCGCTCCCTTTGCGTGAACGAATTGGTATGGAAGAGGGAACAGCTGCAGCTGTTGCGGAGCAAATGGGCAGAATGATCACTGCCTCTGCGCTCAGGTCAAGTGTTTTTGTCGGTTCACGTGGAAGTGGGGCTCAGGTTTGCCTAGGTCCTTTTGGGTTCTTTTCGAATATCTCGCTCTCTGATCCCGATTTCGACTTCGACTTGTTAGCTTTCTTGCTTGGGGTTCTCCTTTCACTCACTTTGTTTGGTCACTTGTTTTTCTTTTGGGTTTAGCCCGTCGGGTTAGACACTTGAACAAAAAAATGGGATCTCGGGATGCGGCAAGGACACCCGTGAAGCACTCGCAAAAAACACACACACAAAAACAAATGGGCAATCTTTGCAATCAGTTCGCGTTGGAGCCTTGATGGCCTTACTGATAAGGAATCGTTGTCGTCCTGCCTGGAGGAGGATCAATCATCGCGGGTAACCGAGAAACCGTCGCTCGCTCGCTGACCAGACCCGTCGGTGGTACCGTTGTGCCAGGAGCCGCTGCAGCAACTGTGTGTGTTTTTGTTTTTCCGCCGCAACTTGGCCAGGACCGAAGGACAGAGCTCCCCGAAGGATAACCGACGGTGTGTGTGCGCGTTTTGTTTATGTGCGTGTGTGAGTGTGTGTGTGTGTCTCGAGTTCAAGATAATAACAAAATTTCACCTTCTGTTATTGTTGTTGCTTGAGTATTTTGTTTTTGCTTTTGGTTTTCTTGTTTCCTTGCTGGTTTTTGTCGTCCTTGTTGCTGTTTTTGCTGTTTTTGCTGCTGTTGTTGTTGTTGTTGTTCACGCACGCACGGCGATACGTATTCGCGGCCGATCAAACTTAAAATGATATACAATTTCAGGCAACATACAAAATTATAACGAAATTAAGGATCATGTGCTCCGACAACAGAGACGTCGCCGTCGTCGTCGCTGTCAGCGCTGCCAGTGCCTGCTACCCTCTGCTGCTGCTGCTGCTGCTGCTGCTGCTGCTGCTGCGTGTCCTTTTTGGTGGTGACTTGGCCTGCTGTGGGGACAATTGCGGGCTGCGCGCGAACGATTGGTGGTTAGCTGCTAGTCCGTGTGTGCCTGTGTGTGCCAGAGCTTCGGAGACCACGAATCGTTAGTCGTACTAATAATTTGCAAAAAATAATGAAACTCTAGCGAGTGAGCGAGTGCGAGCAAGTAAGAGAGTGCAATGGCACGACATACACACACAGCAGCGTGCCAGCCCACTCGCACAGAGTGATGTTGCTGCTGCTGCTGCTGCTGCTGCTGGTGTTGCTGCTGCTAGTGTTGCTGTTGCTGTTGCTGCTGCTGCTGCTGCTGCCAGTTGCCGTCTCGCTTTAACTTGTTTGGTTAATTTAGTTAGTTCTGGCCAAAGTCGCCATTGCTGTCACGGCATATAGTTGTAGTTGCAGTTGCAGTTGCAGTTGCAGTTGTCGCTGTCGTTGTCGTTGTCGCTTTCACTGTATTTTGTATTTGTTTTGCGGCAAATGAGTGCCGGCAATGGACAACACAGATAGACAGACAGACAGGCAATACTTGTCCGCATAAATCCGAGGAGTACAAGTCCAAGTCCAAGTCGGAATCCCAGTTGGTGTCCAAGTGCGACGCTGCCCCAACAACCTTAACTTTGCTGCCAAACTTCTGCTGGTTTTTCTCTTTTTTACTTTTCTTTTCTTTTTGTTTGGCCATATCCTTCGCTGACACACTTTGCCAGGCTCGCCAGCTGATCGCAGCGGCTCCTTGGTGGCAACCGGGCATCCGTGCATCCGAGCAGCTGCTCCACACAGGTGCAGGGACTCGAATGCGCCCCGTCGGAATCAGCAGGAGCTGCATGCAGCACCAGCAACACCAGCAACAGCAACAGCAGCAGCAGCAGCAGCAGCAGCATTGCTGCAGATTGCGAGATGGCTGCCCGTGGGTGTCAGAGTGAGACAAGGCCAGTGCCAGACAGGGACAACGATAGGCAGTCGCATCAGGAGCACAGTGGTGTCCTTTTATACAGGCAATTCATATGGTGGTCTCGCTCTGGCCCATGTGCTGGGACCAGAGAGGCCAGGCAACCAATCGCAGCGTCGCACAAAATGGAGTTTCGGCCACAACGGCTCCAGCTTTAGCTTTGGCGTTGTTGTTGCCGCTGCTGCGCAATGAATTAGTCCTCGTTAAATGTGTCGACGATATGGCAAACGTTGACAGAGGCTGCGATGCTGGCAGCAGCAGCAGCAACGGCGACATCGGCAGGAGCAGCAGCAGCAGCAGCAACGTCGCGCTGTTGCCGGTTTTCTTGCCATTTTCTTTCGGTTCGCCTGCAGTTGCGCACCGCCACATCCCGACGTCCGAGTTCAGCATCCTAAATCCCGATCCCGAAACCCGCTGCCCGTGCCCGTGCCTCTGCGAGGCTTGCTTAAAACAATACATTCGACTGAAAGTCCCCAAATGCCTGTCCGCTGCTGCTGTTGCTGCTGCTGTTGCTGTTGCTGTTGCTGTTGCTGTTGCTGTTGCTGTTGCTGCTGCTGCTGCTGTTGCCTTGCCGGCGCTGTAGCTCGTTTCGTGGCATTTAGCTGCTCTCATCGCCAGCCAGCGTCGCCATTTCCAGTGTGGGAAATGTCCCAACTTCTGGCCCTGCTCCTCCCTGCTCCAGCTCCTCTCTCTGTATCCCTTTTGCGTGGGCCCAGGATGGGCTTTAAGGCCAGGGATCCGTTGTGTCGTTGCTGATGCCGATTCCGTTCTTGTGTCCCTTCTTTCCCTTAACGTTCCCTGTTATCCTTGTTGTCTTTTTTTATGCTCTTTTTTTTTTTTTGTTGCCTGGGTTGAAATGATTAAAACTTTTTCTCTTGAACCGAACAAAAATAAGAAGGAAAATGCCTAACTGGGTAGCCAAGTGATTTGTGTTTTAAAGAGCCAGCTGCAAGGGAGTAAATATCCTTTGCCTTATTGATAACTTAAGACGTTCTTTGGGAAATACTTAAAAGTAGGGCTTACTTTTAAGGCAAGTACTATAATTGGTAGGTTAGGAGTTTTATTTTATTTAAATATTTAATATTTACTAAGATCTGTTAGGGATTTCGTTGTATACACAACCTGCTGCACTTGTCTTCTGTCAAAACGAACTGTTTTAGATCTGTCCTGTACTTGAGATGATATATTTGATTGAGTTAACTAAAAATTCATATAGCCGAATAGAGAAGAGGTCAAAAGATCAAAGATGCTTTATAAAAGATCTGCCAGAGTTAATGGTTCTGAAGGATATGTATCTATGAGAGGTTCTCTTGAAGACCGATGCATGTGTACATATCCTGATCTCCGAGGGATATTATTTCTCTCCAAACACTATATATATAAGAAATAAGAGAAAGGACTTTCTTCCAAGCTTCTTTTGTTCGACCTATAGGAAAATGTTTGCCTTAATAAGATCTAAATCATTTGATTCCTTCATTTTCCATGGATTCGAACTCACCTTTTCGGCAAATGTAATTACTAGCTTTCAATTACATTAGTTTCTACCTTACTTAGGCCCCTTGGGTCTTTGGAACGCATAGTGCATCCGTGTCCAAATATCGAAAGGATAAACAGGAGCAGCAGCGACTGGACCTGTTGACACCGGAATAGGAGCAGTGAAAGTAGCCGGAAGAGGCGCAGACAGCCACAGACTTTACCTTTGCCATCTTCCTGTCCCAATATGTAAATGCTGGGTTTGCTAAACAAATTTGAAGTGTGTATTTCAGTGAATATTTAGCATAAATCTATATTTAAATTGATTTTCTCGGAGTGAGCTGCGCACAAGAGAGACACAAGACAGTCCGCCGAATATAATTGAATTGTTTAATTTAAGTAGAACGACACCTTTCAAGTCGTGACAATATTTGGGCTATCTTTTAAGCGGTTTCAAGGTACACTGAGCTTAAGAAAAGCCCGAATAGTATAGCCATCTTTTGTATATGTTGTGGGAAAACTTTAAATTCCCTTTTTTTGATATCTTTGTAGTACTTTTGGGACTTGTTATTTGGCTTTAATCCTTAAAATTTGCTTATTTACAGTATATTTTATATGTTTCTTGATAGCATTTTAATCATTATAAACCTTAAATCAGTGGATTTATATAGTTTTAAGTTTATTCATCTAAATTCCCCTGAATTTTGGCACTAAGAGCTCATATTTCATAATTCAGGACTGACTTTAAGGCGGCTGCATTTAAATGCACTTTATGAGGTCGAAGGTTGCCCCCAAACCAAATACAACTAAGTGGTGTGTGTGTGTGTGGGTGGGTGTGTG